ATAAAATTAATCTTAAAATTACATAAGTTTGTAACTGTATAAAAATTATAAAAGAAATTAAAGATGATACAAATTCAATAAACTTCTTTTAAAGTGATAAGATTTTTTGTTTCTATTTTAATATTTTATTGGTATACTTAAAAATATTATTTACAATATTTTATAGATGTTTTTTCTTCCTTCAATATTATTTATTTTATATTTTAAAGTTTGTTAATTTTTAATTAAAATTTTTATTTTTATTATGATTTGATACTTTAGTTATATTATTTATATTTTGCATATATTTTGAATATGTAAATAATTTAATAATATTAATTTATATATTTATTTAAATTTTAAAAATAAAAATAATCCCTATATCATACGGATAATAAGCTAATTATATAGTAAATTATATAACATTTTGTAATTTTTATTTGATACTTTATTTTCATTCATTATCTTTAAAATTAAAATTTTGCATATATATTTTTTTTAATATTTCAAATTTATTTATTCCAACAATTGTTATTAAAATTTGACAAAATTTGTCACATTAGAATCATATGTGAATTGTCCAAAAGAAAAGGATCCTTTGATTTTTTGTGCTAAATTTTATTTTTAGCTGTGGTTGATAAAATAAGTAGATTTGAAATATTTTTAACAGGTGGTAGATTTAAAAGCTGGATTTCAAAGATAGTAAATAAAAATGAAATATCACACTAAAATCACATATAATTGCTGTATTTTACTTTTTAATTATCTAATTATGGATAAAATAATATTATCTTTTTTACCTTTTCACTATCAATGAGTAATTGGATCCTTCAATTATCAAACAAAATAACATTACTTTTTTTTTTAAATATTCAAAAGATAGAAGACATGTGAAGATTACAAATCTTTTCTTTTTCAAAATTTATAATTAAAAAAAAAGATCGTAATTTAAAAAAAAAAATCATATACGTTAAGATTTAAACATTAAATATATTAAATGTTATATTTTTAAAAATATTTATATGAATTAATTATATTAAAATTCAGATTTAAAACTTATATTTTGTTAATATTATAAAGTTAAATATTCTAAATAAATAAATAAATAAATTCCCTCAAATGGCGAGATTGAGATCTGACAGCCGAAGTCTATTGACTTGTTATCTGTTTCCTTTTCTTTTCTTTTCTTTTTTTTTTTTTTTTAATTCTGTAATGACAATTGAAAATAAAAGGATGGTAGGAAATTGACTAGAAAGCGAACCTTCTACCTACTTACCCCACTTTAATTCATTTATAAAAAAAATTATATATTGCAAATCACAATTAGTCAAAATTAGAAGCTTTCCATTCAAAAAATAATAATAATAAAAGTAAAAATAATGTTTAAAATAAAAAATACTTTTATTTTTAATCAAAAATGCATTTTCATTCTTTGTTTTTGATATCACACTTTTTTAATTTTGCTTAACCTTACCTTATTTTATAGGATTCTTTTTTTTTTTGGTTTTATAAATTCTTTGTCAAATGAAAAATTTCCCCTTCAGCTTGAAAATTGAGGAGAAAGAAGGGCTTATAATTTCTCCTAAATTAAAATAAATGGAGGTTCAAAGATTTTAGGAAAATCCCATTATAAAACTACTAGTTTTGGTCTTAGTTACAAAAAAAGCAATACAAAATTTAACATATAAAGATAACAATTGCATGATTTATTGATAAAATATTAAAATTTTAATTTTAATTTTAATAACATCAAGTTTAAAAAAAAAATCAATAGGACATGAGATTGCAATTTTATTGTACAAATATGCTTTTTCTACCATGATTGTGAATTTCAGTAAATCAAGCAAATGAGGAAAAAATAATTCCAATTCAATTATATTTTATATTGATTCATTGTGGGTGAAAAATATTATTATAAACCTTTAAAAATTTTAATTTTTTTATTTAATTGTGAGAGATCCAAAACCTCATACTTTTAAGAAAGTAATCAAATTTTTTGAATGCTATTGAGCTAGTAATGGCATAGTAATGATCAAATTAAAATATGATAATTCGTATCATCGTATCATATAAAATATTATATTTATGTTGTGATTTATATGAAAATCGTGTATAACGATTTTTATCGATACAAACATAAAATATAATTTATTAGTTTTATTAAACTTATTTATGGATTTTTAAAATTTTAAATTATATTATTTTTATATTTTTTATTTATATTATTTTTATATTATGTCACTATCTTATATTCAAATTGATAAATCTAATTAAAATAGGCTTTTAAAACTATTTTAACTAATTTTTTTTTTTAAACCAATTTGGAACAAACTCTTTTAAGTATGACACGTTTAATATCTTTTAAGTACAATACTTATTATTGAACAAAAATGCTGAAATATTTTATTACATTTGAATTAGCTAGTAATGAGATAGTAGGGAAGTAGAGAAGTAGAAATCTAAATTAATGATGTAACAAAAAAAATTTTTTGGTACCTAAGAATGGAGCATTGTTTAAAGATAGTAGGGGAAGGCATTCACTTTAATTCAAGTAATCTCTGCCTCATTAATAGTTGAAAGGTATTCAAAGAACTTCTAGAGAAGTGGTAGCTCTCATTCATTAATTAAGGACATTTATTTTCAACTTTTTAATTTGGCACATATAATATTTTGTTAATTTTTGATTAATTTTTAAAGCATATGAATTATCAATTTCATTGTGTGGATATGAATAAGCTTGAATGGCCCATTTTTTTTTTTTTATAAACAAAGTTGAAGTGTAAAGATAAAGAAAGAAAAATTATAAGTATTAAAATTAAAATTTAATGATAAAAAAAATGTTTTTTTTGTTATTTATATTTGAATATGTTAAGAGATTGTGCGAAAATAATATCTCATGAATTTGTTAAATTTGATGTAAATAAATATACTAAATCGATCCGAAAAAATATTATATTAAGCAAAACTCAAAAATTATTTTACCATTAAATAAAAAAATTGAGCTATAATTTTGTAAATTTAAAAAATTAAATGAATCATTTGAATTAAGTGTTTGACAAAAAAGAAAATTCAAATATTGAATATCACCATTTTTTAAGACAAACAATAATGATTAGATTGTTGGATTTTTATGTTAACATTTATAAAATATATATGAAAAGTTATCTAGCATTAAAAAAATGCTATATATCTATTAAGAAATATTTAAAAAAATTTAAAATTAATATAATAAATAAAATAACACATAACAATATTTTAATTTTAAAAAACTTTCCATGATTGTGTATAAAATAATAATTCTATATATATGTAATAATTTTTTCAATATATATTATAAAAGAGTGTCTTTTTTTTACGAAAAAGGTGATTTTTGTTCATCTTGTTTTTAAATTATTTTTTGAAGTAATTTTGCTGATTATAATTTTAATTACAATAACAAATCAATAGTAATAAGATTGTCAAGCTGAATAGATAAGAATTTTCGTTTTATTGAATTTATTTGGATAAATTTTTATTGCATTTATTAAATTTTAAATTATAATCATATTAAATCGCTTCATTTTTATTTAATTATTTAAAAATAAATAATAATACAAGTTTTCAAATTGCTCACAAAATGCTACTTTATTCCAAAAATAAAATATTATTATTACTGTTTTCACTATGAGATATCTAAATATTTTATAAAAAAATAAATAAATTAAAATACTATAGTAATAATAAACAACCCCTCAATTTTCTGCGTGGAAGGTGCGCTGTCTTTTTTATTCTCTTCTTTCTTCTTCCCTCTCTAACCCCCGAAAATAAAGAGAGAACCAAAAAAAAATTCGAGGAAAAAAAAAAAACTCGAATCAAACCAAAGCGAAGGTAAGTTTTTTTTTTTTTTTTTGCCCCCTCTCTCATTCTCATTACCCAAACGCCAATTTTTTGCATCAATTTCTTGGGAGAGAGAACTCTTCACGGTTTTCTTTTTCTTTTTTTTTGTTTTTCTCTTCAAAATTTCTCTCTAACAGCGACGATCAGTTTTATTAAATAAAAAAGGAAAAAAATTATCTTTGCTGTCAGATCTGCGGTTTCAATTTCGATTCAATCAGGTTAAGTTTTTGTTCATCTTTGTTTGTTTTCGCTCTCTCTTTCTCTCTCGTTCAGATCTGATTCATTATTTTATTTTTAAATTTGGAGTTTCCATTGGATTTCTCATTTTGTAGATCTAATTTTTATTTATCTAAATTTAGCTCCATTTCACCTTATTTTGATTGATTTTTCATTTTTTAATTAATATTTGTTCTAAAAAGTTCCTCTTTTTTATTGATTACATTTATATTTACTTATCAATTCATATTCTTTGCAAAGATTCTTAACTGTACGATTTGAAGATCTAAGGGATCTGTCAAAAGTATTACTCAAAATTATAGAAATTTTGATCCCATTTAGCTTCTTTTATTAATAAATTAAATCCTTTTCTGTTTATGCGAAATTTAATTTCACTATATTGCCTGTAAATGATCTTGAATTTTTTCCTTTTGAATTCTTTGACTTTTCTTTGTAATGTTTTGAATTAATATGTTCAGATGCATTTAATTTTATTCCTTTGTGGTGCCTGAAAATGGTTCTAGATCTAATCTTTCTTCCTTTTTTTTATTTTTTCCCTCTTTTATGTGACAGGGCTGCTTCATTTTGAACGCAGGCAACGATGAAGAAGGCCATTGGTCAAACCGTTAGAGACCTGTAAGTGTATTATTAGATACTAATTCCATTATCATGATAACATCGTTGAATTTGTTTCCGATATTTAATAGTTCAAAGCAATAGCTTGGTAGCAAAATTTTCTATAAAAGATGATTATTGCAAGTTTGGTCATCTTTTAATCAATTTGTTTTATTCCTGCATATTGGTATTTGCTATAACCAGTGGCTAAATGATTTTTTCTTCTTTGTTCTTGCAGTAAGAGAGAGGTTAATAAAAAAGTTCTTAAAGTTCCTAGTATAGAACAAAAGGTAAGAATATTTTAGAAAGTTCGCTGTCCATTTGAGTAAGTAAAAGTCAATTGTTGCATAATTGTAAGTATCTATGGTCAGTAGCGACTAGTAGAATCATGTTTGCCGTTGGCATGGGGATTTAATAAACTATCTAGATGTTGTTTTAGTGGATATGATATGTGAGATATTATACTATGAATGTGATTCTGACTTTGATCTGCATTTTAGTTGCAAAATGGTGAGGGCTTGTATTGTTTGTTGAAATGCTATTGTGATTCTATAATGTTACATATTCTAGTGATGGGATAGAAATAGAGAGGCTGACAGAGGAAGAAAAAGCAATACTTAGGGATTCTGAGTTTTTTGGAAGTTGAAAATATGGGATGATGAAAGGAATTGGGCATATGCACATTTGTGAAGGGAGTTAATTTTTGGTAAGTTTGAAAGGTTAATGCTGTTTGTCTGCATTATGGAGTGGTGACAATGAGGGAGAAAATGCTCTTGTTTTTGGAAAAAAGAAACTGGAGAGAAAGAGTGTGTGAACTCAATTAGAGTTAGTGAAGTCTTCGGATTAGTAGCTTTATGGATATTTATATTATATGAGGGTTGGTTTCCTACCTGTCTAAGGCCTACCTATGACACATCTTAACCAAGCACTATAAGAATGGGGTCGGAGTAATAAAATAGGAAAAGTGGTTAATTTGGTTTGGAAGAAGAGCCTACTAATCTCAGCTGTTGAGCATCTTGTGGCTGCATGTTACAGCCTAGTTTGAGCCTTTGAGCGAATGTTTGGGAGCTCTTAATGGAAGGGTACTAAAAGGATTGATTCCTACATTTGCTGAAGGATCTTTATTTTTCCATGCAAATGTCTTCTCAAGTTTGATTAAGTGCCTCTGATGCTAGTAGAGCTGATTCTTGATTGAATATATTGGTTCCAAACTACTTTCTTCTTACTTTTTTTTTTCTTTTGTCAGGGGAAGGGATTGCCCTTAAAAGTATTTAATTTTAATAGAGATAGTATTCTTGAACAACAATCTCTATGCAACAAAGTAACAAATTTACTTGTAATACTTTAAACATTTATTTATCTGCTTGAAATAATATTCTTTTTTCCTTTTGTCTTTCAGGTTCTTGATGCCACTAGCAATGAGCCCTGGGGCCCTCATGGATCACTTCTTGCAGATATTGCAATGGCTACAAGAAACTAGTAAGCTTGAGAGAAATTATGTATGATTCTCATTACATATTTGTTACATGGAAATTCATTTTTTAAATATTCATGCAGTCATGAGTATCAGATGATCATGGCTGTAATCTGGAAACGTATAAATGATACTGGAAAGAATTGGCGCCATGTCTACAAGGTCAGCAAAGATTAGTTGCATTCAATATCTATTTGTTATCTGCGACTTAAAAAAGTGCCCGTCTAAAATTTAACTGTTAAAATTTATCCTTTAACTAAATCTCCATCTTCACTTTTGCAATGGCCAGTGTGTTCTGACATAGTACATATTTTGTGTACTATTTTTCGCTTTGCATTCTCTGTATATATTTATTTTTCCTCAATTTCCGCCTTACATTAAAATATAGCAATGTACTAAGGTATTTCATTTATTGAGCTTCAGGCTCTGACTGTTTTGGAGTACCTTGTTGCGCATGGATCGGAACGTGTCATAGATGACATAAGAGAACATGCGTATCAAATATCGGTAATTCTGTAATTGCTGTTTCTTGATTCTATATGACAACTTTGCATGCAGTGTGATGATGCAATCTGCAGCTTAGTGTATTTAAATTTTTTGGTCTAATTAAATATTTCTTCTTATGTTACAGGCTTTGTCTGATTTTCAGTACATTGATTCCAGTGGAAGGGACCAGGGTAACAATGTCCGAAAAAAATCTCAGAGCCTTGTGGTCCTAGTAAATGATAAAGAAAGAATAATTGAAGTAAGACAAAAGGCTGCGGCTAACAGGGACAAGTGAGAAAAAATGCCTTTATGTTCTAATCTCCTTGCTGTGTTCAACCATTCTCCCAAATAAGTGTTTCTATCACCAGCATTGACAAAATTGATGCTTATTATGATTCTATGCTGTTTCAACATCACATGTACACGTGCATTTGTACTTTGAACATGATAGTTATGTGTGTTTCAACATGACAAGTACATGCGTGCAAGAGCTTGCACATATACACATGCACTTTCTCTTGCCCTTGGACTTATGATCACATTTTTGTTTTTGTTGTCAAATAGATAGCTTTTTCCATTGCTCTGGTAGGAAAATTCCTGTTGTCATGTAGTATATGTTGTTCAGATAGCAGTTCGGAGATAATCCATGTTTAGTGCATGTTATTTTCCTTTTAAGGCATCTTTAATATGTCCTTGGAAATTGACCTGAGATTGATTAAAATGGTTTTGTCTCCTAAGGTGCAGATGTATTTTCACCATTCTTGCCATTAATAGGGGTCATGTGGGATTTTTCTTGATCATCCTTTCACCATTGGACATCAAATTCTTTCTCTTTCCTGCCTAATCTAGTGTCTTATCAAAGATTTATGTCTACTTGGCATCTTTCTGAGATGTAGTGTGGTGGATTATCTGTGTCTTCCACTTATAAATATGAATCTATCTTCTGCAGCTGTGTTCCTATATCTCTATTCTGATGGATAATATTGCTAAAATATGGTATTAAACTTTATATAGATGATAACTTCTGATGACATCTCTTGCTCATGATCATTGGGATCTGTATGATTTAGTTTTCTTGTTCCTTTGGCAATATGTTATAAATTTTACCTCGGAATTTCGTTTTAGATATGAGAATATAAATGAATTGAAATGTAGAATTCTTCCATAACGTAGAACCGTTTGTTCTACAGGTTTCGAAACACATCAACGGGTGGAATGTATAGGCCAGGTTCAGGGGGATATGGTGACAGATATGATTATGATCGTTACGGAAGCAGGGATGATGATCCAAATGGTTATGGAAGAGATCGGGAATATGGCTATAGAGATGATGATCGTTATGGCAGAGATTATGAAGACCGCTACAGCAGAGACGGTTACAGGGATGATGACTATGGAGGTAGAAGTAGAAGCGTTGATGATTATCAATATGGCACAAGAAGTAGGAGCTCTGATAGAGACCGTGCTTTTGATGAGGATGGTGATCCATCTCGGTATGCATTTATTTACTTTTGAGACCTTTATATTGCTATGTTCTTTTAAAGAAACATATTAATATTGTTGATTCAATTATTTTAATCTTGTCTCAATTTTTTGTTGAAGTAACTTTTTTTTTCTTCTTTTTGGATATCATGAAAGACATTACAAAATGGAAGGTGTGAATATTAACAATTTCTTTTTCACTAGATCAGGATTCTTAAATGGTGCATTTACTTAGTAATTTTCCATGGAATTTTTCTATTACCATGAGCTTTTGTGTGTCATTTCACTGTGTAACATGTCCAGATTTAGTAGCTGTTATGATGCTCCTCTTTGAAATTTAAAATATGGTGCTCATACTATGTTTGACATGGAGAATGTAATTCGCATGATCATCTTCTCTGCAGGGGCAACGGTGCTAGAGCTGATGATCATTCTCAGGATGGAAGGTAGCCCTGAGTGGATGCATTCTCAACTTCTTTTAGTTGATCAATTTTTTATTAGACAATGATTATTGCTTTCTTGTTTCTAAAATTTTCTGAAAACCTTGTTCTTTTTGTGCAGGCAGCTTGAGCGGAAGTTTTCTGAGCAAAATATTGGTGCTCCTCCTAGTTATGAAGAAGCAGCAAGTGAAACTCGGAGTCCTGTCCATTTGGAAAGGTATTGCTTTATACCTTAAATTTTCAGAGGTGTGTTGCTTGCAATTGTGCTTTTCTAGTTGGTGCATACTGAAAAACTCTTTGATGTAGGGATGGAGAAACTTCAGTAGCAGCTGCTCCCAGGGCTTCTTCTCCTCCCGCTAGCAATTATCCTAACCGAGCAACCTCTGATTTTGGTAATTCAGCATCTCCACCAAATCAAAAAGTGGAGGCTTTTGATGAATTTGATCCACGTGGTTCAGTTTCAGGCACGAAATTCCTTTATAAATTCCATGGTTTCTACGTTCCAATTTTATTACATGGATGATCATAGTTGTCTTTCATGAGGAATCTGGTGCCCTTACTGCTAATCCAATATGAACATTAGTTGATTTTCTGGTCTTTTGACTTGAACAATCACCCTGCAAAGTGTAAATTTCTGAGTCGTCCAAGTATTAAGTTTGATATGCTCTGTTTCTTCACTTTCCATATCACTATTATTTATTTATTTTAATGTGGTAGGTTTTACTGTATTTTTCTATCTATTAAGTGTATATTTCTTGCAGGAGGGTTAATCATTCATATGTTGATGTTAATTTTTGGAAGATAAACTTTTGCAATTGGTTTTATAGTAGTGACAATTTTAAATTAAAACATAAAAGACTGTTTTGGCGACTTCTTGTTTTCAATTTTGACTCTTCTTTGCTCAATTCCAATGAAATTACTGGTTGGATTTTCATGTGATTGTCTGTAATAAAACTCCTAGTCTTGAGGAACTTAGATGGGATTCTTGTTGATGCTGTTGTGTTTATCCCCCATAACTGGAACTTATTTTTCATCTTTTGCTCATCTATTACAGCTGCCCCTCCTACTGTTCCTGCTGCTACACCTGTCCCTGCTAATGCTGTACCCACTGCTTCGACCAATGCTGAAATGGACTTACTTGGTGCTCTGTCTGATTCATTGGCCATTGTGCCAACTACACCTGAAACCCCTGCTACTGAGGTTGATGCCCATGCAAACTCTGGTGCTATACCCACCTTTGCTGCTAATCATTCAGCATCTAACTTCGGAAATCAGGTAGACATGATTCATTTAATCGTGGGACTTGTTAAAGTCCATTTTCCTTGGTTCATATACAAGGATTTCATTGCACCTGTCTACAATATGCCTATTGACGGCACCATGAATTTGGATAAGCTGTTCGATTATTGCCTTAAGTGTTGTCATTTGTTTTAAGTATCTTTCTTTGAATCAGCATGCAAAAGAGAACGGATGGTTAAAAATGAAGCAGTTTTGCAGAATCATTGAGATCATTTTTATATGTACTGTATAAAGGGTAACATAAAAGGTTTTACGGTGAATTTAAAAAAATTTAAAGGTGTAATTTTGTTAAGCATTATATCACTAACCGGTTATGAATATAACAAACTGCAAGATTTTGCTTTAGTTCCTCCTCTTTCCTATCTCTTCCCCTTATTCAGACCTCTGAACTTTGTTTTTGTTCTTTGATTTCAGTGGACTTCACTGTTCTTTCTTTAAATAATTTGTTGTCATAATTCTATTGTTATGGGATAAGTTTAGTTTTTTTCTTGATACAGGGTTTTGATGATCCTTTTGGTGACGGTCCTTTTAAAGCTTTCCCTTCAACTGATGCTGCCCCAGCTCAGCAACAAATTTCTACTTCCATGCCTACTTTCCAGCCTACAATGAACCAAAATGCAGAAGTTACTCAGCCACCTTCTGCAAAGTCCGAGACAATCACAGACTTAAACTTTGGGGACTCATTCTCTGCCAATGCTTACTCTGTACCCAGTTTCTCCAGCATTCAACCACCATCAACAAACTCACAGTTTTTGCCTCAAGAACTGTCAACGCCAAATCAGGAAAGTGATATATTGGCGGATATTCTTCCACCTTCTGGACCTGTGGATGGTGTGGCTTCACATGCAGCCTTCTCATCACCAACCAGCCAATCTACACCACCAGTAGCTACTTATGGCCAAACAGCACAGCCAGGTAGCTATGCTCAACAAGCACAGTTAGGTGCTAATATGTACAGCCAACCCACACAGCCAAGTGCTAATCCATATGGCCAACCTGCACGGCCAAGTGCTAACCCGTATGGCCAGCCTGGACAGCCAACTGCTAACCCATATGGCCAACCTGGACAGCCGAGTGTTAATCCTTATAGCCAACCAAGTGCTAATTCCTATGACCAATCCACACAGCCAAATGCCAATCCATATGGCCAAACTGCACAGCTAAATGCTAATCCATATGCCCAACCCACTCAACCAAGTTCGAATAATACATACGGTAATTTTAATCCACAGACTGTGTCTATGGCCCCTCAGATTCCGGGGTCTGCTGCACAGAACAGCAATGGGAGCTTCATCTCGCAGATAGGTTCGAATGCTCCTGTCAGTTCGCACGTGGCTGCTCAACCTCAAAGTCCTGCTGGACAAGCTGCCCAGTTTAACTCTGGAAACTTCCTTTCACAGCAGGGTTCTGTTGTGCCAGTTACTTCTCAGAGTGCCCATCAAACCACAAATGCACTAGGTGCACAAAATAACAATGATATGCTAGGTGGCTTATTTTCACCAGGATCAAAAACTTCAATGGTACCACAGACAGCTACACCCTCGTCAACAGGAGCACTGGCCATCGTTCCACAACCGTCAAAGGATAAATTTGAGCCTAAGTCAGCAGTTTGGGCTGATACATTGAGCAGAGGACTGGTCAATTTGAATATATCTGGACGTAAGTACTCACTGTTCCTTGGTATAAAATGTCACATGAATTATGTCCCTTCACAAGAACTAACTTTATTTTATTTTCTGTATGCAGCTAAAATAAACCCATTGGCCGATATTGGAATCGACTTTGATGCTATTAATCGCAAGGAAAAGAGGATGGAAAGGCCTGCCCCAACTGCAGTAACATCTACTGTCACCATGGGTAAAGCTATGGGATCTGGGTCTGGGATTGGTCGTGTTGGTGCTAGCGCTCTCAGACCTCCAGCAAATCCTATGGTGGGTATGGGTATGGGTATGGGAATGGGCATGGGGATGGGGATGGGAATGGGAATAGGTGGTGGTCCTGTTGGAGGTATGGCCATGGGGGGCTATGGTGGTATGAATCAACAACCTATGGGCATGGGAATGGGGATGAACAACATGGGCATGAATGCGGGCATGGGGATGAATGTGGGAATGGGGCAAAGACCCCACATGCAACCACAAACTGGAATGCCTGGTAGTTATAACCCTATGATGGGTTCCGGTGGCTATTCTCAACAGCCATATGGTGGCGGTTATCGATGAGAACAACTTGCCTTCCTGGACGAGCGAGGAAGTTACATACATGCTTGTGATAAGAGAGTAAAAGAGATTGGAATTGCTAAGCCTAGGAGTTGCTGTTGAATCCCTGAGTCGAAGCTGTAATTTTGTAGTCACAATTCTCTTGGCAGTGGCCTGATGTGATCCATTCATTTCTATTATTTCTTATTCTCGCTTAAGCTATTGCACTGTTTGGGCCACGAGTTGTTTGGTTCATTGCTGGTTTGAGCTATTTGTGAAATTGTGTAGCAGTGCGAACAACCTTTCTCAGGTTGTATTTTTCCCTTTCCTCTATATAATATATATTTTTCGCCTGCCGAGTATTTGTAGTATGTTTGGTCACACTATGGAATAATAAATCTAATCATTCATTTTTCCGTCATTTTTCCTGGCTCGTGCATATTATATTTTATTTCATGTCAAACATGAATAAAATATCAAATTATACTGTTATGATCATGTTGTCAAACATTATGCTTCATCGTTGCCATTCAAGAATTAAGAGTATAAATGATAAATTAATATTCGTAAATTATTCAAATTCGATTCGAATAAAATTTGAATTCGATTTGAATATTATCGAATCAAGTTTAAGATCAAATAATTTTATTTATTGATCGAGTTAAATTCGAATATTTTTATATTCAGCTTGAATAGTTTGTGAGCTTAATCAAATTTTTATATTTTAATATATTTTAATTGATAAAATATCTCGAACTTAAGTTCGAATTAGAACACAAATAATCAAACTTGTGTCGAATATAATAATTGAGCTTATTTTTTCATAATCTAATCGAACGAATTCGAATAGTTCGATTTCTATTTCGAGTCGAGTTCGAATTGAAAAAATAAAATTCAATTAAATTCAAATTGAATTTTGAACCTCGAATTTATAATGATATTTTTAATACTATATTAACTCAAATTCAATCAATTACTCCTATCAAAAATCACCTGCGTCATTACGTGTGATTCTCATTACATATTTGTTATGATACGGTTACACGTTTCCAGATTACAGCCATGATCATACGAATAATAACAGCTTGAGAGAATTTATGTATGATTCTCATTACATATTTGTTAGATGGAAATTCATTTTTTAAATATTCCACCTGCGCCATCGTTGCCATGCAGGACAGGAATTCCCATGAAAAGAAGTGGAGTATGTGCACTAGATTTTTGCCAAATGGAACAATATGATTAGGAGGGCAAAACCTAGATTTGTCCAAATTTTCTAGTATCAGGCTGAACAGGGGAAGCAGAATTGTCCAAAATGCAAAAGCAGATTTTGTAAGACTCCATGAGAGGAGAATCAAATGTTGTCATAACTTCCATGCCTTATTTTTTATGTTATAAGTAAAATATGGTTTGATCAGTTTGTATTGTTCGACATGTTCTTGGACAGTAAATGAGTTCTGCAGCCTGGTTCTAACAAAGGAATGTCCGAAGAAACTCGATCAAACTTCAGGACTCTAATGAAGCCTTAACCCGGGCTTGTGTCTGCAACCTTCATGATCACATCTGCAATTCTCTGATATAACCAAAAACTACCTGTGAAAGAAGAAGCTTAAGTGTCAACAGCAAATAAGCCATGTTAGTACAGCCAGGGTATCCATTAAAATTCGACAAAGCTATTGAACAAAGCTTCTTAAAGCTTCAAATCATTTTGCAAACATTGCAGTGTTTTTTCAGCCATATTTATCTAGAATTCAGAGCTTGCAGTACTTAAATTTCAGTACAACCCTTTCTCTTACTTGAAATATAAGTCAAGAATGCAAGAGTCCTTCACCATAAGTTCTCAGAAGTCTTTTTGACTTCTCATTATACTGAAAATTTGGATATGTTTGATTCAAATATTAAAATCTGGTTTTAATATACAAAACATTTCAAGAAAAATGACAAGTCAATTTGAGACAAAAAATATAAGATTTTGAGTCGATTGCAGATTCGGGAATATGAAACTAGGACATTCATTTTGGGGTTAGAGATCTGAAACTCATGCAGATCTCTAATATTTGCATTCTCTAGACTGCACCTGCAGGCAGCAGATCAACCAAAGAATGGAGAAAGGTTCTGTTAAGAAGTAATACTCTCTAATTAAGGGCTAAAAAGCATTAGAGCATCTTAGAACTGAAAGTTCTCTTCTAATCAAAGCTTAAAGGTACCTTCGACTTTAGACTCTTGAAAGCTCCATTACATTGGAATCATTCAAGAAATACTTGAATCCTGTCACCCATTGTATCATTAAAATCCAACAACAGCTTCCCGCCTACTTCCTCAGCAGCGTCGTCCAACAATGCCTTGATGTTTACACCCCCCAAAGCTGTGAAGAAAAAAGATCAAACTCTTTATGATAATATTTTCAAGAATTCTGAAAAGATAGTCGTTGTGCATGAGTTTGAAAAACAAAAATATACCCGGAACAATATTTGTGACTCCTTCCAAAAACCCAGCCTGTGGAAAAAGAGAAAAGGTAAAAAGAAAAAGACATTAATCGTTTCCATAAGAAGACACTGATATATTTTAATTAGATGCAAAGATGAGCACCAGATATGAAATGTTCTAAAACTGATCATGGAAAAGGTCTATTTCTAATATGAAACACAAAAACCTCCACCATAAAAAGAAAGAGTATAGACTACCATATACTATTTGCCTGGAATTCAGACTTACCTGTATGCAAACATATTGGCAAATGCAAATAAATTGGCATCAAACAATATGTCCTTCTAAACAATCAGAAGATATTGGAAATATGCTTTGAAGATCCTTACAACAGATGAAACTGGTAATGACAGCGGTATTGACAGCAGCTTTAAGTGACAAATAGAACTTTTTTAGCATATTCATAAAAATCATTACATTATCTAAAGCTATAAATGTGCATTAAGTTCACAGATTGAACAGTATTTCCTTCATTTGTTCAGTAAAAGATCCAACTGTAACATTCTAATCAATTAAACACAGTGCATTTCAGGATTCTTTCAATAATCAAATTATTTAAATGATAGAAGAGTAACTTTGTAATGTATTATGATTCACTAAAGAGTTCAAGCCAACTAAACACCGCACCAAACTATCAAACCCTTATCACATATTAAACACCCCAAATGATCTTTGACATAATAAAGAAGCACTTACTGTCAGAAAGTATGATCATGGCAGGGACATGTTCATTAACATAAAGATAAGCTACTAATTAACATGGTATCTTACAGCAATTCTAACATGGTAACATGTTCAAGGCAGAAGACTTACAGGAATTCTAACATCAAGTTTCTCAAATCCATCTCTTCCAGTAATCTTGATTCTCAACGCCCGAGACCATATCCCAGAAAAAGGATCCCTTGAACTATCTGCACCATAGTTATTGTATACATCAGGAGTTATCACCTCGACAACTGGATCTTGAGGACTTTGACCTCTTTGTTCAGAGTCATCTTGAACCCTTTGTATACTGTATGTATTACTGCTCACTGACACATAAACCATGTTTATAGGATTAGGAAGACAAGGCACACAACAATATTACATTATTCTCAAATACAATTATGGGAAGGTAGAACAAGTAGCGAAGTCTATGTCTGTTTTTTTTTTTTTTTTTTTTAATTTATAACAAACAAAAGCACAAGTCCAGAATGAAAGTTTTTAGGTTATAAAACCCATTGTGGTCATGGCAAATTTAGCTCAATTATGTACAAAATACCTAACAAGTTCACATGAAAGATGGAAGAGACTGAAGCATGATGGACATTTTGCTCAAGAAAGAAGTTTGTGTTTCAGTTTAGACTTTAGAGTACTAAATCTCACCACCTCTGTCTGAATATAGCTGATAGGGTCTGGTAGCATATCTTTTTTCTTCCTCATAGTAATTATTGAAACCGAGGATTTCCTTGATTTCTTCAAAAGATGGCATGCTTCCAGGAGGTGGAATACGACCTCCTTTGAGGGCAATCAGTGAATCCTGCAAATTTGTAGAGAATACCTCTGAGCAGGAACACCATATTAACAATTGAATTGTGAAAGATTGAAGTGTCACTAAATATCCCATATTGTGGACATCACAAAACTAGACCTTATAACTTTCCAGGCTTGTGGTAGTGGTTATATTCAGACAAGTACTCAAAATCATATACTGAAGCAGTATGTAAATGCCACAAATAGTCATATCTTTTTCATAAGAAAATGTAAAAGTTTCACATTTATGCCCATCAAGAAAGGACCGAAAAGGCATACTGAATTAAGTTTCATGGGTACTGTCTCCCCTAACCCTTTCTCATAAGCAAGGCACTTAAGAACTGAAAATGAACTTTAGCATGTGTTATTAGATTGTCAAAATTTATCTGACCCTTTGAAAACACCATCAAATTGAGTTTTGAAGTTAAATAGTCATCTTGTTTTCCCCTTTTTCTGATTAAGAAAATAAATATCTCCCTCTGGTCTATCACTGGTCTTCCATCTATCTAAAAAGGCTTCTCTTAGACTTTTTAGTGGTATTAAGCAAAAGTACACAAATTTATTTGGCATCAGCGTGATAATTCAAATTACTTTCTTCTTTCAACCTTTTGCTTTACCTTTGTCACCAATATTTCTTTTGAATTTTTATGAATGAAGATTTAGCATCCTTAGAATGAAATCATGTTGCAGCTGAAAAGATATTAAGGCTAACTAAAACTAACATATGTTAATTCAACCCATCCCAGGTTTTCAGAGCAACATAGATACAGATATAAACTAGCAATCATAGACCCAAGATAAAAATTATCAAACTACCACAGCAATATGTCAAATCTTGCACACAGAATGCATCACAATGCATACTTGTTTAAGCTGAGGACACAATACATTACAATTAATATCAGAAGAAACTAAGCGTATCTTCTGTTTAATCAAAGTTCCCTGTGAAAGTGCTCAGTTGTAAAATAGAATAAGAGTTAGATCATGTTATAAAACTGCTTGTATTCCTTCATAATCAGTGCAATGGAAAGAATCATACCATAGAATTTTGTTTCTTTTGGTAGTTAAACAGAATGCATCATGTCAGACGTGTCAAAAGTATAAAGAAGAATAACGGATGCAAGACTACAGATATTGCACAAGATTAAGTAAGCTTTCATACGCATCATGCAAAGATAAGATACGTTACCTGCATTGCTCGGATAGATACCCCAATCAAGGAAAGTGGATATGCCACAAGTTTATATCCAATTTCTTCAAGTTCAAGGGGATTGAATATTGGTGTTTTCCCCCCACCTTCAAGCATATTAGCCTACACAGGACCGTAAAAGCTACATCAGTCATAGATCATGACTGAGAATTATCTGGGAAGGAAGGAGAGTACAAGCACATGTCACAGCAAATTTGGGAATTAGAATAAAGATGAACAAATTCTCATACAGGAGGCCCGATGCTGGTGATACCCCAGAAGTACATGTTTGGAAGCCTATCAAGATGTCTAAATTTTCAAACAATGAAGCAACAAGAGAAAGCTGCTAGCCTACTGCTGAATAAAGATAACATTCTTCAGCATTCTGTTTATCATGCAATAAACAGTGTGTGTGATTTTGAAAGAGGGGTGAGAGGTGCAACGGTCAGGCAATATAGTGTAAAAGATGCTTATCATTTGGTATTATAATCAAAAGAACATACCATACCATTTTTGGAACTAATGGAGAAACTTCACAGAAGGCTTTCATCTCTTCTTTAGAAGCTAGTGCATCTATAAAAAGGACATCTGCTCCAGCATCAGCAAAAGCCCTTGATCTCCAAAGTGACTCCTCTAAAGACATTGCTTGACGAGAATCTGTTCGTGCCACAATAACAATGTCAGAACCACTCTCTTTGCGAGCATCAACTGCAGCTTTAATTCTCATCACAGCTTCCTCTCTGGACACCACCATCCTGCCTTTTGTATGACCACAAGCTTTTGGAGACACCTAGCAACGAAATTTTATAAAAACGAGTGCCTCAAAATGGAACAAGAATAAATAAGCAATTCAAAGACTATTAAACTAAACCGGAAGGCAGAATGTAAAAGAAACTGCTTAGAGTAACATAAACATTGTTTACTGCCTTGCAATGCTGGTGTTCTGCCAATAAAGTCACTTCTCATGAAAGTGACTAGTTTCCCATTCACTATATTACAAGCCTTTAGTAATCTTTTCAAAGTGTATATTTTATATTGTGAGGTTCTGTTAATTTATTCTCAAAGTTTAAGTTTAATTCTTGGGTTTATGTTACAGGAAACCTATAAGTTTACTACTGGCTTCGACTTGCAAATTCAAAATTAACTTATTGCTGACAAGTAATACAATTTATTTCTTCAAATCCTACTTTCTACATATCAACGGCTAGCCTTAGCAGCAGAAAATAACAAAAATTTCAAACACTCAGATGGGACCTTCTCCAATGCTATTCCTAAAACCCAGCACAGTGCTTAACCAGTTCACATGTACGGACCATAACAAATATACCAAAAGATTCCTAAGATGAAGCTAATATGTTACTCTACACGCTAAGAACCCATCCATCTAAGATTTAGAAACCATTAGTATGAGTCCTGACAAAATTAATCCAAAAACAGGAGCTACAAAGTTGGTAAAACTCCTAAGAAAAGGACAGAGAGAACAGTTAGGGGAGAAAGGACAAAGAAAAAGATGAAGACTGATCCAAATCATTTACCAGCAACAAAATTATTTGAAAAAATAAAAATTTTTCTACCGAACATGAACCTGATCTTCAAGAATGATCCCTGCAAAGCCTGCTCTTATATATCCTTTCACAGTTCTCTTGACATTCATTGCATTTCCATATCCATTATCACCATCCCCAATGACAGGAATTGACACAGCCTGGGTGATTTGTAGCCCCTGATCCACCATTTCACCATACGAAATAAATCCCGTGTCTGGTAATCCCAGGCGAGCGGCAGAAATGGAAAATCCTAATGATGGCAGCAAAAGAGGTTAATGAACATATCATCTTGAAATAGTTAAGCAACGGGATAGAGAAAACCTTTTAGAAAAATACATTTGTGTAACAATACACATTCATATTTTGATACTGGAAATGCATCGAACATATATACAGGATAATTCAAAGAAACAAAACAATGGTGTTGTACAAATGAAACCAACATGTGGGAAGAACAAAAGGACCAAACTGCAGTAATTACTAGTTTAACATAAAACCCTATGAATTCGTATATTGTCCTCAAAATAAGTACAATGGAACTAATATCTGGCTTCTCGAAATAAAAGGAAACAAAAGAAAAGTAAACAGAAATGCCTTAGATAAAGAAACAATCAGCGTTAATCAAATGAGCAGTTCGCACTAAAAAATTGCAAATTCACATAGCGGTGTTCTAGTTTGAATAAAAAAATGCAATCCATCATCCGGAAAATTAAAATAAAACAGCTAGCACAAAAAACTCCCATTTTAAAGAACCAGATTAATCATCAAAACTCAAGTAGTTATCCATCATACAAACAAAGACAAAGACTTGGGATTATCAAATCAATGCAAAAACTGCAAAAACCACCAAAATAGAAGAAACCCAACACAAAATCCAGCAGTTTAATGATCAATAAACAGAAAAGATTGGGCTTTTTTTATCCAGAAACTCCAACTCAAGAAAACCCACATTTTGGAATTCTCAAATCAATGAAAAGATTGGAAAAGAAACAAAGAAATAAAGCAGAGTACCACTGGTGAAACAATACTGAAAGCCAGCTCTTTCAACAAGCTTAGCACTGAGACCATCGAAACAAGCAGGGCCTTGGTGAACCCCGGGCAATTCCAGAATCTGTCTAAGTGCCTTTGCAGGTGAATTCCTCTCTCCTAAAGAAGCTGATATAGCTTGGATCCGCTTAGAAGCCGCGAAGAAAGTGAAGAGAGTGTTGGGCTTTGGTTTTCTTGTTTGGGTATTGATGGGAGATATAAAGGAGCCATTTTTGAAATTTGGAAGTGGAAAAGAGTGAGCTTGTGAGAAAGGGTGGTTGAAAAAAGAGAGAGCTTGGTCTCTGCTAGCTACTACTGCTGATGACGGGTTCATGCTTGAAGCTCAGTTTCCCTCCCTCTTTGCGTCTCTTGGTCACCCTTTACTTTGATGTTCGATGATGAAAAGGCAGTTTATTGTCAAGAATTTTTCTTTGGCAAAATTTGATCAATGAAAGAGAAAAAATAAACAAAATTTTAAAAGGCAAGAGAACAAACAAAGAGAGAAGAATAGGGCTTTTGAGTTTTGTCTTGTTAGTTTTTGTAACCAAGAAAAAAAAAATCCACTTCTTTTGTTTCTTTTTTTTTTAAACATAGTATCCAAAGAAGATCAAAGTCTGAATTTAATCATTATGCTATTTAAATTTGTAAGATTTTTATTATTGATTTTTATTTTAATAAATTTTTAGTCTCTTATTTTATTAAAATGAAATTTAAAAATAATTGATAACAGTGTTAAATACTTATAATTAAATTCAATTACGTGAATTTTTTAGGATATAAACTTGAAATTTTTTTATCATGTGGCATATATTAGTAAAGAAAAATTTTCGTTTTTAATAAAAAAATAATAAAAAATGTTTTTTTATTTTTTAAAAATGTAAAATTGTGTTTTTAGAATTTAAAAAATATTAATTTTTATTTAATTAATATAAAATATTATTTCTTTTAAAGCTATTTGATTCATGTAGCCATAAAATTAATGCACCTCAAATGCCAGGTAACCACTAAAACCCCATTTCATCCAAATTAAAGCTAAATCTTAATATTGTTATCAATTTTTCTTAAATTTACTTTCAATAAAACTCATTAAAATAAAATTGGAATAGAGGGATTAAAACAGTAAAACTAACTTGTTAGAAGAGCTAAACCCAGAGTTTTAAATTTACATAATGCTAGCACTACCTCATCTTTGTTTTTTTTTCCCAACTTTTAAATCCAATAATTGTAAACCCTAAACCCTTTTCTTTAATTATTTTTATTTATTACATCAAATTGGTTTGGGGATTTTTTGTATCTCACAATTGAAAACTATAAAGTAATGAAAGCTTTGTTGGAGATATGGTACAATAAATATATCATTGGATTTAGAAGAGCTTTAATATGGGTTTTATTGGTTTCCTTCCTACCAAAAATTTCAGAGCCAAACTTGCCAATCTTCACGGTGGAGAAAAAGTGGGGAGCTTTGATTCAGTATAAAAAAAGGGGTAAAAAAGCTGGAAAATCAAAGGAGGTAAGGGACTAGGGATGGCGTATCAGATCAAAAAATGAAGGATAGGTGACGACAGATTGGGAAGTGTTCCTGTTTCTGAAGCATCTGTTGTAGTTCAAGCTAATGCATATACACGCTAAAAGCGGGTAAATATTCAAGCCTTTCAAAAGCAGCCATTCCAGTTAAATCATGGACATTTCTGTACCAAAGAAGGAACGGGGAATCCAATAAAAGAATCAGTTGACACCTGTGAAACTCCCAACTAGATTTGCAGAACCCAATCTAGCTACAAGGGTGTAAAATGTGCTAATGAAATATAAATATGATCTCTGGTGACAAGTGCTCTGTGATTATTAACAATCTCATCCAGCAATTGAGTAGGAAAGTTGACAACATGTTGCAACAATTACCTTCTTAATACCAGGTCCAACGATTTCCTCAGAAGGAATTCATGAAGGGCAATGAATTGAGTCATCAGAATCATATTCGGAAAATAAATCATAACCTGACTCTACTTCAGAATCAAGACCATTGCCACCAGCTTTATGACCACGAACGATCTTTGATGAGTCCTCCACATCTACATAGGCAGTTTTCTTGTACAAGCCCCTGCTTCTGTCCAAAAATCCTTTTCTCATCAAGCTTCCAAATCTTTCCCTGACATCAACAAGGGGGTGACTCTGAATAAGTCGTTGACAATCATAGGCTTCCCTGAGAACAACAGTTTGAGTAGCAGATATCTTGGAAATATAAAAGATGCCAGGATGGCGCTCAAACACCTTAGTAAACTTCTGAGGTAGTGACAACGGTTTGCGTAGATTACTCACATTCTGACGTTGAGTTTTCTTCTGTATGGTAAGGTGAAGAAGCTCATGAAAGACACCCACGATTCTCTTCTCTGAAACATCAGTACGTGGATCCAAATGAGAGGCATCAGCATAAGGTGAAGTATATGGTAGTTTCTGCCATTCTTTCAACCATTCCATACACTTTCTCTTCAATCCAAAACCCCTTGTAAATCCTATTGGGAAGGCTAAACAGTTATTTTTCAAATCTTCTTCTGTTTGCATCACAGCATTCTTCTCTAATTGGGAGACAGCAAGTGTATCATCCCATGATAAAAGTTTTAAGCCAATGCGATCATCAGCTAGGCGAACCAAACAAAATAAATCAGGGTAATGTGGAATCAAGGAATCAGCATAATTATAAGGCAATCCCAAATCCCATTTCAGCTGATCAACAGTTTGTAAAGGAAGGGTTCTATCCTTGGTAAGCATCAGCAATTTGCGGAGCCTGTCAAGCAAATCCATCATGCCCTCCCGGATAACACCAAGTTTATCATGGTAAAGATTTAAGGCTTCAGGGGTCATCTCAAAGCAAGGAACACGAGTGCCAGCGCTATCAAACACATAAGATTCATCAAAAATGGTAGGGTATCTCCTGATAAATGTGGATAGCTTAAGATCATGGGGCAGACCAAGTTGGCCGCGATGCCGGGACAATTGGTAAATGGGGAGACAACAATTTGGAGCAGAGGAAAGGATGGAAACAAGATTGCAGGCTGCTCTTAGATCTCTTTCACCAACAACAACAGCATCTAAGGTTTTATCTTTAACCCATTTCAACTTAACATTAACTAGACTGAAACTCTGCTGGTAGCTAAATCCCTTCCTCAATCCACACGAAAAACCAAAGACTTTAGCTTTTCCACACAAAAACCAATAACCCATTTCCTTATGGTAATAGAAAAATGATATATATCAGTAGTAACATGCTCCCAAAGTTGACCAATTAGAACAGCCTTAGCAACATCTATAGAGACAAAGAAAAATACCCAGATTAAGATTTTTGCTAATTCTGCACAAACTGCTTTGTAAAGTAAATAAACAAGAGTAAAAAACAAAAAAAAAAAAAGCTAATTCCAGGTGAGACAATTTATCGAACATATAATGTGCAAGAATGCCACCATATGAAAATTTCTCAATCCTTCCTTTGGCCACAACAAAAAAAAAAATGCTTACATGAATGAGGCTGAGCTGAAAATTTTAATTTTCCGGGGAAATGGTTGAGCTGAATCAACTTGTTATTCTTTTTATGGCCTTTTTCTTTTCCTCCTTAGAGGGGTGAATGATTTCCCTGGAAAATTTTCTCGAAATTTTAGTGCTGAAAAAAGAGAAGAACTATGCCGTTACTCAAACGGTTTAGACGTTTAAAAAGGGTAAAGTTTTTTTTTTTTTTTTTCAAAAAAGAAAGGAAATTTTGTTTTTAGAAATAGAAAGAAAGGAAAGTTAAATTAAAATGTACGAATTATTATTAACAATAGGTTGATTTAATCTATTAAAGTTTATTATTTTTGATGAAAAATTTTTAAATTTAAATTTTATCGATGATTATTTATTAAAATTATCTCAAATAAATAATTTATAAATATTTCTCTTATATTATTAAAAACAATACGTCTTATTTTAATTTAAAAAAATAAATAATATATTTATCTCTAAATTTTTTCTTAAAAAAAAAATGTAAGAATTAAATCCATAAAAAATTTAAACTTCACAATTCACAAATAGTATTAATACTAAAATTCATAATTCTTTATGACATAAAAAAATAAAAAATGTGAAACACGTGGTAAATTAATACCTTTGAATTAGAAAATTATACCATCCATATAATAAGAACAAACTCACGTGCAAACGGAGAGAATTCTAGATCTAGCATAAAATGAAGAGGAAAATACTAAACCTAAACCAATTATATATCTTTTTCTTATGAAAAATATACATTTAAAAGGTTTAATATTGCAAAAATATATAAAAAATAGTTTTCTTTTATTTTTTTTAATCTTTTAATCAAATAAAAATAAAATTTTAAATCATCATTTTCAAAGTTCAAATATTATGATTGAACTAAAAACATAGGCACAAACACAAGATGAGTTTAAAAATTTTGTTGAGTAAAAGTAAAAATAAGAGGCAAAAGGAATTGGTAAAACTTCAGGTAAAATCTTTCTTTCTTAATTCTATCATTATGCCATGTTTGTTGGAGTAAAAATAATAATTTTAAATTATTTAATTTCACATAGACTATATTTTAAATTTTAGTTAATTTATTTTAAACTTAAATAAATTAATAAAAGTTATACATTTAAAAATAAATTTATTATTTTAAAAAGTCATAAATGTAAATGAATCATTTTTAATATTTTTAGAATTCACATTTTTATATATAAATAATAAATGATATATATTTTATATATCATGTCTAATATTATGGGAACTATCCAAAATCAAGAGGTAATGATTAAACCCAAACCAATTATGTTTCTTTTTTCTTTTCTTATGGAAAATATAGGCTAATTTTCATTTTCTTTTTTGCATTTAAAAGTTTTAACATTGCAATAATGAAGTAATTTTAATCAATTAATTTTCCTCTTTTTTTAATCAAGTAAAATAAAAATTTAAATCATTACTTCCAAAGTTCAAGTATCATGATTGAACTAAAAACATTGTTTGGCCCAAAAAAAAAATCTAAAATCATTGGCACAAACAAAAAATTAGTTTAAAATTTTTTTTTAGTAAAATTAAAACTAAGAGACAAGAGATATTGTGCGAATATAAAACATCAAAAATATTTATTGTCATCTTCGAATGAGTAGAACCACAATCGATAAAATAAAAAAAAAATTATAATTAAATAATCAAACACAATTCAATTTCACAAATCCAAGTTCAGATGAATTTATTACATTAATTTAACTTAATATTGAAAAAAAAGAAGAAGCAAATTACAGTAAAAACAAATATGACAAGCATTATTACAAGGAACAAGGCAAGGACTGTACTCAGTTTTCTAGTCCTGAGATTTCCTGCAAATGAAGTGGTAGTTTTCAAGTTTCCAAACCATTAACAGCTCCATCCTGACTTATATCCAGAAGCGATTTGACCACCATAGACCATATGGTGCCATACATGTCCAGTGAACAATATAGTTGCATCCAGACTTCGCACATTCGAGAGCCAAACCTTGACAGGGCTCACCACATCTAATGCAGTCAGGGTAGTAATAAATCTTGTTAACAAAAGTGAGAGGGTGTGGATGATCCTCGTACTTGTAGATACCCCCCAATTTGATAAATGGAAATTCTCCAAGAACACAGTCGATATGAGCAGATTTATCACAAGTTGCACAATGGTAAAACCAATGATTTGGATCTCTTCTTTTCTCACAAATGTCACAATAATAACATTCTGAATAATTATTACTATCATGATTTGTGAGTATAAGAAGATGTTCATCGCATTTGTGTCGAGCCGTAGTTGGTAGTGAAAAACATCCACAATGTAAAGCAAAATTGCACTCCTTGCAACAGAATGCCCCATAAATGTATTCACCACAAGCACTACACCGCACTTCATGCTCTATATAATAAAGGAGAGGATGCTCATGTTTTGGACTTGTTCGAGCACCTGGAGATAGAGCAATCACACATCGAAGGCATGTCTGTCTCCCACATTCATTACATTTATAGGCAAAGCCATTAGATATGAAATCACAATATTCACATCTAAATGCGTCATCTGATATAAGGATGAGAGGTTGCCGACAATGATGATGCCAAACATGCTTCTTCTTAGGTAACTCAGCACAAGCTTTATGAAGAAAGAAATCACATTGTGAACAATAGTAAAATGAATCCAAGATTGGTAACACGCACCCATCACAACTTTTATCACATCCTGTGATTTTGTCACTTAACATCAAGTTATGAATATGCTTGAAATGTTCTATTTTTGTAGCTTCTCCAGCATCGTTCCTCTCAAAAACACAAGTAATAGACTCAATAGATATATCAGGCAAAAGTTCCAAACTTTCACTAGATTTCTCACCTTCATTTTCGAGTGAAACCATAAAATATGAATCTTTGTCCTCTGTCACACAATTCACATGGAATATAATATTGCAATCTGAACAACAGTAATTGCCAAGCTCTGTATTGACCTCTTCATGACAAATTAAGCAATCCAAACTTTTAAAAGCTTCTTCTTCTTCAAGGAAATACGTGTGAAAAAGAAGATGATCATGCCACTTGCTTTTGATGACGCGCGGCAGTGAAGTACATTTTTTGTGGACTATAATGTTGCATGTACAACAAATATAGGCAACATAATTTCCTTTAGTAGCACATGCATCACAAATGAACGGGACTCGTCTTCGAACCAGAGTGAATGGATGTTGATGACTTTTATCTTCAACAATAGACGATGGTGGTACACATTCAACGTGAACAACGAACTCACAAGATAAACAACAATAGGAAAATCCAAATCGTTGGGTTTTTTCTTGGCATATCTTGCAAGAAAGCCGTTCATTACTAAATTGTAGGACAAGAGGATGTTTGCGATGGCACATATCATTCATTTCCAAAGGCAGCTCAGCACATTTCTTATGTAAATTAAATCCACAATCAAGAGAAAAGTAGGTATAATTTTTCAATGGTTGCCAACACGCAAAGCACCTGCTAACATGTTTTAATTTTTCACCGATATCACTTTCAGGGGAAATCGGTGGATCTTCAAGAGCAACATGTTGAAGTTCTTTCAAATTTTTTTCAGCAATATTATATGTAAATAAAGCACATTTGATATGAAAGTCCAATTTGCAAGAGCAATGATAAACGAACCTCTTACATGTTTCGCCACAGAAGGTGCAAACGCACCTTGAATAAGAAGATGGTGGACTTTGCAGAAGAGCAAGAGGATGGTCACGATGAAAAGGGTGACTGATCTCCAAAGGTGCCTCAGCACATTTCTTATGGAGGTAAAACCCACACTTCAAACAGCCAAAACTTGGAGCTGACACCTTCTCCACACACCTCGAACATTCAGCTTTTTCACTTGCATTGCTGATCTGCTCTTCATTCAACAGTACCAGTAGATGTTCATGCCCAAAAGTTAAAGACTCCATAGTATGTCCTTCCTTTCTGTCTCTTCCCAAGTATCAGAGTCCAGAAAAACAAAAATAGCGAAACCCAAAGACCAAAATGAAGGAGAGGCTGGATTTGGAGTTTCAGAGCAAAAGTTTGGATGCAAAAAGATGAAAAGTTAAGAAGGATGCTTACATAGGAATGGAGAAAAATTTATAAATGAGAGGTTTCTGCGCTGCGAGGTAATCTGCTCGTATTCCCTTCTTGCTTTGCTTGGCTTTATAAAGTTTTCTTGTTCTCTCTTCGATCCTTCCATGCTTTTCACTTTATTTTCAATTTTATTATGATATTTATTTTCTTACTATTACAATATCAAATTTTCAATATTATCTCATCAACTTTTCATTAAATCTTTAATAATAATGAGGTTAATTAATTTTTTAAATAAAAAGTAGTAATACTTTTTTTTTAAAGCTAAATTAAAAAAAAAAAAAACCGATACATGAATTACAATGCCAACTCAATTTTAGCTAAAAAAAAACCAATTTTAATTTATAGAGTTTGATTGTCTTTTTAAAATTTATATCTAAAGTCCAACTCAACTTAGCCTGTCAGGCCTTAAAGGTACGATTCTTTGAAAAAAAAATTAAAATATTAAAAAATTAATTTGTGATGCATACAACGCATAAATTATTTTATTTATTTAAATATGTGTTTGTATTGCAAAATATATATTTTTCTTACAATTATATCTAAGTTTAAAATTTTATGACAAATATAAAATATAAATATATATTCAATTAACATGTCATAAGAAAATTAAACTTTACTATTATTATTTTGATTAAAATGTTGAAAATAAATGTGCAAAATAAGAGATATTAAATAGGGATAAAAAAGTAAAAAAAAATGAATATAAATATAATATTGATTTTGACATAGCACATATTATTAATTTTAATAGACTTAAATTGATATGTGTTTTTTTAATTTAAAAAGAAACTAATAAACAAGTATTTGAAAATTAAAAAAAAATATCAGAGATACTTGTGATTTTAAATTTAGGGAGAATATATTTGTTTTAATTTTTTTTTGCATATTTATAATAAAAAAATCAGTAATTTAATTAGCTTTTAAATTTAACAATATTTTAAGTAAAAATTAATTATTTGGTTAATGAATGTTTTATCATATTATTATTTTCTTATCTATGTAATGTCAATTTAACCTTACACCAACTACAAGTATTATATGTTATTGTGGACCTATGATCTTATTTAACTTATTAAAGAAATTCTTTTTTATAACATTTAATTTATACATTTAAAAATGATTTAAAGTGAAAGTTGGTTATATATTTATTGTAGATGATGAAATTATAATAATACATCTCTTTTATGCATGCATTTAGTTTAGTTGACTATTATACAAAAATCAATTAATTTAAAATAAAAAAATATTGAAAACATATATTACAAATATAATAATAAAAATGTAATATTTAAATATTTTGAGGCTTTACATAACACATAAAAATAATAAATAAATAAATGAAATCCAAAATTTCAAAATTATTTTATAACGCATTTATATAGTTTAAATGCAAGATGAAGAATATGTACATGTTTTATATAAAAAAAAAACTCAATTTAATTTTAAATGAGATTTTATTTTTATTTTTATTTTTTTCATTGGAATGATCACAATAATCTTATCTCATTTAAATGAAAATAAAGATTATAAATTATTTAATATAAATAATTTGGATAAATATGATTTTTTAAGATTTGAAATATCTTTTAAATTTAAATAATAAAATTATTTGGTAGTCAACTGCAATTAAAAAACTATCATATGTGTCAATAATATAAATTGTCCACATAAAATTATACATAAACAAACGTTATCAAATTTCAATTATTTTTATATATGATTTATTTATTTTATATTACTACAATATCAAATTTTCAATATTATCCATCAGCTTTCAATTAAACCTTCAGTTTTTTGTAATTTTTATAAATATTCTTAATTAATTATTAAGGAGCAATGTTTTATTAAAATATTTTCAATGATTTCATATGATCTTATGAGTTTAAAATTTAAAAAAATAATAAAGATTTTGAAGAAGAAACTTGAATATGCTAGTATTAATTTTTTAATTTTTATTATTTAACAAATATTATCATTATTTTTTATCCAATTTCATATTGAATCTTTTAGCACATCTCAAATTAAAATCTTTGAAATAACATCGAATTAAAATTTTTAAAATTAAAAAAATGAAAATTTTATATCTAATTTCTTATAAAAAGAAAAAAGAAAACCTCCTATAAAATTATTTTATTATTTATTTTTATTTTTTACTTAATAAATTTATTATATTATGGGAAATTCTAAATACATCATTTTTTTTCTTTACACTTTGCTTTTTTTTTTTAATTTTTGTAAGTAAGATTATTTAATTACCTTTCTCACAAGTTTTTGTATATCCATATTCAGTAAATTTTATAACTTACCAAAAATGAATTTTTAGAAAGTTATATAATTTTTCATAAATAGATTTTTGACAAAAAAAAATGAAAGTTGAAGGAAAATTACAAAAAAAAGGAAATTTTATTAGAAATTTTTATTAATTAATATAATAAAAATTATTATTAAAAATTAAAAATTTTAAAATTAATAAAAAATAAGTTAATTTTACTATTTTAACATTCTTTTCTATCTCTTCCCAAGTACCGGAGTTTAGAGAAAAACAATCAAACCCAATAACCAAAATGAAGGAAAGGAGTTTTAGAGCATACGTTTGGATGAAATAGATGAAAAGTTAAGAAGGATGCTTACTTGGGAATGGAGAGAAATTTGTAAAGGGGAGGTTGCTGCGCTGTGAAGTAATCTTCTGATATTGCTTTCTTGCTTTGCTTGGCTATGTAAAGTATTCTTATTCTCTCTTCTATCCTTTTTCATGCTTTCACTTTATTTTCAATTTTATTATGAAATTTATTTATTTTTATATTATTACAATATCAATTTTCGATATTATCCCATCAACTTTGAATTAAACCTTTAATAATAATGAGGTTTAACAATTTTTTTAAGCCAAAAAAATAGTAATAATTTATTTTGTTAAAGTTAAATTAAAAAAAAAAGCAATAAAAACGTCAACCAGTTGTAGCCGAAAAAATAAAAAATTTTTATTAATTATAAATTTTCTAAAATTTATATCCAAAGTCCAACTTAACTTATTATGTCAGGTCTTAGTTCCCAATTCTCTTTAAAAAATTAAAAAATTAAAAAAAATAAAATATTAATATTTTAAATATATTTTAAAATTAAAATTAAATTAAAGAGTTTTATTCATATTTTAATATCTGAGTCCGTTCCATGCTTGAAATTTTTTGTCCAAAACACAATTCAACTATGGTTGCTGTAGGTTATAAACTATCAGTGACCGACTAAGCTTATTTAATAGATGTAGGATAGATGCGAACAAATTAAGAAGTTTATATATATATATTATATATTTTTTTTTTTAAGTTTCAAATTTTAAATTTTAATCATTGAAAATAAAAATTAAAAATTTGATTATTTACTGACAGGTTATAGCATTAGAAAATATTCAAAAGTTTTCAATAACAACTATTCGAGTCACATTTCAACATTCTTTTTTTTTTTTTTCATGATAAGGTAAAGAGGCTCATGAAACATGGCCACAGTTCTTCTCTGGCACATTAGTATGTAGATCTAAGTGAGCAGAGGCAAAGTCAAACAATAACTAAAAGGAGGCCAAACAGTAATTGAATGGAAGAAAGAGAGATACATATTAATTTTGGTAGACTCAACTACTGATCTAGAATGATGCAAAAAAATATTTTGGGAAGGCCGTGGCCTCTACCTCGCAGCTCCACCCCCACAAGCAAGAGGTATTATCATAAGGTGAAGCATACGAGATAATTTCTGTTAGGTAATTAACACACACATGCAGCACTCACATATAAAATAATAAACTTAAATCAAGAATAAAAACACACAAATATATTTGTTTTAGTTCAACTCAAAATAGTCTAGTCTAAACCTAATCCATTAACAAATAAATCTTTACAACCTAATCCACTAACAAATAAATCTTTGTAACTGTGAGATTTTTAGAATGAAAAAAAATCTTTAAAAATTTCTTACTCAAAACTTAACCCAAAACTCAATTATACTATTTTAATAACCTACTCACCTAACTATTCTCTTAAAGTTTAACTATTTGGGATTACCAAACCAAAATATTTTATTTATAAATGTGAAACTCTTTATACCTGTATTAAACTTCCGATGTGGGATACGAGACAAATTCAAACTCACTTAACTTTCGATGTGAGATTATAAGATTCAAGACAAATCTCAACAAATCCTTCATTGACTTAATTTTCAAACACTTTAACACAATCTGTAAAGTTAACATACTTACCCTTCTTCCTTTATTTCATCACAAGGATCCCAACAATTGAGCCTCTATCAATCATGTACATGTAATTTTTTATCCTATTTTCTTGTAAAATCACACTATCATTTTTATACACTTTTAACTAATCATTACTACCATAATATGTATACCCTTGAGAAGCTAACTCACCCAAAGCAATTAAATTATAACTACAATCGATACATATCGTACATGAGGAAGTGTCTTAACGATACCATTGTGATATCTAAGGCAAACACTCCTAATGCTTTGAATCTACACATTTTATTTATTAGTAACCACACTATCCCCATACTTCTCATTCTCATTCAACTCCCTAAAGTAACTCCTATCATTACAAACATGAATTGTAACAACTGAATCTAAAACTCAACTTTTATCACCTTTTAAAGTTTGATTGTCATTCACATAAATCGTTAAAACCACATCATCGTCACCAGATACAATGGTAGCAAATCACTTTTTTTTTATCTAATTTTTTTCTCATTATTCACCTTTTTAAAAGTAGCTATATCTTATCTCAGCTTCTTACAACGTACTTGGATATGTTCTTTTTCACCACAAAAATATTATTCTATGTTATTATAATCTCTGTCTCTTGACTTGAATTTTTCTTTTGATCCATCAATCCTCTTTTGAGTCCTTCCTCGATTAAAACCCTTTACAGTTAGTGTACTCCCTCTAAGTGATGAGTTCTGTGTTTTCATAAACCTTTCGTTCTCACGTAACAAGGTAATCACATCATCCAACTTCAAAGTAGACTTACCTACCAATAAAGTCTGAACTAAAGGCCTATAAGACTTAGGTAAAGATGACAACAAAATTCGAGCATTCTCTTTATTTTTTAACTCATCAACAGAAATCGTCAGCAATTGAGAAATCAATCTATTAAATGCATTCAAGTTATTATGAAAACTCGTACCTTTTTTTATTTTTAGAGAATATAGATCCATTTTCAAACATAATTTATTAGTCAATGACTTTGAAATATAAATACCCGTAAGCTTATCCCAAAAACTCTTTGGAGTACTCTCAGTTAACATATTATACTTTACTTCTAGGGCTAGCGCCAATCTAATAGTACTAACAACCATTTTCTAAATTTTATTTCAATTACCATCAAATATTTTCTTAAGCTTACTACTCTCTAATGTTTGATCCAACCCTTATTGTACTAACAAATCTTGAATCGTACTTTGTCATAATATAAAATTACTCTTTCTATCAAATAACGAAATATCAAACTTAAGCATAAACATACTAAATATACATTCTTCAAATATCTTGAAACACTACTTCATGATCTCTTAAGCCCACGGACCTTAAACCTTAAACTTTACTCTGTACCACTTGTTGAGAATCACCACAGCTCTAATACTACTGTTGAGAAATTAACACGCACATGCAGCATTCACACAAAAATAAGAAGCTCAAATAAAAAATAAGAACGTAAAATATATTTATTTCGGCCTAACTCAAAATGTCTTACTCCAAACCTAATCCACTAACAAATAAATCTTTATAACTATGAGATTTTTACAATGAGAAAAATTTTCAAAAACTCCTTACTCGATACTTAACCAAAAACCTAATTACACTTTTTAATAACTTACTCACTTAGCTATTCTCTTGGTATTTAACTATTTGAGATTACCAAACCAAAATCAAAATCTCTTATTTATAAGAGTGAAACCCTTTATATTTTTATCAAACTCTCGATATAAAATACAAGATAAACTCAAATTCACTTAATTTTCAATATAAAATTATAAGATTTAAGATAAATCTCAATAGTTTCAGCTATTTTTTTAGCAATTTTTATCCATGCATTTTCTCTTCATTAATCCAAAACGAAAACCCCATTGTAAATCCTTTTAGAAAGTTTTTAAATCTTCTTCACTTTGCGGGAGAGCATTCTTTTCTAATCGAGAGATTACAATTGTATCATATCTTAATAAAAATTTTAAACTATATTGTTTTCTTTTAATTAAGAGATTGCAAGTGAACTCATAATTTTTATCATCATAATTAAGTAAAATAATATTATTATGAAATAAACAGGTGTAAATTGTAAAGCTCATTTATGTCAAATAATAATTCAAAGATAAATCAAATATTACTTAAATTTTTTGTAATTTTTATAAATATTCTTAATTATTTTATTGAGGAGTAATATTTTATTAAAATATTTTCAACGATTTCATATGATTTTATGAGTCTAAAATTTTTTTTAAAAAATAGATAAGGATTACGAAAAAGAAACTTGAATATGATAGTATTAATTTTTTAATTTGTATTATTTAACAAATATTTTCATTTTTTTATCCAATTTCATATTGAATCTTTTAACACATCTTAAATTTAAAATATTTGAAATAACATCAAATTAAAATTTTTAAATTTAAAAAATGAAAAATTTATTCCTAATTTCTTATAGAAAGAAAAAAAGAAACCTCTTATAAAATCATTTTTATTTTTTTAATCAACAATTATTTTATTTTTTATTTTTATTTTTTCTTAATAAACTTATTACTATACAAGAAATTCTAAATGCACTTCATTTTTTCTTTTCACACCTCAACTTTTTTTTATATAAATAAAATTATTTAATTATCCTTTTTTACATGTTTTTGAAAATTCATAACTTACCAAAAATAAATTTAACTTACCAAAAATGGATTTAACTTTCCAAAAATGAGTTTAACTTTTCAAAAATGAATTTTCAAAGAGAAAGACAATGAAAGTTTAAGGAAAATTACAAAAAAAAAAAATTCATTAGAAATTTTTATTAATTAGTGTAATAAAAAATTATAATTAAAAAATCATAAAATTTAAAATTAATAAAAATAAGTTGATTTAATTATTTTGTCCTCAGAGAACAAATAAAATCTTATGACAAAATAATAAAATCAAAATGTTTTATTAATTTTAAATTTTATGATTTTTTTAATAATAACATTTTTATTACACTAATTAATATAATTTTTTAATAATTTTTTTAATTTTCCTTAAACTTTCATTTCTTTCAAAACTTTATTTTTAAAAAATTATAAAATTTACAGAACATAAATATTCAAAAAAAAATTTTAAAAATAAATAATTTTATTTAAAATTTTTTAAAAGAAGTGTGAAAAAAAAAAAAAACAGGGTGCAGTATATTCCTCTCCTTGAAACGTGACAGCCGTATCCTAGTCTGAAAGTAAAATGCCAGTTATGTCCCTTACTCAATCTAACAGACACGTGTGGAACAGCAGTCTTCTTTGCTTTGATGATATTTAACGTCTTTTCTCTCGATCTCTCATCTCAACAGAGTTTCTGACAATAGATTTTGATGGACCAAGCCTATTCTCATTGTCTTCTCTGAACTCTTCCCCCGCCCACTCCTTCTCTTTCATGGCGAACGCTGCTGCTTCTTCCTTCTCCGTCGGTAGTCACAATAATTTCTCTCTTTTTTTTTTTACTATTAATGGAATGATTGCTTACAGGCAAATGAAGATAGAGATTTTCTTTTGTTAATTTTTTAAGTACCCATTTCGATTTTCTTCTTTTAAAGCAAACCGTTTTTGGTTATTTGTATGTTTCAATGCCTAATTTGCCGTAGAAAAGATGGTTTTGTTAGCTTAAACTGGTGTGCCCATATGCATGTAAGTTTTTTTATTATTATTATTTTTATTTTTAGTCAAGTTGATTCAATTGATGTGATGGAAAGATGATGCAAAAGAGTGTAAATATGCAAATTATATAAGTAATTTTTGTTATAATTTTTCCTTCACTTTGTCTTCTTATTTATGCTCAAAATTTGGATGACAGTATGATAGCAACAAAGACTTGAAATAGGACATTCCCTATAGCTGTGTTCAAGAGGAAACATATTTTCTTTTTGGTTTTTGAATGAACAAAAGAACTCTGAATGCCCCCACTTTGAAAATTTTATGAGATTTGTATACCCTTCTCATGGCTATCATCAGAACACTTACATGCAAATGGGCAAACTTCATGTTCTGGAATGTAGTTTATCGTCTGTTTTTCACTTATCTGATTGCCAGGGAAATTTCCTTTTTATATTAATTTTAAATTTATGGAATGGGTTTGGGAGAGCAATTGGCTTTGTCAAGTAGTTAACCAATTATAGTTTTCATTTTGCCAAGAAGTGAACATCTTGTAATTGTTATCTAGCTTTGGGTTCTAAAGTTGATTTCCATTGTTGGGGAGAATGCTTAAAAAATGTATAGACTTATGATTTGGCGTCTAATTCTAGGTTTTATACTCATATTTTTCCTTCGTACCAACATAAAATATTAAAGGAATGCACATTTCGTGAATATTTTTCCTACATTTTACTTATAGTGTGGCTAATTTTGAGGTCTGCATTTGCATTTTCATGATTTCTTTTGGTAACCCCTTATTGTTGCATGATGCTATCAGGTCCTTTGCAGTGTCATTTATGTCAAGTAGAAGGGGTTTATTACTCACCTTTACATGGGGTGAGAGGCAGTTGGATCAAAGCTACGTTTTTCTGATGGTTGTAAAGCTATTGACTTATCTAGCATAAGGTGCGAAATGGTTATATCTAAGCTTATATGGAAAGAGAAAACCATTTCTGGATTCTGTCAAATTGATCCAGTTTTTCTTTATTAATTTGTTTATGATTTTTTATAGCAGTATCTTTCCATTTCTTTGGCAAGCCATCTATTTTTGAAGCTTAGATTTTATTGTGCATGTGTCTGGCTTGTTGATTTACAAGTACAAGTTAAAAATTGCTTGATATTTTGGCTCATTGCATTTGTTGTGTGATGGTTGTTTCTCCTGAGAGTTTTATGTATTATTGTAATGTTGTCTGGTGAGAAGGTCAAGTCTATGTATCATACGTTTTAGCAAATTGTACAAATTGGTGATTAACAGATATTTATTTGCTCACCTAAATAGGAAAGCAATATTATTGTCAAGATGTGTCTTGTGGATCTTTCCATCTGATAAACTATGAATTTTGGTATTAGCTTGGCTAATGCAGTGATAATGTTGTGGGTAACACCTTAACACTCGTTGTTTCTGGAAGTGCTTGTTTGTTTTGTGGTCAATAAGAAAAACATGCTAGTTTGATTAAATTGCCTCTACTTTAATGTTGTTTGGATTCAAGGCAATTCTACACCAAAAATACGTTAATGCAGTCATGTTTGCTTTTGTAATATTTATGGAATGAATGTAGTGTGGGTTATTTGAGAGATGGGCATTGGTCTAATGTCTAAAAAAATGGAAAAAAGAAGATAGGTAGCATGTGAAGCATGGTTCCATCTAGCATCCATCAACCATGACTCTACTGCTTTCTTGGTCTCCATTTTTAATATTTTTGCAAGTAAGTTGAATATCTGCTAAATACTAATATAGTAATCTGGTCTTCTCAGCTGTTTTGTCTTTAGATACATGGTTAAGATGCAGTTTTCCATTTTCAGTTTCAGATGCAGGAATCCATTTTTGGGATCAATACAATTTCATTGGTTGTCTGAGGTACATGATCTTTGCCTTTCAAAAGTATCGGTTGCCACAGATTATTCTGATTCTGTTCCATATTCATCTTGTTATGCAAGTAACCAAGGTTATCATCCTCTTGAAGAACTGAAAGTTTGCAAAAGGATCCGAGAAACAAAATTATCATCAGCTGAAATAGCAAGGACAACTGTTGAGGTGCATCTTTTAAAATCTTGTTATTACAGATCTGGCAAAAAAATTTAGAGTTTAGATCATTTGAAATGAGTTGAATAAGTTGACAGCATCAGTGTGTTTGTTACTCCCATAACATAAACATAACTAATTTTTCCTCTGCAACAAGAATTCATGGTTATGCTTTTCCAGTTTTGCTTGTCTTAGGCTAACAGCAGTGCTTTGCTAGTCTTTCCTAGGACGGTACATTCTAAACCTTATGAACAGATTTCGTGGGCTGAATTTCAGTATGTTGTTGATGATTATGGAGGTAAGTTGATGGAGTACCACTTTTGGTCTTTATTAAGCTTTCTTTTTATTAGTATTTTATTTCCAACTGTGTTTTTGGATAAATAACTTTCCAACTTTTATTTATAAATTACAATTTTTTCTTCTTTCAGAATATCTTATTTCCATTGAGGCTTTAGTTGTCTTTATATACATTCTGGTATGCTTAATTTATTATTGTTTTGGGATTTTGAATACTGAAATTAGTGTTTCTCTCTTTCCTTTTCCTTTCCTCTGTTTCTGTTTTCTTCTTCCCTTCTTGTTTATACTGTCTTCCCATTTCTCTTGGTTTATTATTGCTTTTATCTCTCTCCTTAAATAATTAGTTCTCTTCTTTCAATAAGTTCGCATGGAGCATGTTATATTATATTTACCTAATTTATGTGTTACCTTTCTTTTTCTAAATTCAGATTTTTTTTTTTTTGAAAATTTTGATGATGAGAACATCTTACAAGATCGTGGAGAAAGTAACCTTGTGGTGAGGATATAATTGCTTCTCAAATACTGTAGCTTAAATTAAGTTTGATACCACTGCATATTTACTGCAAAGTTGAGTGTCTTTAATTTATCATGGGTTAATATTGTGAATGGCTCCTAGACAATAGTGAAATATTCATTGTGGTATCCGAATTTTAAAAATTTTTAATGTGATATTTGAACTACAAATCTGTTAACTAATGTGATATTTACTTTTAATATAACTAGTTTTAAATAATGACATGTAACGGATAAACCACCCTTTAAATATTATATTAGTTAACAATTCATAGTTCACATATCACATCAAAGATTTTTAAAATTCAATATCACATTGAACATTTCATTATAATTTAGGGACTATTTATAACATTAATCCATTTATCATTTAGAAGTCACTAGGCTAACGGTTGCTATGTATCGACTGTACTAGTCAATGCATAGCTGAAGAATATGGTCAACAACGAATAGAGAAGGCAAAAAAATCCAAAACCGATAGGTTCTGACCTTACTTGACTTCTTAAGATTGATTTAAAAAAAAAAAAAAATCAAATCGGGTTAAGTCGAGTGACATAAAAAGAATTTGAGGTCGGACTCGAGTTTTTGGCAAACCAAATCTTATCTAATCCGATATATATAAAAAAATTATTTATTTAATTTTATATTTATATTAAAAATAATATTTTATTAATTTCGGGTCGGATATGATTTTATATAATGTCGGATCGGTTCAGGTATAAAAATAATAAAAAATTTGTCCGATTTGATCAGGTTTTGCTCGTCCTGACCCGACCCGTTGCCATAACTATCAATAATGCATAGCTTTCAGATTTTGATATTAAAGGTTCCAAAGCTGCGGAGGGATTTTGATAAGCCTTTCATCAATCTGTAAACAAAGAATAAATGGCTTCTGAAATTACAAAAATCAGTAATAAATTGCAAATGTTGTAACAAGGCTTTGGAGATGTTAAAAATGTATGCATGGCTGCGGGAGTGCATTATCCTCTAATTGGGAGATTGCAAGTGTATTATTCCATGATAAAAGTTTCAAACCATACCCTACTCTTAATTGTACTGGTAGAGTTTAAAATTTTCATCATCATAATTAAGTAAAATAATATTATTCTGAAATAAACATGTGTAAATTGTAAAACTGGTTTATGTCAAATACTAATTCAAAGATAAATCCGATATTATTTCAATTTTTTTGTAATTTTTATAAATATTCTTAATTAATTATTAAGGACAAATGTTTTATTAAAATATTTTCAATGATTTCATATCATCTTATGAGTCTAAAATTAAAAAAAAAAAAAAAAGATTCTTCAGCATTCTGTTTATCATGCTATAAACTGTGGGATTTTGGAGGAGGGACGAGAGGTAAAACGATCATGCAATATAGTGTAAAAGATGCTTATTATTTGGTATTATATTCAAAAGAACATACCATACCTTTTTGGAACTGATGGAGAAACTTCACAGAAGGCTTTCATCTCTTCTTTAGAAGCTAGTGCGTCTATAAAAAGGACATCTGCTCCAGCATCAGCAAAAGCCCTTGATCTCCAGAGTGACTCCTCTAAAGACATTGCTTGACGAGAATCTGTTCGTGCTTCAGTAACAATGTCAGAACCACTCTCTTTACGAGCATCAACAGCAGTTTTAACTCATTACAGCTACCTTCCTGCCTTTTGTATGACCACAAGCTTTTGGAGACACCTAGCAATGAAATTTTATAAAAACCAGAGCCTCAAAATGGAACAAGAATAAATAAGCAATTCAAAGACTATTAAACTAAACTGGACGGTAGAATGTAAATGAAACTGCTTAGAGTGCCATAAACATTGTTTACTGCCTTGCAGGGCTAGCGTTCTGCCGATAAAGTCACTTCTCATGAAAGTGTCTAGTTTCCCATTCACTATATTACAAGCTTTTGGAAATCTTTTCAAAGTGTATCTTCTATATTGTGTGGTTTTGTAATCATGCTCAAAGTTTAAAGTTTAATTCTTAGGTTTATGTTACAGGAAACCTATAAGTTTACTACTGACTTCTACTTGCAAATTCAAAATTTACTTATTGCTGACAAGTAATACAATTTGTTTCTTCAAATCCTACTTTCTAAATATCAATTGAAATGGGTAGCCTTAGCGGCAGAAAATAACAAAAATTTCAAACACTTGGATGGGACCTTCTCCAATGCTATTCCTAAAAGCCAGCACAGTGCTCAACCAGTTCACATGCATGGACCATAACATACGTACCAAAAGATGCTTAAGATGAAGCTAATATGGTACTCTACATGCTAAGAACCAATCTATCTAAGATTTAGAAACCATTAGCACGAGTCCTGACGGAATTAATCCAAAAACAGGAGCTATAAAGTTGGTAAAACTCCTGAGAAAAGGACAGAGAGAACGGTGAGGGAAGAGAGGACAAAGAAAAAGATGAAAATTGATCCAAAACGTTTACCACCAACATAAATATTTGAAAAAGATAAAAATTTTTTCTACCGAACATGAACTTGATCTTCAAGAATGATCCTGCAAAGCCTGCTCTTATATATCCTTTCACAGTTCTCTTGACATTCATCGCATTTCCATCCATTATCACCATCCCCAATGACACGAATTGACACAGCCTGGGTGATTTGTTGCCACCGATCCACCATTTCACCATAGGAAATAAATACTGTGTCTGGTAATTCCAAATCCCAGGCGAGCAGCAGAAATGGAAAATCCTAATGATGGCAGCAAAAGATGTTAATGAACATATCATCTTGAAACAGTTAAGTAACAAGATAGAGAAAATCTTTTAAACAAATACATTTGTGCAATAATACGCATTCATATTTTGATACTAGAAATGCATCAAACATATATAAGGGATAATTCAAAGAAACAAAATAATAGTGTTGTACAAATGAAACCAACATGTGGGGAGAACACAAGGACAAAATTGCAGTAATTACTAATTTATTACAAAACCCTATGAATTCGTATATGGTCCTCAAAATAAGTCCAATGGAACTAATATCAGGCTTATGGACATAAAAGGAAACAAAAGAAAAGTAAACAGAAATGCCTTAGATAATTAAACAATCAGCATCAATGAAATGAGCAGTTAGCACTAAAAAATTGCAAATTCACAGAGCGCTCTTCTTGTTTGAAAAAAAAAATGCAATCCATCACCCAGAAAATTAAAGTAAAACAGCTAGCACAAAAAACTCCCATTTTAAAGAACCAGATTAATCATCAAAATTCAAGTAGTTATCAATCATGCAAACAAAGACCAAGACTTGGGATTATCAAATCAATGCAAAAACTGCACAAACCACGAAAATAGAAGAAACCCAAATCACAAAATCCAGCAGTTTAATGATCAATAAAGAGAAAAGATTGGCCCTTTTATATCCAGAAACTCCAACTCAAGAAAACCCACATCTTGGAATTTTTATATCTATGAAAAGATTGGACAAAAAACATAGAAATAAAGCAGAGTACCACTGGTGAAACAATACTGAAAGCCAGCTCTTTCAACAAGCTTAGCACTGAGACAATAAAAACAAGCAGGGCCTTAGTGAACCCCTGGCAATTCCAGAATTTGTCTAAGTGCCTTTGCGGGTGGATTCCTCTCTCCTAAATAAGCTGATATAGCTTGGAACCGCTTAGAAGCAGTAAAGAGAGGGTTGGGCTTTGGTTTTCTTGTCTGGGTATTGATGGGAGATATAAAGGAGCCATTTTTGAAATTTGGAAGTGGAAAAGAGTGAGCTTGGGAGAAAGGGTGGTTGAAAAAAGAGAGAGCTTGGTCTCTGCTAGCTACTACCACTGATGATGGGTTCATGATTGAAGCTCAGTTTGCCTCCCTCTTTGCGTCTCTTGGTGACCCTTTGCTTTGAAGTTTGGTGATGAAAAGGTCGTTTATTGTCAAGAATTTTTCTTTAGCAAAATTTGATCAATGAAGAGAAAAAAACAAATAAATAAAATTTAAAAGGAAAGAGAACAAAAAAGGGAGAAGAATAGGGCTTTTGAGCTTTGTCTTTAAGTTTTTGTATCCAAGAAAAAAAAAAAAAAGAACAGAGCTTTTGTTTCAAGTTGGCATTTAGAGGAGGTAATAAATCTTAAAATTTGGATAAGCACAAACATTAGTTCATAATAATCTGATACTTCTTTTTCTTTTTTTTTAAATATTTTCGGATGTTTTAAAATTATATATTTTTTAATATCTAAAATTTTTATATTTATATATTAAAATTATTTTTATGATTTTTTTTACATTTTAATATTAAAAATAATAAAATTTTAATTTTATCAAAAAAATTAATTTTAATATTAAATACATTAAAATAAAATTTTATAAAAATTCCATAAAAGTTAATTTTAATCAATTTAGTCTCTAATTTTGATTAAAATAAAATTTAAAGATAATTGACAACAGTATTAAATATTTATAATTAAATTCAATTACTTGAATATTTTTTATGATTTAATATGTTAACTTGAAATTTTTTTTAATCAGGTGGCATATATTAGTATAGAAAAATTTGTTTTCAAATAAAGAATATACTAATAATTTTTTAAAATCTTTTTTGAAATGTAAAAGTTGTTTTTTTATAATTTAAAAATATTAACTTTTATTTAATTAATATAAAAGATGATTTCTTTTAAAGCCATTTGATTCATGTGGCCATAAAATTAATGCACCTCAGGCAACCACTAAAACCCCATGGCATCCAAATTAAAGCTAAATCTTATTATTGTTATTAATTTTTCTTAAATTTACTTTTAATAAAATCACAGTGACTAAATCCATTAAAATAAAATTGGAATAGAGGGATTAAAACAGTAAACCTAACATATTAGAAACTAAACTCAGAGTTTTAAATTTACATAATGCTAGTGTCTCGAATTTAAAGAAGAGTTTTGAATCTCACATCGAACATAATAGGAAGGTCACTAGGGTATAAAAGGATTCACACAATCTTTTCCTTGTGAGGCACCTTTTGTAGGACAAAACAGTGAGGTCAGGAGATCAGAGTGGATAATATCTCACAAGGGTGTGAACCGTAGCGGTCAGGTTGATTTGAGACGCCGGATGAATGGATGCTCAGATCTCGAAGCCGCGCGAGTTCGGAGCTTGAGTCTCAACCCGTGACAAGTGGTATCAAAGCCAGCCCTATACCATTCGATTCACTCGAAGTACCTCGAGGGAGGTAGGCAGGGTGGCCAGCCTCAGTGACGAGGGCGTCACGAAGTTGGGTGAGGGAGAATGTCACGGACCTAAGGAAGAATTCGGATCCCGAAGTCGCGCGAGTTCAGAGCTTAAGTCTCTACCCGTGACAAGTGGTATCAGAGCCAGTCCTATACCGTTCGATCCACGCCAAGACCTCGAGGGAGGTAGGCAGGATGGCCAGCCTCCGTGACGAAGGCGTCACGAGGTTAAGTAAGGGAAAATATCATGGACCTAAGGAAGAATCCTGACGAGGGTGTCGTGAGGTTGGGTGGGGAAGAATGTTACGGACCTAAAGAAGAGTCTTGAATCCCACATCAAACATAATATAAGGGTCACTGGGGTATAAAAAGGTTCACACCATCTCTTTCTTTCGAACATAATAAGAGGATCACTATGGTATAAAAGGACATCGAACATAATAGGATCATTGGGGTATAAAAGTGTTCACACCATCTTTTCCTTTCGAATATAATAGGAAGGTCACTAGGGTATAAGGCGTCACGAGACTGAGTGAAGGAGAATATCATGGACATAAGAAAGAGTCACGAGATTAGGTGGGAGAGAATGTTACGGACCTAAAAAAAAGTCCTGAATCTCACATCGAACATAATTGCGAATTCGAATTTCTTTCAATTCAAGGGATAAAAATGGTATGCATAGAAATTCAGTATTTTTAAATAATGTAAAAAATTGTGGTCAAGTTTTGAATAAAAACAAACATCTTGATAGTGATAAAAAGAAACTAATTAAATTAAAGTTCTTTCTTTGGCCCAATTATCGATTAGAAGATTTAGTTTGTATGAATCGCTATTGGTTTAATAGTAATAATGGCAGTCGTTTCAATATGATAAGGATACATATGTACTCGCGTTTGAAAATTCGTCAATGGTACATTTTTCCATAGATTAGGTAGGAGAGAATGTTACGAACCTAAAGAAAAGTTCTGAATCTCACATCGAACATAATAGGAGGGTCACTAGGATATAAATGAATTCACACTATCTCTTCTTTTCGAACATAATAGGAGGATCACTAGGGTATAAAAGCACATCGAACATAATAAGAAGGTCACTAAAGGGTTCACACCATCTTTTTCTTGTGAGACACCTTTTGTAAGACAATTGTAAACCGTGACGGTTATGCTGATCTGAAACATCGGATGAGTAAATACTCGGATCCCAGAGCTGCGCAAGTCGAAGCTCAAGTCTCAACCTGTGACACTAGCACTACCTCATTTTTGTTTTTTTTTTTGTTCCAACTTTTAAATCAAATAATTATAAACCCTAAACTTTTTTCTTTAATTATATTTATTTATTACATGAAATTGGTTTGGGCATTTTTTGTGTATCACAATTGAAAACAATGAAGTAATGAAAGCTTTGTAGGAGATATGGTACAATAAATAAATCATTGGATTTAGAAGAGCTTTAGTATGGGTTTTATTTGTTTCTTTCCTACTAAAAATTTCAGAACCAAACTTGCCAATCTTCACGGTGGAGAAAGTGGGGAGCTTTGATTCAGTATAAAAAAAGGTGAAAAAGCTGGAAAATCAAAGGAGGAAAGGGGCTAGGGATAGAGTATCAGATCAAAAAATGAAGGATAGATTACGACAGATTGGGAAGTGTTCCTGTTTCTGAAGCATCTGTTGTAGTTCAAGCTAACGTACATACACACCGAGAGTGGGTAAATATTCAAGCTTTTCAAAAGCAGCAATTCCAGTTAAATCATGGACATTTCTGTACCAAAGAAGGAACGTAGAATCCGATAAAAGAATCAGTTAAACATATGTGAAACTCCCAACATGGTTTGCAGAACCCAGTCTAGGTACAAGGCTGTAAAATAAGTTCATGAAATATGTATATATATATGATTTCTGGTGATAGGTGCTCTGATTATTAACAATCTCGTCCCGTCCACCAATTGAGTGGGAAAGTTGACAACATGTTGCAATGATTACCTTCTTAATAGCAGGTCCAATGATTTCCTCGGAAGGAATTCACGAAGGGCAATGAATTGAGTCATCAGAATCATATTCGGAAAATAAATCATAACCTGACTCAACTTCAGAATGAAGACCATTGCCACCAGCTTTATGACCATGAACGATCTTTGATGAGTCCTCAAGATCTACATAGGCAGTTTTTTTGTATAAGCCCCTGCTTCTGTCCAGAAATCCTTTTCTCATCATGCTTCCAAATCTTTCCCTGATATCAACAAGGGGGTATCTCTGAATAAGTCGTTGACAATCATAGGCTTCCCTAAGAACAACAGTTTGAGTACCAGACACCTCGGGAATATAAAAGATGCCAGGATGGCGCTCAAACACCTTAGTAAACTTCTGAGGTAGTGACAACGGTTTGCATAGATTACTCATATTCTGACGTTGAGTTTTCTTCTGTATGGTAAGGTGAAGAAGCTCATGAAAGACACCCACGATTCTCTTCTCTGAAACATCAGTACGTGGATCCAAGTGAGAGGCATCAGCATAAGGTGAAGTATATGGTAGTTTCTGCCATTCTTTCAACCATTCCATGCACTTTGTCTTCAATCCAAAACCCCTTGTAAATCCTATTGGGAAGGCTAAACAGTTATTTTTCAAATCTTCTTTTGTTTGCATGACAGCATTCTTCTCTAATTGGGAGACAGCAAGTGTATCATCCCATGATAAAAGTTTTAAACCAATGCGATATCAGCAAGGTGAACCAAAGAAAATAAATCAGGGTAATGTGGAATCAAGGAATCAACATAATAGCAATCCCAAATCCCATTTCAGCTGATCAACAGTTTGTAAAGGAAGGGTTCTATCCTTGGTAAGCATCGGCGATTTCCGGAGCCTGTCAAGCAAATCCATCATGCCTTCCAGGATAACACCAAGTTTATCATGGTAAAGATTTAAGGCTTCAAGGGTCAACTCAAAGCAAGGAACACGAGTGCCAGCGCTATCAAACACATAAGATTCATGAAAAATGGTAGGGTATCTCCTGATAAATGTGGATAGCTTAAGATCATGTGGCAGACCAAGTTGGCCGCGATGCCGGGACAGTTGGTAAATGGGGAGACAACAATTTGGAGCAGAGGAAAGGATGGAAACAAGATTGCAGGCTGCTCTTAGATCTCTTTCACCAGCAACGACAGCATCTAAGGTTTTATCTTTAACCCATTTCAACTTAACATTAACTAGACTGAAATTCTGCTGGTAACTAAATCCCTTCCTCAGTCCACACGAAAAACCAAAGATTTTAGCTTTTCCACACAAAAACCAATAACCCATTTCCTTTTAGCAATAGAAAAATGACATAAATCAGTTGTAACATGCTACCAAAGTTCACCAATTAAAACAGCCTTTGCAACATCTATAGAGACAAAGAAAAATACCCAGATTAAGATTTTTGCTAATTCTGCACAAACTGCTTTGTAAATTAAATAAACAAGAGTTAAAAAAAAAAGGGTAATTCCGGGAGAGACAATTTATCGAACACATAATGTGCAAGAATGCCACCATATGAAAATTTCTTACTTCTTGGGCCACAGCAAAAAAGTAAAATAAAATGCTTACATGAATGAGGCTGAGCTGAAAATTTAATTTTCCAGTGAAAAGGTTGAGGTGAATCAACTTGTTATTCTTTTTATCGTCTTTTTCTTTTCCTCCTTAGAGAGTTGAATGATTTCCCTGGAAAATTTTCTCAAAATTTTAGTGCTGAAACGAGAAGAACTATGCCGTTACTTCAGACGGTTTAGAAGTTTAAAAAGGGTCTATTTTTTTTTCTTTAAGAAAGAAAGGAAAAGTTTTTTTTTTTTTGAAATAGAAAGGAAGGAAAGTTAAATTAAAATATAAGAATTCACAACTAGTATTAATAGTATTTCATAATTCTTTATGGCATAAAAAAATGTGATACACGTGGTATATTTGTATCTTTGAATTAAAAAATTATAATATCCATATATAAAAACAAACTCACGTACAAAAGGAAAGAACTTTAGATCTAGCACAAAATGAAGAGGTAAAGATTAAACTGAAACCAATTATTTTTTTTTTTTCTTATGAAAAATATACATTGAAAAGGTTTATTATTGCAAAAATATATAAAAAAAAAAGTAGTTTTCTTTTATTTTTTTTATCTTTTAATCAAGTAAAAATAAAATTTTCTATGATCATTTTCAAAGTTCAAATATTATGATTGAACTAAAAAATTGGTACAAACAAAATATGGGTTTAAAATTAAGAGACAAGAGATATTAAGAAAATATAAAACATCTAAAAAACTTATTATCATCTTCATATGAGTAGAATCTCAATTGAAAAAATAACAGAAATTTCAGATTGAATAATCAAATACAATTCAAATCTCTTAAATTCAAGTTCAGATGGATACATTACATTAATTTAACTTAATATTGAAAAAAAAAAAAGCAAATTACAGTCAAAACAAATCTAACAAGCATTATTACAAGGAACAATGCAAGGACTATACTCAGTTTTCTAGTCCTGAGATTTCCTGCAAATGAAGTGGTAGTTTTCAAGTTCCCAAACCAACAACTGCTCCATCCTGACTTATATCCAGAAACGATTTGACCACCATAGATTAATTGGTGCTATACATTTCCAGTGAACAATATAGTTGCATCCAGACTTCGCACATTCGAGAGCCAAACCTTGACAGGGCTTACCACATCTAACGCAGTCAGGGTAGTAATAAATCTTGTTAACAAAAGTGAGAGGGTGTGGATGACCCTTGTACTTGTAGATACCCCCCAATTTGATAAATGGAAAATTTCCAAGAACACAGTCGATATGAGCAGAATTATCACAAGTTGCACAATGGTAAAACCAATGATTTGGATCTCTTCTTTCCTCACAAATGTCACAATAATAACATTCTGAATAATTATTGCCATCATGATTTGTGAGTATAAGAAGATGTTCATCACATTTGTGTCGAGCTGCAGTTGGTAGTGAAAAACATTCAGGATCTAAAGCAAAATTGCACTCCTTACAACAGAATGCCCCATCTGTACCATCACCACAAGCAATACAATGCCCTTCATACTGGTTATAGTAAAGGAGAGGGTGCTCATGTTTTGGACTTGTTCGAGCACCTGGAGTTAGAGCAATCACACATCGAAGGCATGTCCGTCTCTCACATTCACCACATTTATATGCAAAGGCATTAGATACGAAACGACAATTTTCACATCTAAAAACGTCATCTGATGTAAGGATGAGAGGTTGCTGGCAATCATGATGCCAAACATGCTTCATCTTAGGTAACTCAGCACAAGCTTTATGAAGAAAAAAATCACATTGTGAACAATAGTAAAATGAATCCGAGATTGGTAACACGCACCCATCACAACTTTTATCACACTCTCTGATTTTGTCACTTAACATTAAGTTATGAATATGCTTGAAATGCTTTATTTTTGTAGCTTCTCCAGCATCGTTTCTCTCAAAAACACAAGTGATGGACTCAATAGATATATCAGGCAAAAGTTCCAAACTTTCACTAGATTTCTCACCTTCATTTTTGAGTGAAACTATAAAATACGAATCTTTGTCCTTTGTCACACAGTTCACATGGAATATAATATTGCAACTTAAACAAGAGTAACTGCCATACTCTGTATTGACTTCTTCATGACAAATTAAGCAATTCTGACTTTTAAAATCTTCTTCGTGAAAGAAATATGTGTGAGAAATGCGATGCTCATGCCACTTGCTTCTGATAATTCGTGGCAATGAAAGGCATTTTTTATGGACTATAATGTTGCATGTACAACATATATAGGCAACACAATTTCCTTCTGTACCGCAAGCATCACAAATGAATGGAGCTTCTCTCAGGAGCAGGGTGAATGGGTGTTGATGACTTTTATCTTCAACAACGGGCGGTTGTGATACACATCCAATGTGAACAGCAAATTTACAAGGTGAACAACAATAAACAAATCCTCTTCGTGGGGTTTCTTGACATATCTTGCAAGAAAGTCGTTCACTATTAAATTGCAAAAGAAGAGGATGTTTACGATGGCTCGGGTGATTGATTTTAAGAGGCAGATCAACACATTTTTTGTGTAGATTAAATCCACAATCAAGAGAAAAGTGGGTATAATTTATCAAAGGTTCCCAACACCCGAAGCACTTACTAACGTCTTTTAGTTCTTCACCAATGTCACTTTCAGTGGAAATCGGTGGATCTTCAAGAGCAACATGTTCAAGCTCTCGCAAATTTTTTTCAGCAATATTATATGTAAACAAAGCACATTTGATATGAAAGTCCAATTTGCAAGAGCAATGGTAAACGAACCTCTTACATGTTTTGTTACAAAAGTAGCAAACGCACCATGTATAAGAAGATGGTGGACTTTGCAGAAGAGCAAGAGGATGGTCACGATGAAAAGGGTGATTGATCTCCAAAGGTGCCTCAGCACATTTCTTATGGAGGTAAAACCGGCACCCAAAACAGCCAAAACTTGGAGCTGACACCTTCTCCCCACACATCGAACACTTAGCTTTTTCACTTGCATTGCTGATCTGCTCTTCATTCAACAGTACCAGTGAATGTTCATGCCCAAAAGTTTGAGACTCCATAGTATGTCCTTCCTTTCTGTCTCTTCCCAAGTATCAGAGTCCAGAAAATAAAAAATAAAAAACACCGAAACCCGAAGTCCAAAATGAAGGAGAGGCTGGATTTGGAGTTTCAAAGCAAACGTTTGGATGCAAAGAGATGAAAAGTTAAGAAGGATGATTACTTGGGGATGGAGAAAAATTTATAAATGAGAGGTTTCTGCGCTGTGACGTAGTCTTCTCGTACTCCTTTCTTGCTTTGCTTGGCTTTATAAAGTTTTCTTGTTCTCTGTACTGTCCTTCCATGCTTTTCACTTTATTTTCATTTTTATTATGATATTTATTTATTTTCTTATTATTACAATATCAAATTTTCAATATTATCCCATCAACTTTTAATTAAATCTTTAATAATAATGAGGTTAAATAATTTTTTAAGTCAAAAAAATTAGTAATAATTTATTTTGTTAAAGCCCAATTAAAAAAAAAAAAAAAACTGATACATCAATAACAATGCTAACTCAGTTTTAGCTAAAAAAATAACCATTTTTAATTCATAGAGTCTGATTGTCTTTCTAAAATTTATGTGCTTGTATTGCTAAATTTATATTTTTCTTACAATTATATCTAAGTTTAAAATTTTATGACAAATATAAATATAAATATATATTCAATTAACATGTCATAGGAAAATTAAACTTTACTATTATTATTTTGATTAAAATGTTGAAAATAAATGTGAAAAATAAGAGATATTAAATATGGATCAAATTGTAAAAAGAATTGAATATAAATATAATATTGATTTTTTAGGAGTAAATAAATATTGAATGATTAATTAAATAATAAAAAAAAGTATTGGCATACCTTTACTAAATTATGATTTTGATTAAAATATTAAAAAAAAGCAATCAAGAAATGTGTGATAAACAAAAAAGAATTGAATAAAAATAATGTCAAAAGAAGAAATCATCTAAATAAAATAAACAATAAAATTATGAAAATAATATAAATCTTAAAGAAAAATTGAATATTATTAATTATTAATAGACTTAAAGTGATATGTGTTTTTTAATTTTAAAAGAAACTAATAATAAAGTATTTGAAAATAAAAAAAAATAGAAGAGATACTTGTAATTTTAAATTTAGGGAGAATATTTTTGCTTTAATTTTTATTGGCATATTTATAATTAAAAAAATCAGTAATATAATTTGTTTTTAAATTTAGCAATATTTTAAGTAAAAATTAATTATTTGATTAATGAATATTTTGTCATATTATTATTTTCTAATCTATTTAATGTCAATTTAACCTTGCACCAACTATAAGTATTATATGTTATTGTAGACTTATGATCTTATTTAATTTATTAAAGAAATTCTTTTTTTATAACACTTAACTTAATTTTAATATTTAAAAATAATTTAAAGTGAAAGTTGGTTATATATTTATTGTACATGACGAAATTATAACAATACATATCTTTTATGCATGCATTTAGTTTCACTTATTATTATACAAAAATCAATTAATTTAAAATAAAAAATATTAAAAACATATATTACAAATATAATAATAAAAATGTAATATTTAAATATTTCAACGCTTTACATAACATATAAAGATAATAAATAAATAAATGAAATCCAAAATTTCAAAATTATTTTATAACGTACTTATATAGTTTAAATGCAAGATGAAAAATATGTACATGTTTTATATAAAATATAGTTAGATTAATTTTAAATGAGATTTTATTTTTAATTTTTTTATTGGAATAATCACAATAATCTTATCTCATTTAAATGAAGAAAAAAATTATAAATTATTTAATATAAAAATTTGGATAAATATGATTTTTTAAGATTTGAATATCTTTTAAATTTAAATAATAAGGTTTTTTGGTAGTCCACTACAATTAAAGAACTATCGTATGATTTAATAATATGAATTGTCCACATAAAATTACACGTAAACAAAATTATTTTTATATATGATTTATTTATTTTATATTATTACAATATCAAATTTTTAATATTATCCATCAACTTTCAATTAAACCTTCAATTTTTTTTTGTATTTTTTATAAATATTCTTAATTAATTATTAAGGAGCAATGTTTTATTAAAATATTTTCAATGATTTCATATGATCTTATGAGTTTAAAATTAAAAATATATATATTTTGAAAAAGAAACTTGAATATGACAGTATTAATTTTTTAAGTTCTATTATTTAACAAATATTATCGTTATTTTTTTTATCCAATTTTCATATTGAATCTTTTAGCACATCTCAAATTAAAATATTTGAAATAACATCAAATGAAAATTTTTAAAATTAAAAAAATGATATTTTTATTTCTAATTTCTTATAAAAAGAAAAAGATAACCTCCTATAAAATTATTTTATTATTTATTTTTATTTTTTATGTAATAAATTTATTATATTATGGGAAATTCTAAATGTATCATTTTTTTTCATTACGCTTTACTTTTTTTTCAAAATTTTGTTGTAAATAAAATTATTTAATTACCTTTCTCGCAAGTTTTTGTATAATCATATTCGATAAATTTTATAATTTACCAAAAATAAATTTATAAAAAGTTATATAATTTTTCATAAATGGATTTCCAAAGAAAAAGAGAATGAAAGTTGAAGGAAAATTACAAAAAAAAAAAGAAATTTTATTAGAAAATTTTATTTATTAATATAATAAAAAATTATTATTAAAAATTATAAATTTTAAAATTAATTAAAAAGTAAATTAATTCTACTATTTTAACATTTTTTTCTATCTCTTCCCAAGTACCAGAGTTTAAAGAAAAACAATGAAACCCAAAGACCAAAATGAAGGAAAGCTGGATTTGGAGTTTCAGAGCATACGTTTGGATGAAATAGATGAAAAGTCAAAAAGGACACTTACTTGGGCATGGAGAGAAATTTGTAAAGGAGAGGTTGCTGCGCTGTGAAGTAATCTTCTGATATTGCTTTCTTGCTTTGCTTGGCTTTATAAAGCATCCTTTTTCTCTCTTTTACCCTTTTCATGCTTTCACTTTATTTTCAATTTTATTATGAAATTTATTTATTTTTTTATTATTACAATATCAAATTTTCCATATTATCCCATCAACTTTCAATTAAACCTTTAATAATGATGAGGTTAAATAAATTTTTTAATTCAAAAAATAGATATAATTTATTTTGTTAAAGCTAAATTAAAAAAAAAAAACTCAATAACAATACCAATTCAATTGTAGTTAAGGATGTAATTGAGTCGAGTCGAGCCGAATAGTAAAAAGTTCGAATTCGAGCTTGACTCACAACTCAGGATTTGATACTCGACTCGAGTTCGATCGAATTTTATTTTTCAAGCTCAAGTTCGATTCGCGATCGAATTCGAACTACTCAAACTCGTTCGATTAAGCTCGATTAATATGTAAAAATAAGTTCGATTATATACTCGACAAGAGTTCGATTATTCATACTCGAACTCGGACTCGAAATTTTTATTAATTAAAATAATAAAAATATATTTAAATATAAAAGTTCGATTAGGCTCGTGAGCTATTCGAGTCGGATATAAAAATACTTGAATTCGGTTCGATCGATAAGTAGAACTACTCGAATTCGAGCTCGACTCGATAATAATCGAACCGAATTCAAATTTTTTTTGAATCAAATCCGAGTAACTTATAACTATCAATGTATCATTTACAGTTCTAATTGTAACAAAAAAAATAACCATTTTTTTATTAACTATAGATTTTTTAAAATTTATATCCTAACTCCAACTTAATTTATCATGTTAGTTCACAATTCTTTTAAAAAAAATTAAAGAATTAAAAAAATAATATTTTAATATTTTAAATGTATTTTAAAATTAATTTTAAATTAAAAAATTTTATTCATATTTTAATATCTGACTCTATTTTATGCTTGAAATTTCTTGTCCAAAACACAATTGGACTATGGTTGCTGTAAGCTATCAGTGACCGAGCAAGCTTATCTAACAGGTGTAGGATAGATGTGGACAAATAAAGAAGTTTATATATATATATATATATATATATATATATTAATTTTCATCATCAAAATTAAGTAAAATAATATTATTATGAAATAAGCATGTGTAAATTGTAAAGCTCGTTTATGTCAAATACTAATTTAAAAATAAATATAATATTATTTTAATTTTTTTGTTATTTTTATAAATATTCTTAATTAATTATTAAGGAGAGATGTTTTATTAAAATATTTTCAATGATTTTATATGATCTTTTGAGTCTAAAATAAATAAAAAAAAAGATTATGAAAAAGAAACTTGAATATGATAGTATTAGTTTTTTAATTTGTATTATTTAACAAATATTATCATTATTTTTTATCCAATTTCATATTGAATCTTTTAGCATATCTCAAATTTAAAATATTTGAAATAACATCAAATTAAAATTTTTAAAATTAAAAAAATGAAAAATTTATTCCTAATTTCTTATAGAAAGGAAAAAGAAAACCTCCTATAAAATTATTTTTATTTTTTAATCAACAATTATTTTATTATTATTATTTTCTTAATAAACTTATTACATTATGGGAAATTCTAAATGCACCTCCTTTTTTCTTTTCACACCTTCACTTTTTTTTTAAAATTTTTTATAAATAAAATTATTTAATAATTTTTTCACAAGTTTCTGAATATTCATATATGATAAATTTTATAATTTATCAAAAATAAATTTAATTTACCAAAAATGGATTTAACTTTCTAAAAATGGATTTAACTTTCCAAAAAATGGATTTCTACATAAAAATACAATGAAAGTTTAAGGAAAATTACAAAAAAAATTTTTATTTAATTAGTGTAATAAAAAATTTTAATTAAAAAATCATAAATTTTAAAATTAATAAAAATAAGTTAATTTTATTATTTTGCCTTCAAAGAAAAAATAAAAATCTCATGACAAAATAATAAAATTAAATTTTTTTATTAATTTTAAATTTTATGATTTTTTTAATAATAACATTTTCATTACATTAATTAATAAAAAATTTTAATACAATTCTTTTTTGTTTTTCTTAAACTTTCATTTCTTTCAAAATTTCATTTTCAAAAAATTATAAAACTTATTAGATATATATATTCAAAAAAATTTTAAAAATTAAATAATTTTATTTAAAAAAAAAAAAAAAAAACAGGGTGCGGTGTATTCCTATCCTTGGAACGTGACAGCCGTATCCCAGTCTGAAAGTTAAAATGTCAGTTATGTCCCTTGCTCAATCGAACAGACGCGTGTGAAACAGCAGTCTTCTTTGTTTTGATGATTTTGAACGTCTTTTCTCTCGATCTCTGCTCTCAACAGAGTTTCTGACATTAGATTTCGGTGGACCAATCTATCTTAATGTCTTCTCTGAACCCTTCCCCCGCCCACTCCCTCTCTCTCATGGCGATCGCTGTTGCTTCTTCCTTCTCCGTCGGTAATAACAATAATTTCTCTTTTTTTTTTATATGAATGGAATGATTGGTAACAGGCAAATGAAGATAGAGATTTTCTTTTGTTAATTTTTTAAGTACCCATTTCGTTTTTTTGTTTAAAGCAAACCCTTGTTGGTTATTTGTATGTTTCAATGCCTAATTTGCTGTAGAAAAGATGGTTTAGTTAGCTTAAACAGGTGTGCCCACATGCATGTAAGTTTTTTAATTTTATTATTATTTTTATTTTTAGTCAAGTTGATTCAATTGATGTGATGAAAAGATGATGCAAAAGAGTGTAAATATGCAAAATATATAAGTAATTTTTGTTATAATTTTTCCTTCACTTTGTCTTCTTATTCATGCTCAAAATTTGGCTGATAGTATGATAGCAACAAAGACTTGAAATAGGGCATTCCCTATAGCTGTGTTCAAGATGAAACATATTTTCTTTTTGGCTTTTGAATGAATAAAAGAACTCTGAATGCCTCCACTTTGAAAATTTTATGAGATTTGTATACCCTTTTCATGGCTATCATTAGAACACTTACATGCAAATGGGCAAACTTCACGTTCTGGAATGTAGTTTATTGTCTGTTCTTCACTTATTTGATTGCTAACGAAATTTTCTTTTTATATTAATTTTAAATTTATGGAATGGGTTTGGGAGAGCAATGGCTTTGTCTACTAGTTAGCCAATTATAGTTTTCATTTTGGCAAGAAGTGAACCTCTTGTAATTGTTATCTAGCTTTGGGTTCTATAGTTGGTTTCCATTGTTGGGGAGAATGCTTAAAAAATGTATAGACTTTTGATTTGGCATCTAATTCTAGCTTTTATACTCATATTTTTCCTTTGTACCAATATAAAATATTAAAGGAATGCACATTTCGTGATTATTTTTCCTACATTTTACTTATAGTGTGGCTAATTTTGATGTCTGCATTTGCATTTTCATGATTTCTTTTGGTAACCCCTTATTGTTGAATGATGCTATCAGGTCCTTCGCAGTGTCATTTATGTCAAGTAGAAGGGGCTTATTACTCACCTTTACATGGGGTCAGAAGCAGTTGGATCAAACCTACATTTTCTGATGGTTGTAAAGCTACTGACTTGTCTGGCATAAGGTGCGAAATAGTTATATCTAAGCTTATATGGAAAGAGAAAACCGTTTCTTGATTCTGTATAACTGATCCAGTTTTCTGTTATTAATTTGTTTATGATTTTTTATAGCAGTATCTTTCCATTTCTTTGGCAAGCCATCTATTTTTGAAGCTTAGATTTTATTGTGCATGCGTCTGGCTTGTTGATTTACAAGTACAAGTTAAAGAATGCTTGATATTTTGGCTCATTGCATTTGTTGTGTGATGGTTGTTTCTCCTGACAGTTTTTTGTATTATTGTAATGTTGTCTGGTGAGAAGGTCAAGTCTGTGTATCATACGTTTTATCATATTGTACAAATTGGTGATTAACAGATATTTATTTGCTCACCTAAATAGGAAAGCAATAATATTGTCAAGATGTGTCTTGTGGATCATTCCATCTATTAAACAATGAATTTTGGTAGTAGCTTGGCTAATGCAGTGATAATGTTGTGGGTAACACCTTAACACTCATTGTGGCTGGAAGTGCTTGTTTGTTTTGTGGTCAATAAGAAAAACATGCTAGTTTGATTAAGATGCTTCTACTTTAATGTTGTTTGGATTCAAGGCAATTCTACACCAAAAATATGTTAATGCAGTCATGTCTGGTTTTGTAATATATACGGAATGAATGTAATGTGGGCTATTTGGGAGATGGGCATGGGTCTAATGTGTAAATAAAAAAAAGAAAAAGGAAGAGAGGTAACATGCAAAGCATGATTTTATCTAGCATCCGTCAACCATGACTCTACTGCTTTCTTGGTCTCCATTTTTAATATTTTTGCAAATAAGTTGAATATCTGCTAAATACTAATATAGTAATCTGGTCTTCTCAGCTGTTTTGTCTTTGGATACATGGTTTAGTTGCAGTTTTCCATTTCAGTTTCAGATGCAGGAATCCATTTTTGGGATCAACACAATTTCATTGGTTTTCTGAGGGACGTGCCCTTTGCGCTTCAAAAGTTTCAGTTGCTGCAGATTATTCTGATTCTGTTCCGGATTCATCTAGTTATGCAAGTAACCAAGGTTATCATCCTCTTGAAGAACTGAAAGTTTGCAAAAGGATCCGAGAAACAAAATTATCATCAGCTGAAATAGCAAGGACGACTGTCGAGGTGCATCTTTTAAAATCTTGTTATTACTGATCTGGCAAAAGAATTTAGAGTTTAGATCATTTGAAATGAATTGAACATGTTGATGGCGTCAGTGTGTTTGTTACTCCCATAACATAAACATAACTAGTTTTTCCTCTGCAACAAGAATTCATGGTTATGCTTTTCCAGTTTTGCTTGTCTTAGGCTAACAGCAGTGCTTTGCTAGTCTTTCCTGGGGCAGTACATTCTGAACCTCATGAGCAGATTTCGTGGGCTGAATTTCAATATGTTGTTGATGATTATGGAGGTAAGTTCATGGAGTACCACTTTTGGTCTTTATTAAGCTTTGGTTTTATTAGTGTTTTATTTCCAACTTTTTTTTTTGGATAAATAAATTTCCAACTTTTATTTATAAATTACAATTTTTTCTTCTTTCGGAATATCTTATTTCTATTGAGGCTTTAGTTGTCTCTAGATGCATTCTGGTATGCTTAATTTATTCTTGTTTTGGGAATTGAATACTGAAATTAGTGTTTCTCTTCTTCCTTTTCCTTTCCTCTGTTTCTCCTTTCTTCTTCCCTTCTTGTTTCTTCCGTCTTCCCATTTCTCTTGGTTTATCGCTTTTATCTCTCTCCCTACGCTTCTCTCCTTATACTTATCCATCGTAAATAATCAGTTCTCTTCTTTCATTAAGTTTGCATGGAGCATGTTATATCATATTTACCTAATTCATGTGTTACCTTTCTTGTTTTAAATTCAGATATTTTTTTTGAAATTTTTGATGATGAGAACATCTTACAAGATCGTGGAGCAAGTAACCTTGTGGTGAGGATATAATTGCTTCTCAAATATTTTAGCTTAAATTAAGTTTGATACCACTATATATTTACTGCAAAGTTGGGTGTCATTAATTTGTCATGGGTTAATATTATGAATGGCCCCTAGATGGTAATGAAATATTCATTGTGGTACCCGAACATTGGAAATCTCTAATGTGATACTTGAACCATGAATCTGTTAACTAATGTGGTATTCACCCTTAACATGGCTAGCTTTAAATAATGACACGTAACGGACAAACAACCCTCCAAATACCACATTAGTTAATAGATTCATAGTTCATGTATCACATTAGAGATTTTTAAAGTTCAAGTTCCACATTGAACATTTCATTATAGTTTAGGGGCTATTCATAACATTAACCCATTTATCATTTAGAAGTCACTAGCCTAACAGTTGCTATGTATCAACTGTACTAGTCAATGCGTAGCTGAAGAATAGGGTCAACAATGATGTATAGCTTTCGGATTTTAATATTAAAGGTTCCAAAGCTGTGGAGGGATTTTTATAAGCCTTTCATCAATCTGTAAACAAAGAATAAATGGCTTCTGAAATTACAGAAATCAGTAATAAATTGCAAATGTTGTAATAAGGCTTTGGAGATGTCAAAAATGTACACATGGTAAATGTTATTCTTGCTTAGGGATGGTCTGTTTTATTTTCTTGTGAACAGAGTTCATAGTGAAAGAGAGTCTATGATTGGAGAAATTAAGAAACTTTGCTAGTCATTAAGATACCTATATTGCATGAGAATACAACAGAATGGTGATTAGTGATTCTTTTTGAGATATTACTACAACAATGGTTCATAATGGAGATGATAACAGTCAAAAGATTGATGGACTTATGGTTTCCAGGGAGTTCTATTATTTCTATATTCTCCCATTTGCTTTAATTAGCACATATCATATGCTATAAAGAGGTCAAGTATTTTCTTTCTTTCTAGTCATTGAGTTCCACAATTTACATTTTGTTATGATTTCAATTCTTTCAGAATGCTGTGATTGGGATGGACATCCCCATGCATGAGAATATTAGGGTAGTTGATGACTATAATATTTCAGACATTGGAAAGGATGATGAAATTCCTTTTGATGATGATTATTTTGAGGTTAGAACCCACTGATTGTTGATTTCTACAAGTGAATTTCTGACATACTTTTTCGTTAGTTTGGTTACTCAACTCACATCCACATTAAATAGGTCATGGATTCTGAATTATCTGAGGCTCCAGTTGATTGGGGGATGCCAGACACTGCCACTACCAGCTGGGTTCATCCTATTTATTTTGCCAAGTGCTTGACAAAGGTGATGACAGCTTAGTTTCCTATAACTACAAGTTGTACATAATTGAAGATGCCCATAATGGCTTCTCATTGAAACTTGGATTGACATCATATGCACCAGTGATTCCCGAATGATCATTATTAAAAATTGGCTATTTATATTTTAATATTTAATTTTATTCAATGATATTCAGTTTTGTTCTCTATAACTCTTCAAAAGGCCACTGAGAAATTAGTAGTTCAAAGAATTGTTTCATGAGTTTGATAAATCAAGTCTTCACTGAATGAAGAGCATTCATGAGTTATGGTTAGATGCACCCTGCCCTTTCTATTTTTATGGGTATCTCCGTTACACTTAGTTTCTGCATTCTTGCAGGCTGTTCATGTGGAACATGACAGAAAAATGGACCACCCCTCAAATGGTGTTTCTATTGTGGGATGCCTCAGGCCAGCTTTTGCTGATGAAGAATCATATCTAAGAAGGCTATTCCATTTTGAAGATAATGATGGATACACCTCAGACTGGAAAGGTTTCTTATATTTATACACTAATTCCACAGTTAGCATAGTAGACCTCTCTATCCCTGAGTCAAATTACTGGGAATGATAATGGTTATCAAACCGGATAGGCAGTGCTAGAAATATATGTGTTGTAGGTGTGAACGCAAACGCATATTCACATGTTTTCCACTACCCAGTATCAAACTTGCTGACAGATCTGTTCTCAAAATGAGTATCCCAAGATTCAATCTCTCAATAGGACTTTTATAACTTCTATACAGACTAGAAATGAAATTACTTACAATCAGAATTTCTCCAAGCTGTTTGTAGACCTCCCTAGCTATCTTATTTTTACACTTAGCTTGTGGAAGCTTGCAAACACTAGCATTTGGTGTTTCTTTTTGTTCTTTCCGAAGGGCAAATGATAGCTTTTTCTTTAGACTTTGATTTTGTACATTCTAAATTACTTGCCTTTAAAACCTTATTTGGTTATGCAAAATACATATTGGTGAAATTAGCTGTTTGGCTCTAATCTTCTTTGTTTTGCCCTTGTCTAGATGGCGAAACTTCCAAATCTAGTTCCAAATATGGTGGATGTAAAAGTGGCTCGACTCTTTATCGATTGGATATAATGAGAATGGAATTATTTTCTGTATATGGTGTTCAGGCACGTAACTTACTCTCTCCAGGGCCATATTTGTAAGTTAGTGATTTACAGTGGTGGTGAGCCAGATATATATGGTTCAGATGAAGAGAAGCATGGAAGAAAGATTATCATCTTCTTTTCTCTATAAAGAGATTGTCTCAAAAATGCTTCAATTCTGAGATAGATGCCTACTCAGAACACAACCAAATTGTCTTTTCATTTCTACGGTGTCATCTTTCTCCGAGATGCTATAACTTAAATTGTAATTCTGCATCTCTTTGTATATTTGCAGTCCTTAATTAGCATGCAAGATTTTCAAGATGCTGAGCCTGATGTCCTTGCACACTCTACTTCAGCAATTTTGGAGCGTTTTAGTGAGAAGGGAATCAGGTGCAATGTTGCTCTAAAAGCCCTATGCAAGAAGAAGGGTCTCCAAGCAGAGGTAATAAACGATACCTTATATGTTTTTGACCCTTCCTTTTTCTAATCTTAAACTTGTCTTGCATTTCTTTGCATCTCTTCTATCTGTTTCTAGATTTTGGCACACCCATAGAGTTGGTGGAAAAGTAGAAAATTGTAACTTGAAAAAAAAATACACCATAAGAGTTCAAATTTTTTTTAAATGCATGAGTAGAAAAAAGGTTTGTTTATTAAAAAAATAAAAGGACATAAATACCCCTAATTATATACTGTTATTACTACTTTATTCTGGCCTTTACATAAATTCACCGAGTTGGTGTCACTTGACTGATGACACCAAACTCCGTCAAGCACATTCTCTATAGTATAATTGGAAAGCACTTTAACTTTTTCTCTAACTAGAATGTGTTTTGCCTGTTATCTGGAATTAATATTCTGTCTAGAGATGTTGAAACCAGAAGTGGTCTTTAGTAATTTTTTAAAACAAGGCTGTGTAAACTTGTTACCTCCTCTGTAATCTGTGTATAAGGTGACTAGCTAAGTCAGGTTAACAAATATGTAAAAATCCAATACGGTCAACACAATTCTACTTCTCGGCTTCCAACTGTCAAAATTTGAAGCCCTTGCTGCTTCTGTGTATCAACAAGGTACTTGTGCCTATAATGAAGAAACATAGGTATTAAGTTCTGATTGATACTACTTTTACTGTCATAGTACTTTTCAGGATATAGCATGATGAGCCAACATGCAATATTTCTGTTTTGATGAAAATAAACAGAAATATTTCATTCCTTTAACATTTTTAGGCAAAGGATTTTGTTCAACTTATTTTCCGGTTTCAACCATGCAAACTTATAAAATAAAGAACTCATATTTATCCATGAGTTCCTTATAGATTCATCTTGTTTAGAAGTGTGATACAGATGGGCATGATTCTCAAAACTTGAGACTATTTGTGTTTGCCGCATTGATATTCATAATCTCTTTGAGCAGCAATGTAAAGTACTGGTCTTTACTGTATAGGGAGCTAATTTGATTGGAGTTGATAGTCTTGGCATTGATGTAAGAATTTTCTCTGGAGTGGAAGTATGGACTCATCGTTTTCCATTTAAAGTTCGGGTAAGTAACTTGTAAAACAGTTGAAGATATTATAGAAGAAAATGCTTTTTTTCATTCCACAGTAGTTCATTAATTTTCTGATGTGATATGATATGGTATCAGTGTCTAAACTGTTAGTCGGTAAGAATGAAGAAAACAGATGTTAAAGCTTGTGCATTGTAGTCCTTATGCTTTAACGTAGTGACCAAGATTAATACTGTAGCCTGCTCATTTTTGGTTGCATCATTTGAAGCTCTAAAAACACTTAACAGCCAAGCTACTCATGTTCTCTCTGCATTCACTATTTCTCTATTATATTTGGTATCCATTATCAATCAATGTTTTCTTCAAACTTGCATTCAAAGAAGTAGCGTTTGCATCATACTTAGGTGATGACCATGATAACTATTTGTGGAGTTAATGCTTGAATTGAAGATCAACATCTGCTACTTGATTATTTATTGGTGCCAACTTCTCCTATTTCAGGATGCAAGAACATTTCTGAATACGATACTAACAAAAAAGAAACCAAAAAGAAAAGAAAAGAAAAACTTGACAATTTCTTTAAGAAAGTGGCATTTGCTCAATTTTGTTTAAATCTTCAGTATTATTTTTCACTATTTTTATTTGTAGTGAGGCTTAAGCCATTCCCTGTAAGAGTTTTCATGCATTAATTGACTATTCTTGCTGAATTGCTGCAGGCTATGTCTGAAACTGCAGCTGAAAAGCAGATCCAACAACTGCTGTTCCCCAAGTCTCGCCGAAAGAAATTCAGGACTCATGGAGATGGGCTTAGGGAGCGAGGCTCTTTTTAGTTTTCCCTTTGTAATCAATCCAGTAACTCTGGTCAAGGACTGTCCAAGACTTCTAAGGTTCTTTTAACCTGTGTTTTTGCAACTTTGATTCAAAAGAGAATAGGCTTAGGTTTTCGAAATTCCTTCTACCTAGTCAGTTGGAGCTGATTCCAATGCAGTTATGGGCACTATTGGTCATGGAAGAACTTGGTCAATTTTGGTGCTGTCCGGGGCAGATTGGCCAGGAGCCTCACTATATTATTCCACAGATCCTACAATAGTGGCTGAGCTGTTTGCAACCCGAGCATTGGCACCATATGATGAAGCAGAAAAGGAAACTCTTCCTGGATGTAGGTGAGCTGTTAAACAGAAAATATAACTTTTGCTGAGGTTCATCCGAAGCTTATGGATTGCTAGTATGATGTTAGCTTGATGTAGTAATAAATCGGTGGCTAAATGTGGCATCTTTTATATATTTCCAGTTGATGCCTGACCCCAAACCTGTACTTTTAGTGGCCAATTAAAGTAAGATGAATAAAACAAGAGAGGTCATGATACTCAGCTTTGTAACTCAAATGCCTTTGAAATTTTGCTGAACCAAATTTGCTTATAGCAGTTGGTGACCGGATCTAGTTTGAGAATAAGGGAAGAAGTTACCGGTACTACAATTTGAATACTAAACTTAATGTCACCTCATAAAAATATGTATATAAATCAATTGAATTAAATTTTAGATTTCAGTTCTCATTTCTACAATGTCATGTAAGATCTGCAGTAGTACAATTAGAAAGTTTATCTCTTAATTCTATTTCCCCATTCAATAATTTGTACTTTTCTTAAGCGACGGGACCTAAAGGTAGGAAGGTTTTCAGGGTGGAAAGTCTGTTCATCAGTTCACCAATGTCCCCCGTTACTCGCAAGGATATAGAACTGCAATAATAACTCATGTACAATATCCTTTTTAAGGCCCCAAGCTATTCATTATTCAATGTTTCTTAGTAACACCAATCAACCCAAAATTGATCCTTTTAACATCTCCTATGGTAGATGGTTTCTCAATTCCAAAAGCAGCAATACATCATGATTTGTTCCCTTGCACATCTTTTCCAATGTTCTTGTTCTCAGCAATTTCCCTTCCTCCGGTGTTACTGGTACCATCATGCTTGCTATTATCCCCGGTTTTCGAGCTTCCAGCCATGGTTCCTGGGTTGAGGTTGTCACAACCAGCCTCCACATCAAAATGCTTTATTCTTTCAGCATCGTCATCAGCCACACCAGCTCGGCGTTGATCCTCTTCGTTGTCACCCCTACGGCAAGTGGAATTGGACATGTACAAGAAAACTTACATCAATTTTCTCATGTTTCACACCTGAAGAGTTGGACAATTACGAAGAAACAGACAACAAATCATACTAGACATAGACATGGAGAGATCTATGATTTACAATCGTATGCAAGCAAAAACACAACCGAATTCCCCTCTGCAAGCTTAATGGAGCCAAGCTCACACTGAGTAGGCTTCGAAAAAGATTTACATTGAATTTATAGATCATTCCCCAAAGGAGATTGCTGGCAACAGAATTCGAATCTAGGTCTTACAAACAAAGTAATCCCACCTTACCAACTCAATTAATACCCGTTGGCACCATACTATTCTCCTTTAGCATGTTACAAAGTTGGAAAATAAAGAGGGTGAAATGCAAAATTACTTACCCAGAATAAATAATAAGCCCAACAGCTACTGCAACAAAGGCTAAAAAGTACATCCAATCAACCTGAAGAGGATAACTGTTATCAGAAAATGGACCCTCAATCTATCAAATTTAGGCTTGAATTCAATCTCAATTTTAAAATAAAATATATATATATATATATATGTATTTTAGATTGCCAACCTTCTCATGGTAAGCAAAAATGCGGATAACAACAGCCCACATGTCTGAGGTCAGCAAAGAGAGATTGAGCATTGTGGAGCCACTCATCTACAAGGAAGAAAACCAAGATTCAAAAGATTGTCAAGAAATATTAGATTCAAGATATTCATATGAACAGTGCTGGAATTTGCTTCCCTGTATGTCCTGGAAAGGTAGGATTGGAGAGTATAATAAAGATTCTACCACTTGGTCATCCAAATCAAAGATTTGTACTGCAATCCAACTTATAAAGATTCTAAAGACAACTGATTTTTTTTCATTTTTCTTTTTTATGTAAAGAAAATAAACATTAATGGACTCTCTAATACAATCAAAGAGAATAGTTTACAAAGTGTCCTCATTCCAGTTTCTGGCTGTTCACCACTTGAGCATATTTATGGACTTATGGTCATTTAGCATGAAAAGATATACATTATATGAAATCTTAAATTGTGATTTTCATACCTTAAGTAACATCGGGACAAATGAGTAGAACAGGAACATAGCCAATGAAAATCCAAAAAATGGAAATGCCTGAAAAAGCAAAAAAGAATAATTAAAGTACATTAAGGAAACAAAAGCTTGAGCTTCTATGCACACCAAAACTGAAAGAACAACCACCAGTTTAGTGATATTCTTCTACCTATTAAGAAATCAGACGTGGGGAACTTGTATGCGTGAGTGCATATGTGCAATATAACAATTTCATATAAACCATGCACAACAAGCGTAAGAAAAAGCAGCTTTCACTATCAGTAGATACAGGATGCCACAAATCTATCAATTGAAACATCTAGCATTATATAGTTTTCACAACATATTATTTGATCCTGCATTCCTGCCTAGTTATTTTCATCATCTTCTAAATAGAAAACGCCAGGAAAATAGTGATAATAGATTTTGATTCACTCAAACGAAAACACATATGTTGCTTTTCATTATCTCCTTAGGAATTAGTGTCTGGTTCTGCTTCACACATCAGGGCTCTAAAATACCTTAACTATTTCTATCAAGCTCTAACCATTTCTTTCAAGTAGGATCAAGGATTGCAAAAATTAATTTTCCCCCAGATGACTTTTAATCCAATTGCAAGCAGGTAATATTGTTCCATTTACTGGTGCAAAAAGAACATAACAGAGAGAAGAAATAAAAAAAATAAAAAACTTCTTACTATTTTGGACCTCATAAAGCCAACTAGTAGTGAAATGAACTTGTTTTAACTATTGTACCTTAGCTGAAGTCAGCTGCTCCTTTTTTTTATTACCATATTCAGATAGCAATTCTACCATGCAAATTTACACCTATATCAGGTATCAGGGAATTTAAAATGCACATGAGATTAAACCAAAGTTGTAGAAAGACATTAAGGTCGCACACAGGGAGAAAGAGATGGGGAGATTGGAGGTTTTGAAGAAACTTACAGCACCAGCTGTCCAGTGAATAGATTTGAGTTCATTGCGTTCAACCATGCTTCTATAGACATCATTAAGGGTTACAGATTTACAATATAATTGCAGTAAAGAAAAATGTAACCAGCTATTTCTGAGATTGTACACTTCCATATCTTTATCAAAATCTTGATGGCATTAATATCACAGGATATTATAACTTGTCTAACATTCTGTAGTTGGGTATGCATATTAATGAGAAATTATAGCTGTGAAAACAATAAATTTCATAAAAAGAAATATAAACCCATAACAACAAGGAGCCATTGTATTAAGAGCAATCAAACTGGGAAACCAAGGATACATTTGGATTGCACTAATAATGGCACCAAAGAGGCCCAAAAATGACATGAGTTCAACTCTATCAGCATTCTTCACAAGAAATTCCTGCAAAAAACAAACAAATAAGGATTTAGAGAATGCTAGACAACCAACTGCTACACACACGCGCGCAGAGAGAGAATAACATAAGATAAAATGATGCAGTTCTTGAGCCTTCTACGAGCTACAGCCAGTAGACTAACAATGATTGTTAAGACAACTTCATTTACAAATAATGGTCATTCTTCAAACCATAAAACAAACTTATTTCACATATGAAAATCCATCTTTAGACCTGATTGGTAAAAAGAAATGTAAGGCAAGTATTAGCGCACAGAGAGAGAGAGAGAGAGAGAGAGAGAGAGAGAGAGATATCAAAGTCCTTGACAAGCTATATTCAGTAGAGTAAGAACAATTGACAGAGCAACTTCAATGTACAAATAGTAGTCATTTATCAGACCACAAACAAGACTATTTTACATTTGAATCCTTCTTCAAATCTATTTCAGGTTTCCTTTGCAGATAAACATAAACGTAATTACCTCACTGACATTACTAATGGCATAGAGTGTTGCCCCAGCAATAACGAGTAAATCTCCTTTGTGAGGATTGCTGCCTCCTGCAACCCACAATAGCAGTTGTCAGACCATAATACACCCCATATTGTCCCACCTTAATGCCTTAAAATAAACTAAAATCAAATAATTGATAGTGACAATATGTGGTTTATTTTGAAAATAAAAAATCCATGAAACTATGGGAAAGCTTGGCCACATGTCAGTGCCCTAGAATTAGACAAAGTTCATAATAATGAAGATCAGTAAAAAATTTAATAGTAAAGAAAGGAGCAATAGGAGGACCAGTTCCACAATTACATCCCTATATGCAGATTAAAAGAAGTGTACAAAAAAAGGAGAAAATGTGAAAACTTTACCTGATCGTTCCCCTGCATGAACATCTGAAAAAACAACCATGACAAGACCACCAACACATACAAGCACACCTGCTATCTTTCTGAATCTGTACTTTGTTTTCAAGAAAATAAAGGTAAGAAGCATGACAGATGGGATAGACCAACAATCCAGCAGCATGACACTTGTTATAGATGTGTACTGATAGGCCTTCACCACTGCACATGAAGTGACAGTCAATTAACAAGAGTAAAGATTAAACGATTTTCAGACATGACTATTTTTTGACATGCATACAAAAAACACCTAAATGGAAATTTTTTCTTGAAAAAAAGGCAACCAAAAGGGATACAGGGTAATAGACAACCATTTCAAAAGAGCAGATGTGTCATAAGCTTATTTACTGATTCAGTAAATTACATTTGATGTTACTATATTGGACGTGAACAAAAACTATTCGCAATCTAAACTGAACTCCAGTTTAACAGCAGCGGTGTGAGCATTGAATTGATTTTCAATGCTAACTCGTAATTTCACATGTTTAGCCACTCGTTCATTCAAAATATACTCAAAATACAAAAATATCATGTAGACAGTTAAATCTTTTTTAATAGAAAACCCCATGGGCACAATGATGCTACTGAATTAACATTTATTCCCAGCTAAATTCTAATTCATCTCCTTTCCATGTATGGTTTCTCTTAAATTTCTAGTTTATTAGTCAAGATGAATTAATAAAATGCTGATCAACTTCCCAGAATATTCTTTCAGCTAATGGAAGGTTAAATTAGAAGAGGCATAGAGCTGAACAAAAATGGATATTGTAGGGATTTGTCACTAGTTAGCAAAATATACAATATGGGAAAAGAAACAGCAATTAAACTAGGTTGGATTATAAGAGTATCTGTCATGATTAACTAAGGAGGTTTTACAAAACAGAATCAACTAGGGAGAGAAGCGAGCAAGCTTCCGCTAAAGACAGCTCTATCAATCAATTAAGCTCAAAGTCTGCAATTTCTCGAAAGTGTCCTGCATATCCTTTACATTTTCAGTAAGAATATAAGTTTACTCAAAAGTCTGCAATTTCTCAAAACTGTCCTGTTTATCTTTTACATTTTCAGTAAGAATATAAGTTTAGTCTAAAATAAAAATAATTAAAAAAAACTAAAAAATATGTGCAGTAAAATATATCAAATCAGCCAAGTTCATTGAAAGAACATGATCCACTTACCAAGATAATTGGCCTCTACATCTACCAATCCAAGAACAACATAATAATACCATTTTGCCTGCACAAATTCCAAATAAAGAAGCCAAACTTAAGGCATCAAATTTGAAAGAAAGGGAAAAGAAATCCATGATAGAGAGCATTAATAAAAACAAAACCTTCCTCCTCAAGCCCATGCTAGCCTTCTTACTTTCTAGTTGAAGTAATGAAAAAGGGGACCAAACAAATGAATTTTTAAGCCTATAATAGTTATATTCATCTATTAGGAAATAGTAACACAAGCCAGTTTATTCCTCTATCGGCCACTTGCTGAGACATATAGCTTGATCCATTAGATATCTCAAAAACCTTCAACTGCTACGTTATTAGTTGCCTTCTTTGCATTCATGACTAGTATTTTGTTTACATATAAAACCAATTTACAGAAGTTTCTGTTTACAAGCACTTCTTGGCTACAAGCATTGCTCAGGTGCATAACAGCCAAGGACAAACTATAGTCCCTGATAATAATATATTTAACCCAAAAAGGTGGCATGTAATCAAATTCTACACATATTCCAAATCCACTCAAAGTTGAAATGAGAAGAGATGTCAAAGCCAATAAATACCTTAAGTGCTTGCCTTCTGTAAATCATGACACTTCCGTAGAAAACAGTCAAGAGTACATAATTTAGAAAAGACTGAGATGTTGGTGCATTGATTCCTAAGATACACGAGCAGACAGAGAAATAAATGATCGATGGGATGAGATCGCTAAACAGATGGAAAATTATCTTTCTAATAACCAAATGATGCTACATAATTAAAAACCATATGAATACTTTCTTTTTTAATCTAATCTAATGTGTTGACGCATTGATTCTTTCTTTTTCTAACTTTGCTTCTGAGCTTTGACAATCTACTATAACATAGAACAAGCGGTGGCAGGGGGCAACAGACAAAAGATCTCTCACTGCTTACCAAGAAAAGAACCAATTGAAAATACACAGAATCTCAAATTTAATGGACAACGAGTAAGAACAAGGCGAACACTCTAAAGAAAATATTGAAATTAAAACAAGAAATATGGTTGATCAAACCATAAATTCAGCCTTTTTAAATCTAATAATTTGAACAAGCAGTGGCAACAATTTTAAAAATCTACAAGACTTTTATGAGAGAAAAAGGCTCCCATTCTTTGCAATCAATTAGTACAAGAAACACATCTACAATTTTAAAACTCAACAATCAATCGAATTAAGTCAAGGGTTAAAGCTAGAAATCAGAGAAAGTAATTGAATTATATTTCTTTTTCCAATCCTTAACCAATTTTCATTAAAGGGTACCTTTATATATGATCACTCTTGACAAAATAAAAAAGAAAATACAAAAAAAATTAAAGACAAAGCCCCAAAAAAGAAAAAAAAAAAACCTTTTTTAGCGAGTTCAGAGGAAGAGAAGCCAGTAGAAGTGATGAGAAGAGACAGAAACTGCCCCAATCCAAGTCCAACCAATGTCTTCTTCGTCCAAAACTGCTTAAAACTAATCATTTTGTTCTCTCTCACCATTCTCAATACCAAAAGGTAATCACCAAAATATCTGGAAAAAAAGAGTTTTTTCTAAAAACCCAGTTAAGAAAAACCAACATACTCAAAAACCCATTTGCGGAAGCTCCTTTAAAAGCTTCAAAAAGCACCCAAATTGTCCACAATATCAGATACCCACCAATGGTTTTTGTCAGTGTAGATAGTGAAATGACTCGAAAGTGATAGGCTTTGACTCAAAAACTAGCAATGAATGAACCGGCAATCTCCACCTCTCCAGCCGTTAAATATTGTTAGTATAAAAAGAATTTTAAAAAATACGTATCCCTTCTGTTGAAGAAAAAATGGCCGCTACCAGCTGTTGAATTTGGCCATTTTCTTTTGTTTTCAATTTTTTGTTTTGTTGGATGGTTTAATGGTAGAAGAAGAATCCAATGTGATTAAATTGACAACACCAACAATAATTGTGGAACTTTGATTATAATAGCATAGAAAAATTTCATAATCAAGACAAGCACATCGGTTCAAAATTTAATTTTTAGGCAAATTTTTTAATCATGTTTTAGTTTTTTTTATCAATTTTTTAATTTTTTAAATAATTAAAATAGTATGAGAAAACAAAAATAATTTTTTTATGATTATTTAATGTAATTTTGTTTAAAACTTGCGTAAAGACAAAAAAAAATGTTGATGTTCTTATTGATATTACTTTGTATTTTGATGATGTAATGTATTAATTTGAAATGTCTTGAAATTAAATATTAAAATGTGATGTTGCCATTTGCTTTGGACCAAAATCTATAAAGAGTTACTATTATCTTATGATGTTGCCATTCAAATGGTAAGGCTTATGCTGGCCACGGAATGTGGTTCCCTTTCCTTTTCACTTTTTAAGCCTTTTTCTTTTTTTTTTTTTTTTGGTTTCCTTTGGAATATAATTGCTCTGTTCAATCTTAATTGATTAATAGTATTTTTGTAGATTCTAATTCTGACGTTGACTCTCAGCCAAAAGCAAAAGCCCATGGAATGACATGACTTCAACTTGTCAGTGGAATTTTTATTTTCAGCTTTCACTGAATTTCCTTTCACACCTCAAGCGAGTCATCTCAAATTTGCACACTATCTCTGGTCATGAAAAGTGTGGATTTGTTTTATTAGGGAGGTGCACTTACAATTTATTCGGATTCAGTTGAAAAAATTTTGATCTTGATGCGATTATTGTTAAATCGAATTTAAATTCAAGCAATTTTATTTATCAAATAAATTGACTTCGAAAATTTAATGCTCAACTGAAAAGTTGATCAGAGTTCCTAATTTGTAAAAGAGTATAAATATACAATAGTGTAAAATCATGTATCTACAAACTGGAAAAATTGGTTGGTTCTCCAATGAAATGATGTTAGGATAAACTAGTCTTCAGAATTGTCAACTAATAGTATCTTCTCAGCATGAAAAGGACCATTCTCAGTATGTAAAACCTGGCCATTCCATTTCATTTGATCTGTAATGTCCTTCAGTTTCATAACAACATCCACATGATCTCTTATTATGACAGTTCCTTGGGGCCTAAGTATTCGATAAATTTCGAGGAGGATGTCGATAAAATCACACCTGCATTCAAGTGTAGATGATGTAAAGATTAGTTTCCAGAGATCATGCAGTTAGCTCCAGCTTCTTCCTGGCATGTTTTCAAACTTAGAACAAATAGAAATGGATTCAAATTTATCCATGTTTTGCACTTTCTCTTCCAAATGAGTTTAGGAGTTCAAGGCTTTGAGGTAAATCATGCTTTTCTCGTCAAGTATTTAGCAGTCATAACCCAAATCAAGAACATATGCTTCAATTGGGAACTACAATGAGGGTGCACAGAAGTGCAGGCCTAAAATTAATTGCATGAAACTATAGAACATGAAGGTTTTTCAATAATGTTATCTGGTATTGCTTAGGAGAATCAGAAAAAACGGTGTTCCAAAATACTTACTTGTCCATATACATGCTGAATACACCGTAGGCATGTACCAGATCATACGTGCGAGGGTAGGTTGAGAAGGCTTCACACCTGCAAGCAAGCACCATAGAAGCCTTAGTTTGCTCCTTCTTTCTTTTCTTTTCTTTTTTTTTTCAACTACAAAAAGAGTTAAGTATGTATACAGATGCATATACACGGTATGAATTAAGTAAATATACTGCCTTGTACACAAAGATCCGGAAATTATTTAACAATGATTAGAGAACACATGATGAATCCAAACAATTGCAATTAAATGGTAGCAACATGCAGAGAGAATTAGAAGCACAATTTCAAACCATACAATTACAAAGTCATGTAATAGGTAATCAAGAAGATTGGTCCTATTCTAATTGCATTCTATGGCATCAGCTACATTTAGGAGTAAGATATTAGTTCTGTAGTGAAATTAGAAAACTATGTCCTGTAACTGATATTGAATCTCAGCAGGCAAAAACATGAGTAACAAAAAGCATACATTGAACGTTGACATGCCACGATTAGAACTTGAACTTTCATTTAAGAGATCTTAAGTTTGAATCTTGGGGGAGGGGGATTTTGAGATATGATAAGGCTAACTCTCATTGTCTACCAAAAATAAATGGAAAGAAAAGCATTTTCTGCAACTTACCAATTCATATAAGTTCCAATGAGACCACGTTCGTACACAATACCAAGGGTGTTCATTTTGGCATCAGAAGGAACCACATTCATAACCCAAACTGGATACTTATCCATTGCTGTGGCAAAACCACCCAATCCAGCATTCATATCCATAATATTTCTGTATTTACCATCAGAAAGTGACTTGAGTATGACCCCATAATATGAAACTCTTTTTCTCCATAACTGATTATCTTCATTAAATGAATTAATTGTAATTCCTTCTATAGTTCCACTTTTCACTCTGGGAGTACCGGCATTCAATCTTTTAGGCCAATTGTCAAGACCACCTCCAGATATTTCATGAATGTTATTTACATTTGGAAGAGGAGTAATGCATGAGTCCATCGTTACATACCTGTTGTACAATTAGAAAGAACAAATACACAGCAAGATTATCAACAATAATTGGAAATCTCACTAGAAGAGAAAGATATATACAGCCAAGAAGAGGGACAACAACAAAGTAATCAATATCCAAATATAATTCCTTTACAACTCATTCAGAGACAGTGTAATTGTACAGCATTGGCTGTCAATTAGCAAAGATGAAATGATAGTTCAGTTCACAATTAACATCACTAGTCATAGGTTCCCTCCTTTTTGGAGTTTCATTATCTTTGGATTATTGTGTGTGTGTGTGTGTGTGTGTATCAAACTGCACGCTTGACTCTAACAGCACAACTTATTAGGAAGTTCTTGGGCTAGGAATACTGTCCAAGTAGGATGAAGATAACTCACCAACCAGCATCAGGGTCAGGCATAGTGCAAAATTTGGGTGATTTCCAAGTTTTACTCTTTTGGGTGCAGTGCAAATGATTGGTAGGCTTTTGCCACACAGCAATTGGTCCCCTCTCTGCAATCTTTTTCCAGCAGAGTCTCCTAGCAAGATCTTCCAATCTCATTTGCTCATTTTCCAAGTCCTTAGGCTCTCTCTGCCAACCTTTGTAGTTAAACCTCCAATATATAGGTGGCCCCGAAAGTACCCAGTAGCCACCGGGGCGCAGAACCCGGTCAATCTCCAGAAGATAAAGTCCACCTGATCGATTTGATTTTGTATAAGAGAAAAAGGAAAGATAGAAGAATCTTCGAAAGTCATATGTACTACATTGGCTATCAACACTACATACATTGGCACAGCAGAATCTAGAACTCTTGTCCAACAGGATATAACAACAACAACAACAAACTAAGCCTTCTATCTTATAACTCTGGGGTTGGCTTACAAAAGGCCAAAAAAGAGAATCATCTTAGATCATAGTTTTGAATCTTCTTGCATCACTCATTTCTTCTTACAAGATATAGATTCATAAAAATAAACTATTCGAGTGCTGATCATGTCTTGCATGTCTTTGCACTACCAGTAAGTACCACTTTGTGAACTGTACATGCAATTAGAAGTTAGCTGCAAGATGGGAATAAAACTTTGTGATTAGTGATATGATACTCTAGCTAACTATAAAGATTGTAGAGTTGACTTAGGTACCACATTGTCACCATTGCCCCTACTATAAATCTTCCCATCTTTTATGTATATGATTCTCTCTTTTGTTTCTCCTAGGATTTGAAAATATTTGCTTTCCCCTGCAGACACAGATTATGCTTACCATATTCAGTCCATGGAACCAGGCATCTGGAGCAGTGAGCCATGTCAAAAGATCTTGACGGGAATGGAAGCCGATAGGTGCTTAGAACACCCAGCATGGCTGGAATTCCTCTTTCTAAGGCAAACTGCACCTGAGCTTCATGTATATCTCTTGGCGCCAATGATAGTGTCAATATATTATAGTCCAACAGAAAGGCTCCAAAGCTAGCAACCTGATGAGAATGGTAAGGAATATGATTATTAACCCTATAATTGAATAAGTCATTACATTAAATACCTGCATATGTCCTAGGCTGAGAAATAACAGGGAAATTTTCAAACCATCTTGGAATGGAACCAAATCGATAAAATGTATCTAAATAGGTACCACCATAAACAATTTAAACTTCTACGAAAAAGTCTAGTGCATTAAGAAAGATGAAAATTAAACCATTATTAACTTCCTTGATGATCATCATACTGTGAAACCACACAGATAAATTAAATCAAGCATAAATCAGCAACAAGATGTGCCTAAAGCTTTTACTTTTTTTGGAAATAAGGCATAAAAGGAATATACAAAATTTGCAGAAGAAAATATATGAATGCCCATTTTGCTCCATTCCAGAGCGATTAAGAACTTGAGATTACTAGAGTACCAATCTTATTACCGTGATTTCTTTCAGAATCTAATGAAATGGAAACATTTTTAACTTCATTTAGAAGCAAGACTAATGCAACAAAGAATAGGTAGAAAAACAGAAGGAAACTAAAGTAGGGAGGTAATTGTGAGACTTTCACATTGCAGGTACAACCAAGCATGTCTAGCATTAAAACTGATGATTTGATAGATAGAATTTGAGTCAAAGTGGATATTGTTGGGAATAATGACTCAAATCCCATAATAGATTTGTCTAAGATTGGTTGGATATTATTTGATGGACAAAAAGACTTGTAGAAAAAAAATTCTAAAAATAAAAGGATTCTTATATGCAAGTTAATATACTTATAAATAAGTGAAATCTCTATAGAATTAGGTATGAGAAAAAAATGTAAGAGAGTAGTAGGGTTTTATGGAATAGATACCCCATAGCACTATTGAAGATTTACATCTTATATATGTGTGTGTTTGAATGTTTGTGAGTGGACTAAAAGAGACTGAAAGGGTCTACATAAGTATGAGTGCATATGGATATGTGTTTTTTTGGATTGAAAACTCTATATTTGTAATTCTCTACAACTAATGCATCTTTTTTCTTATTTGTATACGTAGCTCATTTAGGCCTAACCACATTAAGTTGTTGTCTCTTATAATTGATTGATTAATTGTTAGATTTTACTTTTACTGGTGTACTTGAATTGGGCTTTTTTACCTAACAAGTGGTATCAAAGCTGTGATGATCCCTAACAGTAGGGTGATAGCCTTGACAAGGACATCACCAGAAAGGTGAAGAAGAATGTCAAGCTTTTGCCAAACCACACCAAGCACTCAAAGGAGCAGGTAGGATGGCAGCTATGATAAGGGCGTCACAAGATTGGTGGGAAGAATATCACACCAAGCTCTCTAAAGGAGTAGACAGGGTGCTTCAATCCTAAATTGAATAGAAAAGGAATGTCGTTGGGCATATATGTGTTGGTGTTGTATACCCTAATAAATCAGTTTTATGGGAAGAAAGTAATGGACACGTGACACTAGAGCCCTGTTAATATAGTCAATTCCAGTTTAATTCAATTATCAGATAAACAACTAAACTGGCATATTATCAAATGAAGTAGAGCCATGCTATGCTCAACCAATTCCATTCAGTTATCAGATAAATTATATTGAAATAAACAAGTATAGGACACCTAAAATGTTTGTCTTCTTCTTTTCTTTCAGAAGCATTGACATTGAAGAAAAGAAAACTCATACTCATTCTTAAGTTATTAAAACCTTACCTAGTAGAATATCAAACAGCCAAAATATTTTTATTTTAATTCCTTAATTTTCCTGTTTAACTACCAAATCGGATGCAACAAAAGCAACAAATAAAGGAAGAAAGTTTATATTACCCCACATCCAATATCAAGCGCTGTCCTGATCTTCCCAGATTTCAAAGGCAAAACTTTCTTTATCTCCTCAATGTAACCCTTCACTCCCTTTGGAAAAGAAGTCCCACCACCTGGAAACACCAGCTTATCACCTTCCAATCTAACCCAATTCTGTGATTTCTTATACTGTGCCAGCCCCTTAAAAGGCACATTCTTGAACCAAACAAAGTCCCTACTTTTAGGCCATGGAACTGGCCTTTTATAACCTTTAGGCCTTGGTATCAAGCACCTAACTTTCTCATCACTTTCAGGGCAATGCCTTTCCCTGTGAGAGAATCTTTGAACACTGAACCTTCTTTCTCTATGTGGGTCATGGCAGGGTAAGTAATTGGTGAAATTAGCAGTGCAAAAGCTCAATTTTTTTATGGGTTCTTGAGGGAGAGGGAGTTTGTGGAGTGGTTCAAAGTTAAGATGAGGTGAAAAGTCGTTGTGGGTAGTGAAATTTAGCTGTAAACAGTGAGGTGAGTTATGGTTTTCCTGCTGAGGGAGAGAGAAGTTGGAAGTGTTGCTGTAAGAGCCAAGCATGTAAGAAAGTGAGCAGAAAATGGTTATTAGAAGGAACCTTAATGGTCTTTTGAAAGGGTTTGAGGATGGAGGAAGTGATTGTTGTTGCGGCTGCTGCTGCTGCATTGGTGTTGCCCTTTTCGTCAGCTTTGGTAGAGACTGCCGAGAGGCTGGATCTGATATTGTGTGGCAGATTGGCAGTGGTCCAAGAATGATGCTAAAAGAAACAATCAATCAAGTGTCTTTCAGAATTCACTGGCACCATTGGACCATCTAAGCCATAGATATGATCATAGCAGTGGCCTCTGTTCAATATAAATTTCAGAGTTTCCAAGCCCTCACTATTGGCTTGTCTTTTGTACTGACTTTTAGATTCTAAGCAAGCATTGTGTGGCAGAATTTGATTTGTCTAGGCCCAAATATCACCGTTTAGGATGAGTCAGCTTTGATTTGCAGCCAGTTGTCTTAGGTTGTCTGGATTTGATTTGAGACGACAAAGTTTTGAGTTCGAGACAGTCACCTGTTCTGACATGAGCCAAAAAAATTTTGAGTTTGAATATCGGTGATCATTATTTAAGAGATTTAACAATTTATCTATTTTAAATTTTTTTTATAAAATAAAAATAAAAATTTAACTACTAAGCAGTATTAAGATTTTTTATTTAACAAATTTTGTAACACTTGTGAGTAGAATTTAAATACAGCATATTATTTATGGTATTTCCATATTAATATTATTTAAATAATATTATAATCAAAAATAATATTTGATATAAGGTGATTATTTAAAAATTTTTGATGATTTATACATAATCATCATGTTTGATAAATACTTCATAAATTACGTGGTAGTAATCTTATATTATGAAGAGTGATCAAATCATTATGTTAGAAGATGATTTAATTTTTATTTAAAAGGTGAAAAAATTTTTATCATCAAAGTAAAGTGATATATAAAATGAATAATAATTAATATTATTTATTTAATATATAAGTTAAAAAATTAATTTCTCATAAAATTATAATTATTTTATATTATTAATTTTTATATTTTCAAATTAATATTTTTTATAACACGTTTTAAAATAATTTTTATATTTTATATTTTTAATGTTTTATATATAATAAAATGTCTTTGTTTTTTATTATGATTTTAATAGATTAATATTATTTTCTATTTCAATTATTTTTTTACATAATTTATATTATAAAAATAAATTTACTTAATAAATAATCATATTTAATAATTTGTTTATATTTATTATAAAATAAAAAAAATTTTACTATGCTTTATGAATTATTATATTTAAACAACATTTAAATCATTAATTTGTATAATTATTTTCATATTTTTAAATAAAATAATTTTTAATTTTTAATACTATCAAATATAATAATTTTTATTAATAATTATTAATTATTAATCAAATAAAATTATTTCAAAACATGAATAATAAAATCATCTTAACGATAACCTCACTTCAGCAATTACCAAACGATGAGTGCTAAATGTACTTCCGTCTTTTCTCTTCCCACTTTAACCTTTTTTTTTTTCAAATTTTTTTATAAATTAAATTATTTAATTATCTTTTCTAGATAGTAAAAATTTTAAAAAATTACAAAAAATAATTTTATTAATAATTTTTATTAATTAGATTAATGAAAAAAAAGTTATTGTTAAAAAAATCATAATATTTAAATTTAATAAAAAAATTAATTTACTATTTTGATTTTTTAATTTAAAATTCATTTTTTAATAAATATTTTTTATATTGTTTATTAAATTTTATAATAACTTTAATTAAAATTAATTATTTGCAAAAGTCTTTACATTTATTATCAAGATAGATTTTTCAGTTATCTTATTAGATTTTGACAAAATTATGTAATATTAAATAATATTATTTGTATAACTTTTAAGAGTTGTACATTTATTATTTTTTGTAACATAAAGAGACGAAATATTTAGTTAAGATTTTACTAAAAAAATATTTTTTTAAGATAAAAATAATAAAATTAAAATTTTTATTAATTTTGAATTTTATAATTTTTTAATAATAATTTTTTCATTATATTAATTAATAAAAAAAATTTTGTAATTTTTTAAGGAAAATGGATTGCTTAAAAATTATATAATTTTTTATAAATTTTTCTAAAAAGTCATATAATTTAATGGATATAGACATCTAAAGACTTATAAAAAAATAATTAAGTTATTTTATTTAAAAAAATTAAAAAAATTGAAGGAAAAAGAAATGTTAAAAATAAACTTGACTATTCCTATCATAATATCATATAAAATATTATATTTTATATAAAAATTATATATTATAATTTATATTGATATGAAAATATAAAATATAATTTTTTTATTTTATTATATTTATTTATAATTTTTTTAAAATTTTAAATTATATTATTTTTGTATCTTTTATTTTTATAATTTTCGTATTCCATTACCGTACTGTGTTTCAAATTGTCTAAAACCAAACGGATACCCATTGCACTTGGCTTGTAAAACAAAGAAGTAAATAAGGTAAAAGTTTTGCTTAACATTTTTGCCAAAAGCCCATCCCATCTTAAACCCTCCGCTGATCAGAGCTCCTGAAGATCAGATTGAACAAAAGAACAAGCCAATGAGAAAAAGATTGCTCCATCCTCTTCTTTCTTACTTAAAATCACTCCCTTTTTCCCTTCAAAATCCCCAACTTCCCCGCCAAATCTTCTTCTCCCCACTCCCCCAATTCATTTCCACCTCTTCCCCTGGCAATCTCGATGGCCTAATCGATTCAGACGACCCGTTTCCAATGCAAAACAACCCGCGGGTTGAGCCCGTTTCAGCCCAAGATTTTGCCTTTCTAGGGGCTGATTCAGGGCCTTCTTCACAACAAAACCTTGATGTTGGTAAGTTTTCAAGCGATGCTGTTTTAATTGCAAACGCCATTTTGAGTGGTAATGGAGAGTTTGGGGACAAAACCCCGATTTTTCTTAGGCAATTTAGAGAAAAATTGAATGAAAAGTTGGTTGTTGAAGTTTTGAACTTGGTAAAACTGAAACCTGAATTGGGTGTTAAGTTTTTTATTTGGGCAGGGAGGCAAATTGGGTATAGTCATACTGCCCTTGTGTTTAATTCATTGCTTGATTTATTAGAATCCGGTAATAATGATCGAATTCCGGAGAATTTTTTGTTGGAAATTAGGAATGATGATAAGGAAGTGCTAAAAAAGTTGCTTAATTTATTGATTGGAAAATATTGCAAAAATGGGTTGTGGAATGTGGCATTAGAGGAATTAGGTAGGCTTAAGGATTTCGGCTACAAGCCATCTAGAGCAACTTACTGTGCATTGCTTCAAGTGTTTTTGCAAGCTGCTGGATTAGACACTGCTCATTTGGTTCATAGGGAGATGTCGGAAGCAGGGTTCCACATGGATAGTTATACATTAAGATGTTATGCTTATTCCCTTTGTAGAGAGGGGCAATGGAGGGAGGCCCTTACGTTGATTGACAAGGAAGAATTCAAGCCTGATACTGTTGTTTATACAAAAATGATATCTGGGTTGTGTGAAGCTTCGCTTTTTGAAGAAGCTATGGACTTTTTGAATAGAATGCGTGCTAATTCTTGCATTCCTAATGTTGTGACATATAGGGTTTTGCTTTGTGGCTGTTTGAAAAAGAGACAGCTTGGTAGGTGTAAGAGAATTCTTAACATGATGATTACAGAAGGTTGTTATCCAAGTCCTAGCATATTTAATTCTCTTGTTCATGCTTATTGCAAATCAGGAGATTATTCTTATGCCTTTAAATTGCTAAAGAAAATGGTCAAATGTGGATGCCAACCAGGCTATGTGGTTTATAACATATTGATTGGTAGCATTTGTGGCAATGAGGAGTTACCCAGCTCAGGTGTGCTAGAATTGGCTGAGAACACTTATAGCGAAATGCTTGCTGCTGGAGTTGTACTAAATAAGATCAATGTCAGCAATTTTGCCAGGTGTCTATGTGGCGTAGGGAAATTTGAGAAAGCATGTAATATTATCCATGAAATGATGAGTAAAGGTTTTGTACCTGATACTAGTACATACTCCAAAGTGATTGCTTATCTGTGTAATGCCTCTAAAGTAGAAAATGCTTTTCTATTGTTTGAAGAAATGAAAAAGAATGGTGTCGTTCCTGACGTCTATACATACACGATTTTAATTGATAGTTTTTGTAAGGCTGGTCTTTTAGAACAGGCTTATAATTGGTTTGATGAGATGGTAAAGGGTGGTTGTGCCCCTAATGTGGTGACTTACACTGCTCTAATACATGCTTACCTTAAGGCAAAGAAGGTGTCCAAGGCAGATGAACTCTTTGAGATGATGTTGTCTCAAGGTTGCATTCCAAATGTTGTTACATATACAGCTTTGATAGATGGTCGTTGTAAAGCTGGACAGATTGAAAAAGCTTGTCAGATTTATGCTAGAATGCGCACTAACGTGGAAATTCCAGATGTAGATTTATATTTTAAAGTGGTTGACAGTGATGCCAAAACACCAAATGTTTTTACATATGGAGCTTTAGTGGATGGTTTATGCAAGGCCCACAAGGTTAAAGAAGCTCGTGACTTATTGGAAGCCATGTCAGCAGTTGGTTGTAAGCCAAACCACATTGTATATGATGCTCTTATAGATGGATTTTGCAAGGTTGGGAAGCTAGATGAGGCACAAGTGGTGTTTTCCAAGATGTCTGAGCAGGGTTATAGTCCAAATATTTATACATACAGTTCATTAATTGACAGGTTGTTTAAAGATAAACGACTGGATCTAGCTTTAAAAGTCGTGTCCAAAATGCTTGAAAATTCTTGCACTCCTAATGTTGTTATTTACACAGAAATGATTGATGGCCTCTGTAAGGCTGGTAAAATAGATGAGGCCTATAAACTTATGTTGATGATGGAAGAAAAGGGATGCCATCCAAATGTGGTGACTTACACCGCAATGATAGATGGCTTTGGCAAAGCAGGTAAAATTGACAAAAGCCTTGAGCTTTTAGAACAAATGGGTTCCAAGGGTTGTGCTCCAAATTTCATCACATATGGAGTTTTGATAAACCATTGTTGTAATGCTGGCCTATTGGATAAGGCTTATGAGCTTTTGGAAGAGATGAAACAGACTTACTGGCCTAGGCATATGGCAGGCCACCGTAAAGTCATTGAAGGTTTCAACAGAGAGTTCATAACATCTCTTGGGCTCTTAGATGAGATTGGTAAAAGTGAATCTCTGCCAATTATACCTGTTTACAGAGTGCTTATTAATAATTTTATGAAGGCTGGGAGACTAGAGGTGGCTTTACAACTTCATCATGAGATAGCATCATTTTCACCAATTTCTGCATACAACAGTACATATAATGCCCTGATTGTGAGCCTTTCACTTGCTCGTAAGGTTAACAAGGCTTTTGAACTATATGCGGACATGATTAGGATGGGCGGAGTACCAGAGCTAAGTGCATTTATTCACCTTATTAAGGGTCTCATCACAGTCAACAAGTGGGAAGAGGCACTTCAGCTTTCAGATAGCTTCTGTCAGATGGTTTGTTTCTATAACTCCTGTTTCTTTTACTTTAAAAAAGTTGTAGCAGCGAGTACAACTTTTCAGCTACTGAAGTGCTAAGTTCTCATTTTTGTGAGATAATCCTAGACTTAGTTACAGGAATGTTTAAGCAGAAATTGTTCTGGTTTCCAGCTGTTTTCTTTGTTCCAAAACACTTATTATACTAGAAAACCTATCATAATACTTGTTTCTTTGGAGCTTTTCCTCGAAAATTGCTCAAAGGCTGTACTTGAGAACTCTTTTTTGCTAAAGTACTCAAGAACTTAGACATGTACATTTAACGTCTGTGATCTGACAATCTTTCTTTGTTATGCAGTTGTTTTCTTCTTTTTTTCATTGGATCTTTATGGTTTCAAAATCTTCCTTTGAGCAGGATATTCAATGGCTTCAAGAAAAAGAGACATCTGATGCTGCTTAGTGTTTTTTGAACATTTGGTTTTCCAGTTTGCTTGATCTGATCATTGAAAGCTGGTGGTAAAGTTATGCTCAGATGTTGACTTTACTGGTTGAGGATTTGTTTTGCATGCATATGAAAGCAGAAGACAAAGACAACAATGGACTGCTTAACAGAGTAAACATTCTCAAAATTACCTCATTCCATTGTTTGAAGTCATTTTGAATTGGAAGCAACTTCTTGCTATTAACTGAATGTGATTCAGAGCATTGCCCCCAAAGCTGAGGTGCACTTCATCAATCATTAGTTGTTTATTTTGTCTGGTTTTATTACGCAGCATTTAGATTTGTTAATATCCTTTTGCTAATCTATACTAAATGATAAAATTTTGCAGCTTTGTTCAAATTGTTTGTTGTTGGCACAAAAGAACTGATTCTGGCTGCAGCACTCTTTGTTGATCACTTCATCATAACAAGGTGCACTATCCTGATTTCTTTACTTGAAAACATTGGTTACCACATTGAGGATCAGGTTTGGATTTAATGTTTCATTCTGCTATTGCACATTCAAATGTTGTCACTTTTGCAAATCTTTTAAACAGTTTCAGAATGGGCAACAATATTTCTTCTCCATATTAAGTTCACTTCAACAAGGCTTTTCCAGCATTTCTTACATGCCGTTTTAAATCTTTCCCTTTGAGGTCCTTTTGTGGCTTCTTTCTTAAGCTGATGTTCGTTTGAGTTTCTTCACCCACATTTGCTTTATCCCATAGCTATCTTATGCTATTTTTTTCATTAAATTATCTCAGCAATGCATACTTGGGGTGTGTTAAATGACATTTCTAAATGTTTGCTTTCTTTGCAGCCTGAGATCTGCATCTTGGTTATGCGCCAGAATAATTTCTCTTCATGCTTTATTTCAGTATAAGCAACTCCATTGTCTTCTTTTACCGCCTTCATTGCTTGGAATGAATGAATCCTGAGAGAGAAGGATGGATTTTTTTTTTAGAATGAAAAACGATTATGTCTCGTTCTGTATCGTTTTCTTTAATTTATCTGTTTTTTTTTCGATTTTCATTAATTGTATGTAATTAGAATATTGTTGAGTGTTCCATAAATAATTTTAAAAAATTTCAATCATTTATATGTTAATTATAAATATTAAATTAATATGCACTTTTCTTATATGTTTGTAATATTATATTTTACGCATATAAATATATATATTAAATTTGTACAAATAAATTAAAAATTTTCTTTGTATTGCTTTTTTATTTAAAATAATTTTTTAATTTTTTTGCTGAAATTTAAAAAATTAATGATTACGTGTAAAATAATTTAACTAATAAAATAATTCGTTTTATATAAATCATAATTTAAAAAAAAAATTTTTAATATCATCTTACAATTAAAGGTGATAATAATTTGAATTGAATTTGATTCGATTTTTTTGGATAATATATAATATTATAAATTTTTAAAATTTAAATCGATTTTTTTAAATTAATTTTTTAAAAATTAAATTTAATTAATTTGATTTAATATATCGATTTTTTAAATTTTTATTTTTGAATATTATTTTAATAAATTTTGTAGCATATTTACATAAATTTTTATGTAAAATAATTATTTTTTTATAAATTTAAAAATATATAAAAATAAATAAAAATATATAACATTTTGATTTGAAATTAATATATATTTAATACTTAATTTTAATATGAATCAAATAAAATAAAACCAATCCAAAATAAATGAAATATTACGATTTTAAATTAATTTTAAATTTATAAATTTTTTTCACCGGAAGTCATTCAGATAACACGTGGCAATACAAAAGTACGACGTGGTCATCTTTTATAGATTCACTATGTTGGACTGTACGAGCCGCCTTCTTTTTAGCATTTCTCCATTTTTATTCTCTTCTTCAGATTTCTTCGAAAAAATTCCATTTCTTCTTCCCAAGGTACCACGCCCTATTCTTATCTTTTTCTTTTGATTTTGATTAATCCTTGGCTTTGATTCCATCACCAAATAAAAATCACTGAGCTTTAAATATTTTTATCTTTCTGATTTCTCCCAATATTTTTTTTAATTAATTTAGGGTTTTTGCAGTCGGATGTTTACTTTTTAGGGGTTTTTAAAATTATAGATAGTTCAATTGACTTTCGGAGTGATATTTTCTTACAAAGTTTCATATAAATTTGTGTAATTAAATATTTGAGACAGTCCAATTGAGAAAACAAAAGATGAAATTGAAATATATTTAAATGTGAATTTGAAGTTTCGAAATTTTAATTGTGTAGAACAGATGGAAAGATCTGAATCTCTGTCATCTCTTACATACAAAGGGTCAATTCCTGAAGCAATTCTCGAAGCTAAAACCCAGAAGAAACTTTTCGTTGTCTACATTTCAGGTCATTTTTTTCTTTATATGATCCCTTTTTGCTTTTTTTTTTTTCTTTTACTTATTATTATATGTTTGCTTTAGGTACTGTTATCCATAAATGTTAATAATTTTGATGCTTGTTGAAATTTCAGGTGAAGATGATGAGTCAAAAAACCTGGAGGACTCAACGTGGACTGACGTAAAAGTATTTCTTTTCCTTGATTTTAAGTTTATTTTTTTGGCCTAAAATTAATTGGTTTCTTATATTTTTGCACTATATCTTAACATGGTTGATTCAGGTGAAAGAGTCATTGTCAAAGTATTGCATTCTAGTGCATATCCGAGGAGGAAGTAATGATGCCTCAAATTTTTCTGCTATATGTATCCTGAGTACAAATTATTTTATTCTCTTATGGTTACCCTAAAAGCTACATTTTAGGAGTTTGGCTGATGCTAAGGGGATTTCTGTGATAATTTTGCACCAAGCTGTGACAAGTACTGGCTTTGAACTGATCTTTTTACTCATCCTTATATGCATTTATAAAGAGTGTTTGAAGTTACTAGCTGCCTCAAATCTTTTATTAATTGCTGAATTAGCTAATTTTCCTTGTGATGAACTGTTTGTATTAGTGGTGGACATAGCTAAGGCTTATTGCAGAATTTATTGCAAAGAATTAAAGTATATGTTCTTGGATCTTTGGATCACCAATATATGAGTAGAAGAATTTAAGCTGTGCTCAACCTTTTTATTCTCTTGTTTGAATGCATATTACCCCATGGATACTCCATGATTACTATTTTTGGTTTTTTGTTGTATATCCTAGACGTCTAGTTATCCTTCTTCATATGATGAGTCATGAGTCTGTTGATGATTATAAAATCCTACTTAATCTAATTGTCAACTAATGCCTAATAGAAATGTGGAATAATTCTGATAGTTGTGATGTTGGCTCTCTTATACTATGCTTGGAAGGAAAGAACAGTTGGAAGATGGAAATGGGGGGTGGGGAAAGGGAAAGAAATTTTTTTTTTATCTTTCCATATATTTTTTTGGAACCATCTTCCAAACACAATATTTTTTGTCTTTCCTTTAATTTCTCTACTTTTCGAAACTTCATATCATTGCCCTTTTCCATAGCATGTCCTACTAATACAGCACATTCACCTCTTCTCCAAAAATAAGGGGCACCATGATGCCTCTTTCCTTTGTATATAGAATCTGTAGCCTTTTTTTATGAGGTTGAGTTCTCATGTCTACCATTTCGATGGTCACTTATAATGTGCATGCTAAATGACACTTGTTTGAGTTGATATTTGTTGGCTATTATAACTATCTGTTAGTGATTTTAATGAGAGAACAAATCCTTGCATCAACATGAAAAAGATCCACAGAAATCTGTTCCATGCATAACAGCAATTGGATATAATGGTGTGCAAGTTTGGCAAAGTGGTATTAGAACTTTCTTCTTATGTAAATCCTTTTTTCTTTTTCTTTTTCAATCAAGCATGGAAAAATATTCTAAGTCAGATTGTTTTCTTTTGGTGAAACTCTTCCAGAAGGGTTTGTCAGTGCTGAAGTTCTAGCATCCAGTTTAGAGAAGGCATTATTGAGTCTTCATTTCCAGGTATGCTAGAGATGGTCGAATTTAGGACCAATACTCATTTATAAAATTCAGCTTATGATTTTTGGATCTCTTAAAATGCTTAATTTTTGGTCATAATTGCAGGAAACAACGGCAACAGTCCTTAGTGCTGCACTTGCTTCAAAGAAATATGAATCGTCTAGTTCTGGGGCTTCTACTGTTAGCCACTTTGATCAAGGAAATTGTTCAAATTCCTCTGTTCCATCAACCACAATGGACGAGGTTGTCCAGTCGTTGGAGTTTGGGGGTATAGAGGAAAATGGTGATAATGAAAACACTGTTAAGGTAAATTTAAATTCTCTTGAATTTTTTTTCTTTGACCATAGGAATTTGGAGGGGATGGAGGGCGCTTGGACTTTATCCCAGGCTGTTCTTCCAAATCAAGGGGCCTGTTACCACCTGGTCAAAAGGAAGTACTTTGGAAGTTTAAAAACTTTGTTTGATATTCGATTTTTTTTTTCCAACATGGCAGGAGAGAAATCCTGAATTGGTTGACAAGAGTAGATCAGAATCATTTAACAATGACAACTCAGCTAATGTTGTGGATGAACAATGTGATGTATCCAATGAAGCAACCAGGACAGTTGTTAGTTCTGTTTCTTTACATCCAGCAGTTCCTGTATCTGAGAATACATCCTCACGTCCTGAAGATGATTGTATCATCCCAGTAAAGGGCATCGATGATCGGTCAAGTTTTCCCAGTGGAAGTTCACCAGTGCGTACTGCAGTAGCAGAGAAAGCCATGCAACGTGAAAAGGATAAAGTATTAGATGACAAGCAAGATGGTGCATCAGAAAGTACTGCAACCGCAAATATACCAACTGATGTTCATTTAAATATCCGATTACCTGATAATAGTAGCCTACAAGAGAAGTTTCCTGTGGCATACACTCTGAGAAGGATTAAAGACTATGTGGATAGAAACCAATCAACTGGGATGGGCTCTTATGATCTTGCCATTCCTTATCCTCGCAAGGTATTTGGTGATCAAGGTATGACTATGTGCTTGCATCATACTTCTCTAAAATCAATGTGGCTTGTTCAGCTTTTGCTTTGTTTATGAGGTTGCGTTACCTTAGCTGAACTTTGCCCATCCTCAAACTGATGTTTAGAAACATATCGCACATTGTTGTTATGCATTGTAATTCCTTAGATCATGTGTTCCATTTCTATTTGTTGATGTTTCACAATACGTTGCTTTTAAAAGAGGTTGAACAGGGCTCGTCCTTATCTCTCTCTCTCTCTCTCTCTCTCTCTCTCTCTCTCTCTCTCTCTCTCTATATATATATATATATATATATATATATATATATAGCAATTTCTGACTATTAAATTTTTATCATACAAAATATTATGTTTTGGATTTGTCAGTCATTGAATATATCTGGTCAGATAATTGGATGTTGGATGCTACTGAGGTGCTTTATTACTGATTGAATGTCATTTTTCTTGGTACTTGAAGGTCATTCTTTTAGTACTATAGTGGATGATACCGTTCTATTTTTTCTAAATGTGAATACTTGTCGTGACCTCATTTTAGCATTTACTTATGGATGGCAATGGAGATGCTTTAGACTTGGCTGAAGCATTCATAAAGTTTAATATTTGACTGCGTTTGCATCTGAGTGTTCCCTGTCTTTGAAATATGCTTGTAAAAGTGCTCTATGTTGATAAGGGAGCGTTACTTTTGAAATGTCTGCCATTCACCAACATTTCTTTCCTCTTGCCTGCAGATTTGAGTAAATCTTTATTGGACTTGGGTCTGCTTAACAGACAAGCATTGATAGTGGTTCCACATCAGAGATCCACTGGTTTCCAAGGGCAAAGATCCCTTGCAGACCAAAGAAATTCTCCACCTACTGAAGATTCTGCAGGAAGCAATGGGGGATATTTTGCATACATCAAAAGCTTTTTGTCTTACGTAAATCCTTTTTCTTATCTTGGTGGCAGTACCAGCTCATCAACTACTGCACAGGAATCTCAAAGTGGCATCTGGGAATATGGTGAGTCTCTGTGCTATTGATGTTATTTCTTTATTCTGGTGGGCCTAAGACCTTGAGCTAAAATTTTTATTCTATGGTCCCATTTATATCTTCCAAACTTATTGGCCAAAGCAAAACTTATTTAAAAATTATTCATGCGTGTATAGAGAGAGACTTTTTTCGGGAGTAATTGCATTTGTCACAAATTGATAATGATCTCTTATGAAATTCAAAGCAGTCAAAGTGAATCTAGTAACATTTGTATTTGTAAGGAAATTGTTGTATAGGGATTAGAGTGAATTCTGGTACCATACTTATCCGTTTTGCTTTTTATATGTGGAAGAAAGGTGTTATGTTGAAATCTGTTAAATCAAGTAGGAGCCTACTGGAAAATTGCCTTGACAAAGTTTTTCTCTTTCATTTTGGCTTGCTTGCAATTATAGGTCCAAATCCTACACTGCAAAATAACTTGGCTGGAAGAAATAGGACGCATTCACCCAACTTGCCGAACAGAAGCACATCAACTGCCAGGGATGACAGCAGGAACCGGCGACCCACGACCACCCAATATGGCAGCAATATTCATACGCTAAAACACGATGAAGATGATGGTAGATTCAACGATAGAAATCCCTTCTGGAATGGAAATTCTACACAGTATGGTGGTAATAGCGATAGCAAATAATCCGGGTCAGCTAGGTTATTTAAGTTTTTGCTCCGGCATATTTAAATCAAAAGCATGATTCTTGCTCTTATCACATGTTATCTCCGACGTTTAGGAACAGAATTGACTGTTTATGAATAGCGTCAAATTCCTGGCTTGTGCATCGCATTGCAATCGGATATCTAGTTTTCTACTTATACAGAGGGTACAACGAACAATATGAAAATTGCATGTTCACGTGTTAAATAAAAAACATAATTTTTGGTTTTTATAAAATTTATATATGATTTTTGTTAAAATTTTAAATCATATTATATATTTTAAAGCAATATTGGATATGCATGGACTTTTATCTAATCTCAAGCGATATCCGCTTAGACAATTGAAAGAGGGATTTTTATATGCTTTGTACTTCAGTTTGATAAATTGGATTTTAAGATACTATATATTTCTTTTGTTAAAGATAGAAAAATATTTGTAAAAATGATCCTAATTTTCGTAAGTATTTAATTTTTATATGTATTGATTTTCTTAAGATATCAAATGAGCCTTAAGCCCCTTGTTTTTTTGTTACAGAAGAATACATCAATCGTTAATATAATTTTTTGAACAAAGCTAGACATAAACAAAAAAGTTGAGTTAAATTCTCAAAAATAGATTTTAACTTTAAATACATACAAATTTCATCAAATCAAGTACTTCAATTATTTGCATTAAAAAACCATAACATTATTTTTTTTTTTAAATTTAGCTAATAAGAGTATTTGGATTATATGTCTACTGCATCCCTTTCCTTGGATCAGTCTAAATAGGCATATTTAAGTTAATTTTAATGAATTTATAAAAAATTATTTTTTTATATTCTTTTAATGAATACAAACTAAATAAAAAAAAAAACATATTTTTTATCACTCAAGCCAATATCCATAAATAAATCATAACAAGTATAACAAATATATAATTATAACCCACTCAATGTATTGACATTAATCAAATTAACTAACGACAACTACATTTAATAGAAGAATAGTTTTATAAACAGCAATTAAGCAACCACTTGCAATTTCAAACCTTTTGATATTATATTTGATGCTTGATTTACAGATGATTGAGCAAACCCAAACTGTCCTTCCTTTTCTCTCTCTCCTTTTAGGGTCTGGGTCTTGAAATGGAAATTGGATGTGGTGGATTTTTTTTATTTCATGAAATTAAAGGGTGGTGTGGACAGGAAATTTTATTTTTGATGAGTGTGAATTAAGTGAAATTAATTTCTGAATCAGAAATCAATTTTTTTTTTTAACTATTGTTGAAAACATTGCATCTCTTATGATTCGTAATTAAATTTATAATTTTAAATACGATATAATAATAAAATATAAAAAATATAAAAATAATGTGATATATAATTAATAAAAATTAAAAAATTTTGATATATTTGTATGAATTATAATACAATAAATTTTATATTTTACAGTATTTAACCAAACAAAAATAAATAAATAAACACAAAGTATACGGATTAGATTTGTAGACAGTTAGAAAAAAAAAAAATGCTTTGGCTTTAGCTGATTTTGATCTTATCATGACACTGAAAAGAACCGTGCTGCTGACTCCGCCTCCACTTCCCTTTCCTTCCCACATTTGACATTTCCTCCCTAACTAAACAGAGAAAAACAAAACCAAACCAAACATATAAACCTCAACACCTCAAGGTCTTCACTTCACTTTCTCTCTAGGGTTTTACGCTTTTCTTTTCCTTCCTCTTCCTCCATGGCTTCCTCTATCTTAACTTCCTCCAAAATTTCTCCTTTCCCTCCTCCCTCCTTCCTCAAATCCTCCCTTTTTCTTCCCTCCACTTCTCTTCACTTCCCTTCTTCCAACCCACATATCACTTTCCCTCCATTTCCTTCCAAATCATTAGCCAAATACCTCCTCATTTCCAGTTCTTTAAACCCTCACCCTTCTTCCTCCCATCGCCGCCCACCTTATATTCCCAACCATATTCCCGACCCCAACTATGTCCGCATCTTCGACACCACCCTCCGCGACGGCGAACAATCCCCCGGCGCCACCATGACTTCCAAGGAAAAACTTGACGTTGCTCGCCAACTGGCCAAGCTCGGCGTGGATATAATAGAAGCTGGGTTTCCAGCTGCCTCGAAAGACGATTTTGAAGCTGTTAAAACTATTGCTAAAGAGGTTGGGAATGCGGTGGATGAGAATGGGTATGTGCCTGTTATTTGTGGACTTTCTAGGTGTAATGAGAAGGATATTAAGTCGGCTTGGGAGGCGGTTAAGTATGCGAAAAGGCCTAGGATTCATACGTTTATCGCCACCAGTGGGATTCATTTGGAGTATAAGTTGAAGAAGACTAAAGAAGAGGTTTTGGATATTGCTAGGAATATGGTTCGGTTTGCTAGGAGTTTGGGTTGTAATGATGTCGAGTTTAGCCCCGAAGATGCCGGCAGGTTCGAGTTTTTATCTCCCTTTTCTCTTCTCATGTTGTATATGTAAAAGGGCTGCAATTTTGAGAATAGTCTTATTTGGTTTGGATAGAACGAGGAAGAAGATAAACTGTTAAAATAGAAATACAAAGAATTGAGGATGTGTTTGATACATAAGGTTGTGATAGGATAGGATAAGATGATATTGTAAATAGGATAAGGTTATGACAGGATAGGATAAGATGATATTATAAATAAGATTAGGTTAAATAATATCATCCTAGCTTGTGTTTGATGCGTGCAAGGATTAAGGATAATTTATTTATTGGTCAAAATTATCCTTGCCCAAAGTTTATATGATTTAAGTTATTAATGTAATTTTTAAGGGTATAACAGGACATGTAAGTTTAATTCCATAGATTAAAAATAATCCTCTTTACTTTGGGAGAATTGAATCATCCTATACCAAGAGGATGAAGCCCTATCTTTAGATACAAACCAAATATAATATAAGATGTTTACTATCCTGTCATACCCATCATTCTATGCACCTTACTAGTTGAAATGTGGATAAGCAATAGTTTAGTGTCTGTCTGTTGATTGCATTTAATTGAAGCAAAACCATTTTAGTGAAAGATGTGTGCTTCATGCTTGTTATTGTATGGGGTGGACAAATATTCCCAGGGCTTTAATTAATGGCTATTTTTCAGTAGCAGCAGTGTATGAATCTGCTATAGGCTGCTTTTGAAATAAGATAAGTAAACAGACAAGTGTATTTGTCATTTGTACTCTTGTTGATGTTATAGTCTTGTTTCTTTGGGTCTTAACAGGTCTGACAGAGAGTTTTTATATGAGATTTTGGGTGAAGTGATCAAAGCTGGAGCTACAACTCTCAACATACCTGATACTGTTGGCATAAATATGCCTGGCGAGTTTGGGCAATTAATTGCTGATATAAAAGCCAATACCCCTGGAGTTGAGAATGTTATTATTTCAACGCACTGCCAAAACGATCTTGGGCTTTCTACTGCCAACACTATAGCGGTAGGCCACTGCTTTATTTCAGTAATCGATGCACAGTTTGATGTACTTGGATTGCATTTACATCTTAGCTCTTATGAATTCAGGGAGCATGTGCAGGTGCAAGGCAAGTGGAAGTAACAATCAATGGCATTGGGGAAAGAGCTGGAAATGCTTCGTTGGAGGAGGTGAGCCTTTGCTTTTTTGCAAAATTAGAATGATTTTGTATTTGGAATTTGAGTTATGCAGAAGGAGATGGAAAAACTGATTTTCTCTAGAATCTTGAAAATAATTGTAAATTTGATTATATGAATTCATCATGTGTTTTTTTTTTTTTTTTGTTTCCATAAAGAGAGAGAGAGGGGGGTGTTTATGCATACATCTGATAAATTTTCTTATTCTAGTTTTGTAGTCTGCTTATGTTAAACATTTAAATTCTGTAAATAAAGGACTTTTAGCTGTCAGTTGCTCTATTCTAGCATCAAGTTGACCTAAGAACGATTATTTTGGTTGTAATTGTTGAAGTTTTGTCCCTCAACGGACAGTTTTATAAAATCTTATTATTTATATTTTGTTTTACTGTTCTGATTCCATTGAGCTTTTACTTTCATTTGTGTAGGTTGTCATGGCCTTAAAATGTCGGGGTGAACATGTGTTAGGTGGTCTTTATACAGGAATCAATACCCGACACATTGTGATGGCAAGCAAAATGGTATCTGTTATGAACTCTGGTAACAATTCAATCATTTCTTACTCTTAACTGAATTAGCTGGAGTTGTTATTGACTTAAAATGGTTGTTTAGGTAGAAGAGTATACTGGGTTACACGTGCAGCCACATAAGGCTATCGTTGGAGCCAATGCTTTTGCTCATGAAAGTGGTATCCACCAGGTTGGTTTCTCTAGTGTTTGATTGCATACATGTTGTGAACCTCCAAACTATTTTCTATATATTTGCAATGTTTGTTTGTTTTATGGCTGATGCCTTTGATTGATGGTGGAAGTCTGTTTACTATTTTATTTGAAAAATGATAGAATGCCTTTGATTTTGTCCTTTTAGAATTACAATTTATTTTTGCTGATGACAGATGCAGCTTGGTCTGTTTATCTTAAGGATTTCCTTCAGTACCTGCAGTAAACTAGTTAGACAAATGCTGCTCTTTTGGTGGCACATTTGTGCTTGTAGAGAGATTAAGATTTCTTATTGAGAGCTAAAAGTATTGTCTTTTGTTTTTCATTATAGTTTGTAAGAAGTTTAGATGTGGTAAAAAAAAATGGAATCTCTACTTTTTTTTTTTATTTAAAATGTTTATGGGGTTAGTTAGCGATCTCTTGCTAGGGAAATGATGTTAACTAAGGAGCATGTTTGAGCTGTGAATTCTATCTATTTTTCGGTAAATTTTAGGAGTAAGTGGGATAAATTTGTGGATTAAGTTAGAGAACTCTTTAAGAACCATGATTGCAAGCTTGGAGATTGACTCTTTATATCAAAATCCTTGTTCAACCAAAGTGCTTACCGTTTAAGTTGCAAATTGTATACTGATAATACAAAGTCTTGCATGTATAAAGACATCTATACATGTTTGAAGCCCTGACTAGGCAGCCAGGTTCTATAGTCTATCCATTATATGGCCCTTTTAGCTGCAATATAATTGATCTGTCAATTTCCTTTATTGTTTTGCTTTTTCTTCAATTATGATTTTAGGTATGTAAATTCATATATGCAAATATAGGCTATATTGTTGGCTGTACACCACTATTCCATCTCATGCTATTTTTTTGTGAGTGAAACAATGATGTTATAGTTAAGAGCTAACTCAACCAAACTCTCCTAACCCTTAATCCAAACTAGTTGTGCCTGGTTATAAGAATATGTTTTCATTGTTCTGTTTGATTAAGGATGCTATCCTCTGAGAGATCTAACGAGGCAACAAAGTCAATTTTCTTTGTTTTGATTAATATATATTTGTTTTGGTTAATATATATATATATATATATATATCTGTACTTACAAAAACAATAAAAACAATAAGATGAATATGCCAAAATGCTTTCTGTTATGTAGGATGGAATGCTAAAGCACAAAGGTACATATGAAATTATATCTCCTGAAGATATTGGGCTTGAACGGTCCAATGAAGCTGGTATTGTCCTTGGAAAACTTAGGTAGGTATTTCATTTTTCAAAATTTTTTCCTCCATTTTTCTGGTAAACTTTTTTTCTTTTTTTATCATTTTGAGTAGAGTTTAGAGGGATGTAGATGGTGGAACATTTGTAGTGCAGCAAGAGCTATATATGGTTTTTCCATTGCTTTTCAATATTGGATGTAATGTCACAATGAATCTGACAAAAATAGTTGAGGATTTAACATAAGAAGCAATCTATTTTGTCAGCACTACAAAGAATATTGTATTTAGTTTCTCAAAAAAAAAAAAAATTGTATTAGGTTTGTTAATATATCTTATATCCAATCTTGATGATTATTTTTGAACTTTTGGCTATGACCTTTATTTGAGGATAGTGGAATTGTTGCTTGATATGGATGATCTTTTGATAGGTTTTTCCCCTTTTCTTGTTCATATGAAAGAAAGAGTTCATCCGCTGATATCAAGGTAGTCCTAGGGCAAATAAAGCGTTAATGTCATCTAGGTTGCTAGGCAGCAAAAAATTGTTTGGCCTAGTAAAGCAGGGAACATATTAATACATTTGATAAATATATTGAGCTTTACCTAAAATCCTATAATAGCTTGGTAAGTTATTAGAAATATTTGTGAAGCATAAAGGTTCACTCCATTTGTTAGATTTCTGGCAAGTTTCTTTGTGTGTGAGTATAGACTTCTCTACCTCTCTTTTTTTTTTCCTCCTAGATATCTGACGCACCAACTTTTAAACTTTCTCCAATTTAGTGAGTCAACTTCCATGGTGCTATGTTGCTGGGAGTTGGATAAGAATGTTAGACATGGGTACATGTTGAGTACTGCTTAATTATTCCTAAGGTTTTCCTTATACTGGAAGGGTCATACCTTCATATCTCTATCCATTTTGAGGTGTCAAGTATGTATTCAACATGGGTTCTTTAGAGCAGATATGAGTCAGAGCAAAATCTCCATGTGTGCTCACACATTTTAAATTAACCAAGAGAGTCTACAACTCTAGCCTTTGGGGGATGGACAGATGTAAATTGAAAGAGGAAGTTTAGATTTCTCAAGCAGGGAATTCCCTTCTCTCTTCCATCCCCCACCTCACCATAACCACCAGCACCAAAAAAAAGTTAGCAACTTCTTTTGTGAGATCAATACCATCTTCTGTAATTTTGCTGCAACTTAAATCTATGCAGTTTTGTTATGAAACTTATCACAATTGTGTTGTTGGTATCTTCCTATTCATCTTTTATTTTTACAAATTCAGTTGCCACAAAACTTGTGACTTCTGTTATTCTTTTTCTTTTGCAATTCTCTGGTAAAGTGGACGTCATGCTTTGAGAGACCGATTGAAAGAGGTATGCTGCTATTAGGCATGTGTAAAATTGATGAAAATTACTTTTCTTTGCTTTATCTAAGTACCTAATTCTTCCTGTTTTCCCCAGCTTGGTTATGAGCTTGATGATGAAAAGCTTGGGAACATATTCTGGTGCTTCAAAGCGGTAGCTGAACAAAAGAAGGTGAACAAGATTCTTTACTGATTTCTTGAATTTCTTTTCCTCTCAAATCATCATGCAATCAACTATTTATAATATTTCCAACTGAATGAGTTGCATTTGGAAATTAAACTTTCCTCAACTGTGGAAACTTCTGTGTTTTCCAGTGAGGTTTTTTCAGAAAATGAAAATGAAAAATAAGGAGAGATTGGGCCTAGAGTACAATTTTGATGCAAACCAAAAACTTGTATAACAGAATAGTAGTAAGGAGGAAGAACAGGGAAGAAATGAGAGAGAAGAAGAAACAGAGGGAGGAAGAAAGAAAAATATTAGAGATGAAAGAACGTTTGTAAATTTTTAATAATAGAATGCTTGGTACAATGCCATCGCCCCCCCTTTTTGTACAGATTAAAGACCCGACAATTGCAATCCGAGATTCTCCAAATCACATCACACACTCACTCCCTCTCTACCTCTCCATACTTAGCTGAAATAACAGAACTCAGCAACTTAATAGGCCTTACTAAGGCACAGGCCCTTCTTGCAGTAAAACAACCCAACATTAATATGAAATAGGCCAAAACATAATTAAAACCCAATAATATTTTACCCACTAATATCCAGCCTGTGACAAATTTTTGATAAATTTTCCCCTCGCGAAACCAGCATTATTATCTTGGATTACATTTTCAACAGTTTTTCAAATTCTCCATCTCTGTTTATTTTAAGAAACCTGGTTTTCTAGTTTCAGCGACTAAACAAGTTTTTCTTTTATCTGTATGGAAAATAAGAACAAAAAAATTTGAGATACAATGCAGAGACAGGAAATAGATAATGTTTTTATTGGTAAATCTGGTTTTTTCTTTTCCCTGTTTACTATATTAGTGGAGTCATTAGCTCTAGTTCAGTGCTGAAAGTATTTTTAACGTTCTTTCTTGAACCATCATGGAGTTATGACACGGTTAACCTTGTAATTAAGGCTCAAAGAGATTATGGTGGTTTGAGAAATGGTCTGTTGGCGTAGAAAATGAAGACATAGCCCTGAAAGGTGGATGGTTGATGGCAATTGATATGTTACAAGATTTTCTGGGTAGCCCCAGTTTAAGGGTTCGGGTTAGCAGTGATGGCTTAGCATATAGTGGTTAGGAATTTTGTTGGGTTTGTGTCCCAAGTAATTGAAAATATATTTTCAAGATCAAGATCTCAGTGTGATTATGAGAAAAAAGTGGAAAGTAATGATTTTTGTTGGTTACGAAAGCATGTAACAATTAGCTTCTCAGGTAGCCTGGCTTCCATGACATTTTAAGTTCTAGAATGTGGAAAGTAAGTTATTCTACTTGAGTTGTAGTTGTTTTGTACCATATCTTGATTCTTAAGAGGGAAAAGTAACTGTTGTTCTAAAGCTTTGCTATAATTGCATGATTTCTGTTGTTTGTTTACGAAGATGATGCGGTCTATACTTATTTTATTTACTGGTGTTCCAGAGAGTCACTGACGCTGATCTAATAGCATTGGTTTCGGATGAAGTTTTTCAACCAGAAGCCGTTTGGAAGCTTCATGATCTGCAGGTAACTAGATATTGGTTCAAACCGTAGTTACAGGAATATGGGGGTATGCTTCATTGGTTCGTTATTTTGAGTTGCAATACTGTATAAAGCATTATTGGGGTTGTATTGCTTTAAAATATATATATATGTTTTTTTCTTATACAAGTGTATTTTAATATGAACATATAAATTTATAGATATTTTATAATCAATAAAATACATGATTATAAGAAAATGCATTGTTTTTAAAGTGGTTTCTTTTGGTGTATTTAATTTTCTTCTTTTAAAGAGGGAAAATAATAATCGTATACTTTATGGTAATTTGTTTCCTCATTATTCTCAGATTGATGTGCCAGCCAATTTATTTAATTACCAATGAAAATTGGGGATAAAATTTTGCATTTCAGTGAACCAAAGACAAAGTAATGAGCTTGATTAACCCATAATAAACTAATGAGCTTCGTGAAACCCCAACGATGCAGTAGTCATAAGCCAAAACCATGCTTATTTTTAATTTCACTGATTCTTTCTTACCCCTTAATCCCCAACTGTTTTCACCTCACTGTCTAGTGTCTACCCCACCCCTCCACTTTGAAGTTTCCAGCTTCTTTTTTATTTTTCTTTTGACTGGTCATCTCCTTTCCCCTATCAGATCCTTTCATTCCCTTTTTCTCTTCACAGTTTCTTCTCTGTGCCTCTTTCTGATTCACCCATCAATTTGGATCCATGGTTTTAGCGATCCAGATCGCATATAAAAGCGATTCAGGATGCAAAAGAACCACGATCCAGGACATATGAAGTGGATCGCAGTTCTAGGGGTAGCAGCGATCCGGGTAAACTGTGTTTCAAACTATGTTGTTCATCATCTGATTTGAATTAAATCTTAAGTTACCAGTTATATTTAAATGGAAACATTAACATGCAGGTTACTTGTGGAACCCTTGGTCTTTCTACTGCAACAGTTAAACTCATTGGTGCTGATGGGAGGGAGCATGTTGCTTGCTCGGTTGGAACTGGCCCAGTAGATTCAGCTTATAAAGCTATTGATCTCATTATAAAGGTTTGATACAGGAGATTAGTAGTTTTGCTTTGTTTGCTAAAAATTTCTGTTGGCTGTTGATAAATTATGATGCAATGAACAGTTTTTCATGATTGTATTTTTGTCCATAATGCGTTTGTGCAGGTATCTGCTATAAGTAGGGATTGTATTGATGACAGGAGTCAATAGTTTTACCCTTTTTTTCTGGTTTTCCTCCATTCCCTATATCTTCCCTAACCCTTCTCCTGTGCCAGAATACTTTTCTGAACATATTTTTTCTAAGATTGTGGAGCAATACTGCAAGATTTCTTCCTTCATTTGCAGGAACCAGTTACACTTCTCGAGTACTCCATGAATGCTGTTACAGAAGGCATTGATGCTATAGCAACTACCCGTGTTCTAATTCGTGCAGAGACAAGTCACATATCTACTCATGCTTTGACTGGTGAAGAAATTCATCGAACATTTAGGTATGGAACCTTATTGCTCTTGTTTGAATTGACATCCTAATTCTTCCAACTCCAAAATTCAGTTCATAAATCTTTCTCCTTTGATGCCAGTGGAACTGGGGCAGCAATGGATATCGTCGTTTCCAGTGTCAAGGCTTATATCGGAGCATTAAATAAGATGTTGGGTTTCAAGGAGCAATATCCAACAAAGGATTCTATAAAAAGAGCTCCAGTTTCTGCGTAACAAGCAGCTTATCATACAGTTCTCCGTCGCATACAAACATTAGCAGTCAGGTTTGTGACTACATTTGCTCCCTAGTCATCATGCAGTAGTGGCAATGCTTTGAATGGTTTTTGATCTTTTGTATACAAGTTTCAGGGACCGAATTGTTCATAAGTTTAAGAATCCTCATAGTAGGTTTTTTGTATATTTATTGGATGTTATTGTTTAAAAGTAATTGAATGAACCGACTTAAATCTTAGAATCGAGTCAATCTATTTTTATATATACTAAAACAAGTTGTTTATTGTTGAGTTGCATTGAATAAGCCTGTGGTCACGTGGAATGTCAATTCCAATGACTATTTTTAAGCTCAATTATGCTCAAAATCTATGAAGTAGTTGGTGGAGAAGTGATAAAGGGAAGGTTGGATGAGAGAAAAAGATGGGATGTTTGGGTTTGTAAAGCAGTCACCAGAGCATTGTCTTAATCACTTTGCAAGTAACCTGTTTGACTGGGACACTTTTTAAGAAAGCAAAATCCACTATGATCTGCTGGCAAAAGGCTCTGTGCGGAGCAAGAAAGGCCAAAGCTGTCCCAAATCTATACACTTTTGTTTTTGGTGATTGGAGCTTTGCGGTCCATCCTGTTTGTTGCTCCCATCATTCCTAGAGTGGGTCAATTCCATGGGCCATGCCCTTTCAAGTGAGGACAGCCTGAAAAAACAAGCAAACTTCAATAGTCTAAGATGATTCAACATCAAGTCATCGCCATCTCCGAAGCAATATTTTTATTGCATATATTTTCACCTTAATCTATAAAATTTCTTAGGTACAATCCATCATTCCTTTCTCTCTCTCTCTCTCTCTCTCTCTCTATCTCTCTCTGTTTTTATTCTTGAGATTTAATTTTACATTAAAAATAAAAATAATAAATTTCATGTCAATATAATATATTTTCACATAAGATAAAACTTTTAAATATTATTACAAATTTAGATTAATATGCACTTTATTAATTTCAATTTTATTTGTATAATATGAAATTATATGTTTCATATATAATTATTATTTAAAAATATATACTAAAAAATTAAAATATTTACGTGCAATGTACATGATAAAAAAATAAATATTAATTAAAAGTTATTATACAAAGAAAATATTGAAAAGAATATGTTTATCAATACATTATAACTATAAATTAAAAAAATTATCATAAAATAGTAAGTGCATATATTTATTTTTTTTTTATATTTTGGCCACAAGTGCATATATTTATTTTAATAGATATTATTTTAAATTTGATAATTTATATATTTGTATCATATAAATATTAATTTTTTATATTTATGTCATATTTTATATTAAAATTACGTATTATAATTTATATAAATTTAAAAATATAAAAATATTTTTTTATTTTATTAAATTTATTTATAATTTTTATTACAATTTTAAATAATATCATCTTTATATCGCTTATTTATATGATTATCGTATTATCGTGTTTTTTGTGTATAAAATGGTAAAATCTAAACAAATTTATTTAAAAATGAAAGAAAAAACTAATATTCATTAAAAAATAATAAAAAGAAAAAAACGATATTTAAAGAGAGAGAAATATTCGAATCTTTTTCATCCTTCCTTCTTCTCTCTCTTCTTTCCTTCGGAAACTAAAATAGCCTTCAAAAATCAATTTCTATCTTTCTCTGTCTGTTTCAATCTCTCTCTTCTCTCGATCTCTTTCTCTCCATTACACACCCAATCCCTTCCCCCCAAAAACCAAAAACTAATTCACAAACAAACCCTAGAAAGAGAAAGAGAGAAGATTTTCTAACGATCGAAAAGAGAGAAAAACCAGGTATTATAATTCTTTCTTTTCTTTTTTTTCGAAATTTATCCATTTTAATCCTTTTGTTTCGGTTTCGATCTAAAAGCTGTTTTTCCGTGTGCTTATCTGTCTTTTTTCTTTTTTTTCTCAACTACTATTTTTACCCTTTTTTCCTTTCTCTTTTTTCTTGTTTTGTAAATAAATTTGAGGGTTTCGTTTTTCTTTTGATCCTTTGATTCCTTTCGTGAATTTGCGTCGACCCATTTTAGAATAGAGGCTTAATTTTCTGGGTTGTTGTTTAATTTTTCATTTGCTTTTATTTTTGTCTTTAATTTCTATATATATATATATATATATATATATATTTAATGGAAGACGAGTATAATCCTCGTGGCTTGGTGGTAAGGCTTAATGGGTCTCTTTTCTATTTTAATTTTATATGTAGTCGTATGTTAAAGATGTAAATTTTATTGAAAATTCATCTCATGACGTTTAATTAATTAATTATAATTTAATTCAAGTATTTTAAGCTTTTTTTTTCTGTGTTAAATTGTATGACATTGCTTTTTGATCAGACATTGCTATGATGTTTCTGGATATACGGAATTGTGGGTTTTTCTTTGGTACATTTTTTGAGGTGTTGTGTTATCTATCATGAGGATACTGAAGTTTATCCTTTTTGTTATAAATTCCTAGAATTGTAATAGGATGATAGGACGAGCCATGTTGCTTTTCTTAATTTTATGTTTTATTTTTAAATATGTTCTTTAATGATTTTGGAATTTTGACCTCTTGAAATGTTGGATGGATGTTGAATCTCTCTTAGATATGTTTATCCTTTGTCATCTCTTTTCCTGTTCTAGCATTAGGCAATTTTGGTCTCAACCTCGTTTTGCATAGATATTTGTTTTGATTATCATGGTTTAATTTTATGATATGTTCATGGATTCTGAATGAATGTATTCTGGAATTATGCAGGCACATGCACCTCCTCCTAGCTACTTTGTTCGACTAGAAAATACTGACGATTTGTATTTGAAGAAAAGAACAAGGATGCGTCGGTGGTTTTGCTGTTCCTGTCAGGTAGAGGAGAATTATCAACCACATGAAAATGAGCACTTGAAGAGCCCAAAGCATCAAACAGATGGTATGTTACTTTGATGCTAACTGGATTTGGTATTTCTGATTTACTGTTGGGAATCCTTTGGGCAGTGTGATTTCTGTAGTTATGTTCTTGAAAATATAAATGCTAAATTTCTCAGAACACCTTCTAGGTATTTACCTTACTCTGGTGAATAAAAATGCAATTCAGGCTTATATTTGTATTTGTTAGTCTTGTTTATCACCTTTTTTTTTTTTTTTACTTTGTATAGAAGTCTTAAGTGCTATACATGTTTTGTGATGGCTGTCTTTGACTCAGTCCCTATGTCTCTGTTTCTGTCTCTTCATTTCTATATATGTGACCAAGCCATATATCTGTCATTGTCATTTTGACTTTTGAAATATTATTACCAAAATATTCTTTATTTATTGCGAATAGATGAGGAAGTTCATTATTTTCTCATAATTTAAAGCTGTCTTTCTTTCTTAATTTAATTTTTAGTGTTTTCCAAACTAAAAAGGTTTGCTTAAAATTTGAGATGATTGGCATATGTTGTCCAAGTTCTAATCTGGCATTTGGAATATGAATATCTCTGTCAAAGGTTCTTTACAAAAATTTGTCTTATTACTGTTTAATTGTTCAATTTCTATCATTTTTCTGTTGGCATGCTTGTATTTTTAGAATAGTTTCTCATTGCTCGTGCTATGTTCCTTCAGGGAATCAAAAAAACTCAAAGGTGGCAGCTCCTGTCAAACCTGAAGTGCAAAAATCAGCACCACGTATTGAAGTGCCTGCATTATCATTGGAAGAATTGAAAGAAAAGACCGACAATTTTGGATCAAAGGCTTTGATTGGTGAGGGTTCCTATGGAAGGGTTTATTATGCAAACTTGAACAACGGAAAAGCTGTGGCTGTTAAAAAGCTTGACGTTTCTTCCGAGCCCGAGTCAAATGTGGAGTTTTTGACCCAGGTGTGTAAGCAATTTGACTGAAGGCCCTTTTTTTCTGATTTTTTAAAATTCTTCTTGATAATGCATATTGAGATTGTTGTTACATCATATGTTTCTCCATGTTTCTTACCACTTCCTGCTTTACAATTTTGTTTGTTTAGGTTTCCATGGTTTCAAGATTGAAACATGACAATTTTGTTGAGTTGCAAGGTTACTGTGTTGAAGGAAATCTCCGCGTGCTTGCGTATGAGTTTGCAACTATGGGATCATTACATGACATTTTGCATGGTTTGTGAGGCCATTATATATTAGTTTCTGATTTAGATTTATTGGACTAAACTTTTCTTTTACAAAGTAGACTTTATTTGTTGGGACTTTTTTTTGGCAATTATAGGAAGGAAGGGAGTTCAAGGGGCACAACCAGGTCCAGTGCTTGACTGGATGCAGCGGGTAAGAATTGCAGTTGATGCTGCAAGGGGCTTGGAATACTTGCATGAAAAGGTTCAACCCTCTGTTATACACAGGGATATCAGATCTAGCAATGTGCTTCTCTTTGAAGAATTCAAAGCAAAGATTGCAGATTTTAACCTCTCGAACCAGTCTCCTGACATGGCTGCTCGTCTTCACTCTACTCGAGTTTTGGGGACCTTTGGCTATCATGCTCCGGAGTATGCTTTCTAAGCTCCTTTTTATTGTGTTTATTTTTTTCTGAACCAACCAATCATTGGCTGTTGCTGCGTGTTTAGTTGTTTCTTGTGTATGATTGGTTACATTTAATGCCATTCCCGGATTTATTATAATTTTGTTTACATAAATCCTTATTAGTGTCAATGTTTTTCCCCAAATGCTACTGCTATTTGGACTCCCAACTTCTTTTGCATCTTTTTCATGATAGATATACAAAACACATAAGCTCCAATGGCTCTATGTGGAGTCTATTTCTAAATTTCTGGAAGGAAGCGCCAGTCATTTTTTCCTGAGTGCATCACTATTCCAAAGGAGCTGCAGATTTTTTACGATTTTAACTTATTTATGGCTCAAATGTCTTCCAGGTATGCAATGACTGGACAGTTGACACAGAAGAGTGATGTGTACAGCTTTGGGGTTGTCCTTCTAGAGCTTCTGACTGGGAGGAAACCTGTTGACCACACAATGCCTCGAGGACAGCAGAGTCTTGTTACCTGGGTGAGTTTATTGCTTTCTCTTCTATCTGTCAATCTTTTCCCTTTTCTTTATCTAGTGTTATGGTGCATTTCTGTTTCTTTATATGGTGCTTGACCTTTTCATTTCACTTAAATTTGATGAACTCTTCATCATTTCTTTTTCTTCATTTTAGGCTACTCCAAGACTGAGTGAAGACAAAGTTAAACAATGTGTAGATCCAAAACTGAAGGGAGAGTATCCTCCCAAAGGAGTTGCTAAGGTACTTTTATCCTGTGTCTGCACAACTTGTGCTAGTTATAATTTTTGTGACTTGGGAATGGGGGTGGGTTTTGGCTGTTTGAACTCTGGAAAACATATATAGCCATGCCGAACTAGCCGCGTAATGGTTTTTATGATATCTTGGTTGATGCAGCTGGCAGCTGTGGCAGCATTGTGTGTGCAGTATGAAGCTGAGTTCCGTCCAAACATGAGCATCGTTGTTAAGGCTCTCCAACCACTGTTGAAAGCTCCAGCTCCAGCACCAGCACCAGCACCAGAGACATAAAAGCAGATGAATCCAGTTTCTGCAACCTATGCACAGTTTGGTTTTCATTCCACTGCAGATTCCATCAGCTCACTAAATATATTAATATATTTTCTTTCCACTTTTTCATATATGACATTGATGTGTAGGATTGGGTTGGAATGTTGAATTCTACTGATATGATCCGTCTGTTACTGGTTTTGGAACCGGGTGCTGATGTCTTTTCGAGTTGTAGTCATAAAAATTGACCAAGGGATTGGGTCGTGTGGTGGATATAAATGTTGAATGAGTATTGTTTGCTTTATTTTTATTTCCTTTTTTGTGCTGCGTAAATGGTTTTATTTGTACCAATATTTTCTCCACAATCACTCCTAATAAATTTTAACATTTCAAATAATTGGAGTGTCCCATGTTTAGTAATACATAAATCCATTCCCAACTGAAGTAGGATTAATAATGCTTCAAAATTAAGCAAATTACAGCCACCGCTTCTCTTATATTAAATATTTCTCATCATTCTAATAGGCTTTCTGAAATCGCAATTACAAAAAAATAATAATAATAAAAATAAAAATTGCAACCTTCCTTTCTTCTTTCTATTGCATTATTGGTTTCAATTTCGAACATGTCTGATGAATGAGATAAAGTTTTAGTCCCTTGTTGGAATTTGAGTTTAGAGGGACAGGAGGCTTTTCTATGCATATCATTATCCAACATGTTTGAAAGGGATGATGTTGATAAGTTCTCTGATGATGTTTACATAGAAGATGTGGTCGTATTCGATATTGTTGATGATATTATGGAGTTTTTTGAGGATGCTCTTGTTGATGAAGATCCTCCAAAGATGACCAGACATAATAGTAAATCGACCATTGAAGGGTTGGAGAAGGTAGAGCGATGAAAGGTCATTGGTACCTTGTTCGGCGTGCTTTGAAGATGTTTCAATCGGGACTGAAGCCAAACGTCTGCCCTGCTCCCATGTTTATCATACAGGTTGCATTGTCAAATGGCTTAAAAAGAGGAATGCATATCCATTGTGCCGCTATGAAATGACTGTTGTCGACTTTGATCTAAATGTCCCATTGTCTGTCATTGATTTTGATATGGATTCTAAAAACATGACTGTTACTAATTGATATCAATGCCTATTGTTTGTTTCTTATAATCTGTTATTCCTATACATGATCATGCTCTCTACAACTATTGATATAAATTCTTGTAGATTAATTTGTTTTGTTAAGCAGGGTTTTTGAATACTCTTACAATTGTTGCAGCTATGCTATACCTTTGAGACCAAGATTGGTCCTGAAGAACATTGTTCAGTTAATGAATGTTTGATCAAATCAAGTCAACACTTTACAAAAACCGAGCACACACAGTTGATACACTGGCTCAATTGAAACTACATCCAACTTTTAATCAACTTGGACTTTGCAATACTAACAAGTTTATTGCACCTTTTGCAGAACCAAAACTTGTGTCCATATTGGGTGTTTTCAACATTCTGTTTCAGTTCAATGTTGTGTTGTAATTTTGGTCTGATGTCTCTTTGTCTAGCAGCTCTGTATATTTTAGAGCAAGCCTCCTGCGAAAACAGTAGGTATCCACTGTTTTTATCTGTCATACTGCTTTACTTTTATTTACTTTGAGATTTGCTTGACCCGATCATATGTTACTTTCTATTGCTAAGTAAAGCAAAGACATAATCTTTAACCACTAGAATTGGTAGGGTGCGTGCTAAACAAAGCCAAGACAATCTTTAACCGCTAGAATTGGTGGGGTGCGCCAGGCCCGTGCAGTAGTGTAACGCATGGGCGACACTCGAAAACCCCAGTAGCAAGATGCTGTGATGGGCTTTGTCCCTCAAAAAATTAATTTAATATCACGTAAATAAAAAATCCACGCATCAAATATTAAACTGATAAAAATAAATATTACACTTATCTTAACCCAAAGGCCCGAGAAAGGAATGCTTTGCCAATGCTCTCAACCTCTCTTTTATAACTTGCCTCGACCAGTCCCTTTTGAAGTTTTCGTGGGATATAGAACTCAGCCAAGGTGTGCCAGTGAAAGCTGATTGCTAGTACTTGGCAAACTCTCCGATAGTTACACCTGAATATCAGAGCAAAATCTGGCAACAAGAACACTCCTAACAATTACCATTTCCTTGAGAGATTATTTATGAATAATTTGTGTGTTCAAAATGGTATTTGACATCTGCTTTGAGAAGTCAGTGTTCGTATAATCTATAGGTATAACTTCAATGTCTGGTTTTATGCTGTGTTTAGCTGCGAAATCAGCCATCTACTGAATCTCCTTTATCGTTTCAATCATGCTTCCTCCGACTATCTTCCTCATACTATTCTTGTTAATTTCTCAGTCTTAATACTAATAAAAAATTTTATTGAACTTGATAAAACGAATTTAACCAATCTGATCACAAACTGATGATAAACAAGCAATACAAGAATAGGCCATGGCCAATTCTTCAAATCCTCATCTTGAACTTTCCCATTCCTCTGATTTGATGATTGTCCATTACCAAGCCCATGACCTTCCACAAAAGCATAGTACCTCAACACAAATGCAAGCCCCAACACCACCCATTCCAAGCAAAAAACAGCCATACATAACCCACCAGCGAACTTCAATATAATAACCCCATCGTCTTCCCTTACGTATGACTTCAAATAACCCAAGAAATCAGAAGTTCTGGTCAAGATAGGCACCGAAACAAAGCCTTGGAATATCGATGTCAGCACCGTCGCCACCATGTGAGCTGCGTAACACTTGTCGGACCCGGAAGTGGAGACGGAGCAACCAGAGACTGCGCTGGCTATGGTGATGACGTGGAGGAGGATAAGGAAGAAGCCACATAAGGAAGAGAATAAGCGGAGAGAGAGGGTGAGGAAGATGTAACTTGAGGCTGCTCCCAAGAGAATGTAGTTGCTAATGAGGAAGATTTGTGGGTTCGGCTGTGAGATTGTGTTACTGAATTCTCAACTGAGTGACCCATTGAAGAGAACTTAGGATTGAATTTGATGCAAAACACAAATTGTCTGAAGTAAATTGAGAGAGATTGATGCTTTTTTGTTGATTGAAGAAAAGGACAGGAAGGTATATAAGGTGAGAAGGTTGGTCAACATTCGATTTTTCAAGTGGAAAAGCTGGATATGTGACCGTTGAGAGAGGCTGCCTCTATTCTTTCCCGAGCCCCATACGGTCATCTTAAAACCTAGACAGCTCTCTCTCTCTTTGGCTCTTTTGTGATACCAACAGTTTTTCTAATTTCTCCTTCTCATTAATGGCTGATGATCCTATGGATTCTGATTCATGCGTTGGTTCCAAGCGTAGAATCACTACTGGCACTGAACAAGAAGAAGAAATAACTCTCCTTCAACTTCAACTTTCCTATTACCATTCTGAAATCAGTACCCACCACAACCAGGATTCAACCTTTCAAGATCACCAACAAGAAACAAATATGGAGGATAGCAGTCCCGAGAAGAAAGCCAAGTGCTTTTCTCTATTTTCCGAGGGAAACCAAGAACTGGGTCTTCGTTCTTCCACTGAGAAGAATGTCTCTCTTTCTGGGTCTTTTGAGAAAGAAAAGATGGATAATGTTGAAAACAAAGACGGTTCCTTTGGAGTTCAAGAAGTTGATAGTCTAGTCAAAGCCATTGAAGGTGATAAGAAGGAACATCTGGGGACTTGTTTGGAATTTGAGGAGAAAATGACTACCAAAGGAAAGGCCTTGGAATCTGAAAATGTGCTAGAAGATGAAAAGAAACTACTTTTGGGTGATCTTGAAGTTGGAAAAATATTTGGTGCCAAAACCTGCACTGGAACCATCTGTCATTTTGCAACAAACTCGTCCAAGATTGATGTTGACAACAACATTGGTGGTATCAAAGGACTTGATTTGCCTGTTAGAGGGTCTTTAAAGATTGAAGTTATCGATGATACAGCCTTGATCGGATCATTTCCACTCTGCAAAACTGGCAATGGCAGTGTAAAGGATGAGAAGAAGAAGGGGAAACAGGAAGTTGATGGTAAGAAAGCTAAAAGATCACGAAGAAAGGGAAAGAATGCCAAAAAGGTTTTCGGGGAAGCTATGAAACATATGGATTCAACAACAATTGTTGAAGTTGAAAATGGTAGGAGAGAAAGCCAAAGTCAAAGTAAGATAATGTACTCAAGAAAAGAGCTAGAGGCTTTGAGGTTTGCTAAAGCTGTGGAACAACAATATTTGTGGAGGCATGCATATAATGACCTTGGTACTGATGTGATCAGAGAGTATGAGGACTTGGCAAGCTGGAAGCATCAGAAGAACATTATCTTGAGCTCTGATACTCATCACCTCTTTGGATGGAAGGCAGGGTCTCCTGCAATTATGAGTATGTTTTTGTCTTTTTATTTTGATGCATATTTGCATCGTTTAAGTGCCTTTGGTTTAACTTATCACTTTTGATTATCTTGGTTGATTTCTTTCTTATTTTTACATGGCAAAACTCCAAAGCGTTAGTTTAACACATCATATGGTAGAGTTTTATTGCTTTATTTTGGGATTATGGTTTACTGCTGTTAATAAATACATGTATGATCTGATGTACTTCTGGTGGTCATAGAACTTCATGAATCTTTTGAATTTGTTGTGTGATGAACACTAGTGAGCCATGTGTGGTGCCCTTGGTTCTCTTTTGCTTTTATTAATTTTGAACCTTTCACTAAGATAGTAGTTTCTTAGAATGAGGCTGTGTAGTTTTATACCAAAGGTGTAATTAGGAGAAAGAGCTAATTGCTGTTTTAGTCTTTAACTCTAGAGTAATGAATGATTGGTATTTTGATATGTACTCTGATAGCTGGCATAAAACCTGACATACTGTGAGTGTGATACCATAGGTTTTCCTCAGTATAGCCTAATGGGTCCTGGAAACAAACTGTCAGTGTTTCCTTATATACAGGATTAATCTTTAATGAATATTATCTTAAATGGAGAATAGTTAATTATTTTGTTTCATACTTGCCCATCTGCTAGTTTTTATTTTATGTCTAGGCACTATACCTGTGATACCTGAAAATTGGGGATTCTTTGTTTCCATACATATCCACTCCAAGAATATGCAATTTTAGTTTATGTTATCTTCCCTGCTGTTTTTAAAATTCATTTGGCTTCTCTTTTTGATGAGCTTCTTATTTCATCCTGTTAGTTTTCGTTTCTGTCACTCAACTAAAGCGGAGATTTCAGATCTGTTATGAATCTAGGCTATTGTTCATGTTCAAATTAAACTTTGTTATGCGTACAAAGATTTCAATCATGTTTTAATTTTTGTCCATATGCATTTCTAAGTATTTTCTGTGGCTTTCTGGTTGTCTGGATTCCAGCAAGTAGATTATTTTTTCTTTTAACAGAATTTTGGCTTGTTTGATAGTGAAAAATATATTTTTTACTCCAGGTCTTCCAAGTTTTCTAATTTCCTTCTCTTTACTATTTTTTCTTCCTTCCTGGAAACTATTGTCATAAAAAACCAAAGTTTCATCTCTCTCTCTCTCTCTCTCTCTCTCTCTCTCTCTCTATATCTATATATATATATATATATATATATATATATATATGCACAAAACTGGTGTGTTAGAATTAAATTTAGAAGTTCATAGGCAATCTTAGCAGTTTGTTCTTCGATCTACTAGAATCTGGCTCATATAGTGTCAACTTGATGGTTTCATTTTCTGCTGTCACAGATGTGGTTGCTGGAAGGGGAGCAAGGAATGGGCTCAACATCTTTGTACATTGAAGAATGGCCTGGAGTGATCTGCAAAAGACCTTATGTGCAACAATTTGACTCGTAGAATTTTCTTGTGTATACTTAGGCACATTATATCTGCGTTTAGTTCCTCTATAGGCTACTTGTACATAGGAGTCTTGCAGTTGGGTATTTTAGAATCTAATAGTAGGAGAATGCATGTTAGTAATGCAGATGATGTGTTACATTCTTTGTAACCAAAAGCTAATAAAGTGATGACATTCTTTAATGAAATTCAACTTTGGAAAGCCTGGCAAATTAATGAGAAGAGCTTTTGTTAGCTGTTTGCTGTTACTTGCATATTTGTAATGTTTTGCCATTCCTTTGGATTCAATATATAGAATTGCAAAAGCACTCCTATAGTTTGCCATCACTTTCAGGGGAAGATTATTCTGAAAACGTAGATAATGAACTAGAATACATGGAGGACAATGCAAATGAAGATGATGACAGTGATGAAGATTACACCAGCATTCTTAGGCCCACTTTCATGGTTGAAATGGAACCTGACTTCGATTCTGGTCCTCCAGAGAATGGATTTCCATATCTTAGGCGTGTCAGGTAACCATTCTTTATCTTTAAATTGTTAATTAATTTATTGTATGATTTATTATTGGCAATGCCATTTTGCTTTCATATGGTTTGTTGGTTTCACGCCTGTTCTTATTTCAAACTATGCAAAAGAAAGTACAACAGTTTAATTGTATCAAACTAATGTAGTCCTTTTATTTCATGTGTAGGTGGGAAGCTGCTCAAATTCCAAAAGTAGAGATTGGCAAGCTTGACAGGATTAAGTTGAACAAGGAACAAAGTGTTTATATGCCCCAGATACCAGAAATTGCTTAGTGTCCAGAACATTTACTGCCATTGAAACAGCGGAAGGAAGCATTTCTTGCAGAATTTTCAGAGCTACGACTGATCCGCACTTTTGGCCCCATTTAATTTTGACATTTACTAAATCAAAAAAAAAAAAAAAACACTGATTATCTTTAAGATCTGGAGAATGGTAAAACTTTGACATTGGCTATCTAGGGCAACTACCTTTAACTTTTGTTTCCTTTCTTGATCTCAAGTTCTGTCATATCTGGAGGATCCCAGTGCCGAAATTTCTCGTAAAATACCAAAGTTTACTGTTCAAGAGGAGGACTTGTGTCAGCTTCCTGAGAGTGTTATTGAGAAATTTAACAAGCTTGCAACCAGTGAAGTCCATTCTGACCAAACATCTTTGTCAAATGCTGCAGACTGTGATTTTATTGTCTCATCAGAATCCATGTGCTAAACCCTCTGTTGCTGATACTTGTGGTAACTACCCAACCTTGTCTGCAACCAAAAGATGGACTCTGTAGCTCGAGTTTCAATCTTAATAAACGCATAACCTCAGTTGAGAACATGACCTCACTGTCAATGACTAACTGCGTGTGGCTATTTGCTTTAAGCGCAGCAGTTGACACTCCTCTGGACGACGATACTTGTGCTTCTCTTCGAACTCTATTTCACAAGTGTGCTAACTTGAGAGCTGCGAAGTCCGACTTCAATGATGAATTTGTTATGCTAAATATTTTGGCCACTATTTCAGGAAGATACTTCGGCCAGTCAGAAACTTGAAGGTTCCTCCATCTCAGTGTCTGTATTTATGCTGGTTGCATGATCTTGTGAAGTTGTTAATGACCATGTGGTTCTATGGTACCCTATTATAAACAAAGTCTGAGGTTTTTGTAGAGTATATGACAAAAAAAAGTTGCCTTTTCCAACTTTGTGGTTAATTGTCATGTAGTGTTTTTCTTTAATACGTAAAATAACTTCTAGAAATTACAATTTGGATGGTACAAATTACAAAGGTGTGGAATTAGGGAGTACAATGACTTGGAATTTGTACTGTTGTAGCCCTGTGTAGTACATTTGAACTTTGAATTCATGTACTGGATTATATTTGGAATGTGCTTATATAATTCTGAAACCCTTCGTTCAAAATCTTCGTCTCCAAGTTGTAAGCAAAAGTTGTATTAGGTGGAGGAGCCCCACAGGAGCGACATGAGATCACATGTGGTCACTCTTTAGATGAAACTTTATCCACTGTCTTCCATGTGTTCTCAGGTCGCCCCTGCAGGGCTTTCCTTCACCGTCTGATACCCATATTGATGAGTTTGACTTTCCTTTCTCTGCTTTTGCTTTTCAGCAATGTCCTAACTTCTTTTGAGAATGGAACTTATTCACAAGATGCTAACTGGGTCAAGACCAGCTGCAATGGAAATGTTAGTCACAACAATGAAGGTGTTACGGGCATTTTTGGGTTCAAAAGGATAAAACGGTCTTTTTCATTATTTAGAGATTGTTAATAAACAATTAAAAATATTTTTTATTTTAGGTCAATGTAATATAACAAGTCGATTTTATATATAAAATGTCACGTTAATTTCATCACATTATTAATTTATTTTGTAGAATTCTAAACTTTTATCACAAATAAGATCATCCAAATATTATCTAATTATTTTATTTTTTTTTATTATTTTTTCTTTATTTTCTCCCCTTTTAATCTCTTATAACCAATTTCTAATTTGAACATTTAATGCAAGCATAGAAAATATTTTATACTTTTGTCAAGTTTTTTTATTTTTTTTTAACCACTCGTCACTTTTTTTTTTTATATAATTTCAAAATTTACCCTTCAACTCGAAATTCGATGGAACAAAGGCCAAATTGAAAAAGCATTTTAAGTTTATTTTTGTAAGTGCTTTTTGGCAATGCAAAAGAGTTTAACAAAATGATCTGATTTTCTTGTTAAACAAGACATCCTATTTGTGAAGCAGCCAAGGGCCACCTAGTACTTGCATTTAATGTGTCAAAGGTTTGGTTAAAAAATGAGCAAGAATTAATTTTATGAATTATTGATAATTTGGATTTGTAAATAAGTATATTATAGCAATGAATTTTAAAAAATTGTAAAATATCAAAGGTTGTATTCCCTCAATTTCAATTTTCATTTCTTCTAACATCATTTGATAACAAAACAAGTTGAAACCCAAGTTCATCAGCTTGTGAGCAAAATCCTAGAAATAGCTAATGAGTGATGTGATGATCAATTTACAATAATGGAGTGAGTGCTCATTCTTGAATCAAACCAGGTAAAAAGTAAAATCATCTTAGTTTCACCTAATAGTAGACAAACTCAAGGATGTTTTCAATAAGTCCAAGAATGAACATAAGAGCACAAGGGGTCAAGGTAAGCTAGAGAGTTGAAAAGGGGAAAAAAGAAAGAAGTGGGAAAATTAAGAAAATTTCAGGTAAATTTGATAAATTTATAAATTATTGCTAAAGGAAAATTAGAAGTAAACAATTTAATTTGTACATATAAATCATTCATGTCAAACATACATAAAACACGAAAATTATCATATCATAATTTATATTAATATATTTAAATATAAGATAATTTTTTTTTAAAATCATATACGTTATTCTATCAAAATTTTAACTCATATCATTCTCATATTTTTTTCATGTGTCGTATCAAACTTAAATACAAGACACATTTTTCTATTTTTTCTAAACCATATACGTTTTTTTGCCAAAACCTTAACTTATATCATTCTCATATTCTTTTGACATGTCATATCATCATATTATGTTTAAAATTGCCAGCTATTTAAAAAGTAAAATCATGTGAATTTATAGAAAAGACTTAGAAAATTTAAAACATACACATAGAACGAAGTCGGTTTTGAACCTTTCATTTCAGGCATTTGGCATTACTTAACTTCACTCTAAACTAAAATCTACCAAACCAGCTAAGTCCATATTTATGGCTGTCTCCGTCTTTCATGAGTCCAATGGCATTTCTGCTTCCATAAAGGAGAGAAAAGAGAAGCAAGTACATAAACAAGGAGCCTGCCTCGCATTCGGGACTAAGCAAAAGACGTCCCTTTTACAACGATCATGTAATCTATATATACAGACTATTTATGACCATCCATAAGTTCTCAACTCTAAAAACATGCAAGAGCAAAATGCCCTAAATGATCTAAATGTTTTAAGATACCTATCTTTCCACGCAGATGCATAGAAAGATGAGCACGTACCTCCAAATGCCTCTAGGATAAGCTGCTGACTTTGTAGAAATGCAAGCCAGCTTGAATCTGATGATAACTAGGATTTGTTTGCCTGTTCAAGAAGGCTCTCGGTGTTATAACCGCTGCCCCAAGCCCTCTCCTTCCAAATTTGCTCCACTTCAACAAATGTCAGTCCCTTGGTCTCCGGCACAAACATGACCACAAAAACAACTGCAAGCACAGCTATGCCAGCAAGAATCAAGAAAGTAGCACTAGTTCCAACGGCTTCAGCAAGTGTAAGAAACGTCTGTGCCACAATCAAATTTGAAATCCAATTCACAGTAGCAGACATGCCCCCACATATCCCTCGGTATTGCTCAGGATATATCTCTGAGTTCACAGTCCATGGAACAGGTCCCATTCCAGGTGAGAAGAATGCAATGTACAGGGCTAATCCAATGACAGCAAGCCAGCCATAAATTCCACTTGAAGAACCAGATGATTCAGCAAAGAAGGCCCCAGCAAGGATGACAAGGGATGCAATGACACCTATTAAGCTTGAAAGAGCCAGCTTTTTCCTTCCAACATGATCAATAAGGTAAATGCCAACAACAGTTCCTGCAGCATTCACGGCAGCAACAACAAGAGACAGGAGAAGTGCTAGCTGATTGGAATTGAATCCAGCCATCTGGACTATTGTTGGGCTATAGTACATAACTGTATTGATGCCACAGAACTGCTGAAAAGCCTGCATAATCACAGTTTCTATGTCATCATACAGTCCTCACACTTCCTACTAAACATAGCAAAGAGAGTTTAATTCATGGTAATATTCTTAGTTAGCTCCAAGTACAATTTATCTCAAAAGACATAAAAAGCCGCAAGTCATGTCCAGTGCACTTTGATTTCGACTAAGCAATGCCTGAAATAACAATGCAATTAACAGTTTTTTTTTTAAATAATAAAATAATCATAATTTTGAACATGGTCATTTTAAGAACAAGAATGAGTCAACCATTCTGATGGACAACGTATTATAATAAAACATTGACATTAGAGTTCTTACCTGAAGTCCAGCCCCAGCCAGAAAGGCAAGTCTGATTTCTTTTGTTTTAAAAACATCCAAATATCTGACAGTGTTCTTTCTCTGACGTTCTTCTTCTAGTGCAGCAGACAGGTGATCCACTTCATCCTCTAATCGAGCAATGTCATAAATTTTAGAAAGCACAGCTATAGCTTTAGCTTTCTCATTCTGCACAATATGAAGATAATAGTTGGTTTGTTAAAGAAGTAAATGGAATTTACAAAGAAATTTCCTCAAAGTAATAGATTACCTTAATGAAAAGCCATCGTGGAGACTCGGGCAAACATAGCATAAAGAAGAACTGAATGATAGCTGGGACAGCTGAAACTCCAAGCATCCATCTCCAAGTTCCAGGAACCTGTTCATGCAACAATGTTTTAGACATGTAGTTGAGGTACTTGAAAACCTTTTGGAGTGCATAAAGTCCTATGATGCATAAATGCCCAGATAACAAAAATAAGCTCAGACCCATCCTTCACCCAGTCATGCTTCACTCACCTCTAAGAACATTAAGACATCAAAACTCATATATTCAGATTTAAAAAGTGCTAGATTAGATCTCAACTAGTTGTATTAAGAAGATCTACCCTTGTACTTCAACTCATCAAATAAGAATATAACCGAACCATTTACTTATCTATCCTCAGTTAAGATGCTTTGATTTGTTTTTAAAAACCACAGGTCACTAAAGGCACGGAATGCAATAAGCTTTGCCCCCACTTCCTCAGAATTGAATCCGTATCTTGAGATCAAATTGTAAGTACCTTAGCAATGAGTGGACAATCAGCCTCAAAACCAAAAAAAAAAAAAAAAGAAGAAAGTTCAAATCTCTATGTTTTAAGAAAAAAGGAGAAAGAAAATATTGATAATGGCTTCTGAATGAGGGGAAACAAAGCTTCAGAACATACTCTAAGCTTCCTATTTTCATTTCATTAGCACACATTTCACCAAAACATGAAACACATTTACACTAACTTGGATAATAGTTGAGAATCAAGTGCCATGACAAATTTAGATTACTAGGTAATATTCGACATGCCATAAATAACAGCTGCACATGCATAACCTAACTAGCAGGAAAGAACGAGGGTGATTCCGTCAGTGGTGTTCCGTTCAAGATCAATAAAATGCAAACCCCAAATTATATCTTGATACAGCATCTTCAAAACTGCAAAACTGAAAACCTTTCACTCCAGCAGAATAATTAATGAGCATAAATAGAATAAATTATCCTACTTTTCCAAGAAAATAAACAATAATCACCTCAGAGAACTGTTATTACTTAGTACACATTTGAAGATTATCTAATGAAGTATTTATTCTATTCAGTAACAACCACAACAAGAGTGACTAAAAGGATGAAAAGGATGAGTGATTAAAGATTGATTAACCAGTAATTTAACATGCACATATTGGCATTCTATCTTTCCTTTAAATAAAAGAAGATCCTCATTTCCAACCTAGAATATTATCATAATCAAAAGGAAGTTTTAATCAATTGATAACTGACAAATGATTATTGCTATCTATACCATTTGAACAATCATCTGCAGTCCAACTGATTATTTGGCTATAGCCTGCTAATAGAACCATTTATTAGCAAAGTTTAAATGTGGAAACTATCCTTTAATTTCCAATACTAACAAATTCTATTTTATACCAGTGTTAGCATCCACAAACACCCAACAAAATGCTAGTTATTTTCATTCACTACCAACCTTGTGAATTTTGAACTTCAAAAGCAAACAAATGTGAAAAAGTGATTATTTAGGTTGTGTCCTAGAAAGGTGATTGAGGAATTTATTTCCAGTTTAAATTGGTACAAAACCATTTTTTTCCCTGCATAAGATTATAAAGTAAATAAAAGAAAAGGAAAATAGGGAAATCCTACTTTTTATAGAACATCTTTTTTACAGCTATAAAATAAAATAATACTTTAACAATATCAAAACTGTCATCATATAATGTGTATATATATAAATATCGCTTCAAGCTGATGAAAGCAAATGAAGTAGTAAAAGGAAGACAAGCTGACCTGTGTAAAAGAAAGATTTACAAGGTAGGAAAGAAACTGTCCACCAGTTATCATAAGCACATTTGTGCTCACTAGCCCACCCCTTACTTCTGAGGGTGATGCTTCAGCAATGTATACAGGAGCAGTAACCGATGCTATACCCACACCCAGACCAACTAAAAGTCGTCCCAATATCAGCACATATGGATCCGGTGCAACAGCCATGACAATTGCTCCAGCAGTAAAGACAACATCTGCAAGAAGAGTAGCCTTCTTACGTCCATAAGCATCATTAATCCAACCCCCAGATGCAGCTCCAACCATTGCACCAACCAAGGCCATGCTGACAATTGTTTCCTGAAAGCTAAAAAAATTCAGAATGTTTCCATACAGGGAAAGATTCACAAATTAGCAAATCATTTTCATGTTAAGTGTTAACTAATATTAGGAGTTATTAAAGAGTAAGTTTAAGGGTCGAGGGATCTACAAGCCCCCAACTGCCTCCCTTCTGCACCTTTTGCAAACACAAGATTTGTCTGCTTTTACCACCACAATCCCATATCCCCAATCAACTAAAACCATGCAGCTGCAGACATAAGATCTAGGGAGAAGTTGGCCTTGGTGTTGTGCATACAATGCTCCCACCATTAACAGTAACACCATCCCTTTTTTCTTTTATTCTAATTTTTTTAGTCATCTTCCTCTCCCACTCAATCAAGCACACAAAAAGGAAGACTTTGATTGATTCCATTTTTCATGTTCTTTCAGGATGGAAGCAAGTTTAGCGTTTCAGAACACCTTAAGCTGGTACCTGGAGAATACTACTCTGATTGACCACCTCAAACTCATCTTTTATGTAAAGTAGGGCCCCTGATATTACACCTGCAGTTACCATTTCCAAATGAGAACATTTTCTGACAAAAACAAATTCAAAAGAAAGGGGAAAAAATAAACAGAAGAAGAAATGAAGAAAACCATGTCTTCCTTTTTTGTTCAATTAAATTTCGGATAAGCTAAAAGAAATGTAGAAGCCTTGAGCATAATAAACAGTTTTTCTTTTACCAAACCGAAGGAAGATGTCACACAGACCCACACCCAAGTGGCCATGGAGAGATAATGGTTTATTTAGTGAACATAAAAACAATTTAAATAAAAAAACATAGTTTTTGGTACTTAAGAGGTCAAAGCCCCAAAATTTTTATTTAAAAAAAAAAGGAACAAAAGATATCCATTGAATTGAGCTACTCAATGAAATTCCATTATATAATCATCTTAAATCAATAGAATTTCTTTGAGACCAAAACTTTTTTATTCAAATCACTTCCTTTTTTTCCTGGTTTACAGGAACTCCAATGCCTTAGATCAGTCCAATTCTGCTGCTACAATCCAGCCATTCAAACAAAACTTAGTTCCATCTATGGACACATATAAATCTTTTCATAGATAAACCAGACAAAATTGCATGAAGAAATTAAAGGAAAAAAAAGATAGAAAATAGAAAGGGACTGATACCTGTGTCATAACCAAAGAGCAAGCCACCAATACCAGCAATGACAGTAAGTCTTAAAACATAAGGATTACTGAAATATAACATTCTTCTGTCTGGAAACAAATCCAAATACCCTGAACTCCCTGGCAACGAATCTAACGTCATATCTCCTTTCTCTCTTTGGTCAACTCAAATTCAACCCCACTAAACAAAAAACACTCAAATTCCCAGGAATTTAATTGCCAACAACTCTTTTTTTTTTTCTAAATTTCTTCTTACCAACAATGAACAATTCAAGATTATAAATTTCTGACTCTTCACTCTTAATGATGTTAAAAAGAAAAGTGAATTCAGTTTTCAAAGATCCCCAGAAATCAAAACAAACACGTCTTCCTTGGGTTATAGTCAAAACTCAAGAAATGAGTAATAACCAATGAAACAGAGCATGCATTAAAAACCCACAATTATAATCTTAAGGAAAGCTTAATTCTATTCAATTAAAAGAATATTTAACGTCTTTTTCTTCCTCTCCGAGAAAATATGAATCCAACTTGATTTTCCCAGAGAAATTTGGGGTTACGAAGAAAATTTTTTCCTTTTTTTTTTTTTTTTGCCTGCAAAAGAGAAAGAAGGTGAGAATAAAAAAGATGAAAAAGTGACAAAATTTGGACGGTGACGGCTGAGACACTGAGACACGAATCTGGGCGGAAATATTTAAGGCAATTTTGAAATGTAATACTGAAACGACAGCTCACCCACCTTTTTCTTTTTTTTTTTTGGATAATTTTAAGATAAATATATTATTTTCAATTATTATATTATAATTAATCAACAATAATTCGTATTATGTATAATTCATAAAAAAATAAAGTAAATTTATATATTTTGAAGTAATAAGTTTTGATGTAATTTTTTTTGTTATGATTAATTAATTAAAATTTTATAATAAAAATTTTATAAGTGAAATGCTATAATAAAATAATTAACTAATTATCACTTTTTTGGTATTTCCGGCTAATTAAAAACGTGGAATTTATTGCTTAATGTAAAATTTTCATGAATAAAAGATGTTAAGACCTAATCTCTCGAGTAGGTACAATAACTTTACTCGCTCTTGGTGCTGCGCGATCGTCAATATTGTTATTAACTGTAGCGTTGGTGACGTGGTTTTCTTGAAATTTAAATCGTGCGAGTCACGTACAGTCATCTCGAGTCAAGTCGCTCCGTTAGAAATGCGCGGCTCGTCCTGACTCCCCATTCTTTCTTTCCTGCTATCCGATCGAAAGACGCAACCTCGATGGAGCCTGGAGACACGCAAATGAAGACAAGTTACTAGGCGTGAAAAAACGGTGAAGCCGTGCCTCCACGTGTTCTCTTTAGGGAGAATGCTGGCTCTTTTTGTGGGGTCCATTCGTTTCTTCAAATGTCTTTAGTCCATTGGCCTTTTTTGACTTTTTTTATAAATGAAATCTTTCTAACATTTTTATTTGGTTAGTTATATAACTTATAATGCCCGTAAAAATTAAGGATTTGTTTGGTAACGAGGATACAAAGAGATATGATTTGAATATAATTTGAATAATTAATAAGTAATTATTTCAATTAGTTATGATTTATTTTTTGTAAAAAAATATTAAATTCAAATTTTATTAATAATTTTTTATTAAAATCATTTTAAATATATTATTTATAATTATTTATTTTAAATTATCAGAATCAATATATTTTATTTTGATTTGAAATTTGAATATTTTATTTAATCGCATTTTTTTATACCAAAAAAGATAATACAATTTCAATAATTTCAATACAATTAGAGATTGTTTTAGTTTAATCTCAATACAATTTGAATAATCCATGGCCATATCTAAGTGAGATGGACATAATTAGGGATGCATTCTTTTTTCTCTTTTTTTTTTTTTTTTTGCCTCTCATTAGTAGTGTTTTTTTTCTTAAAATTTTAATCTATCTTTAATCTTATCTACTTAACTCATTTTACAAAACTATTATACAACTAAATTTTTTTAACTCATTAATTATTTAAACATTGTAATTTAAAATGTTAATAATTTTTTACTCAAATAATATATGATTTCGGATTGACATTTCCTGCATATGAATTTTAATTAATAAATAAAATATACAGCTCATTATGTGCATAAGGCAATAATTGTCATAAGCAAAATGATTTAGAGTTGAAAACTCAACAAAGGTCTATTAAACAAATTTTTTAAAGCCAATTTAAAATTATATTAATAATTATATATAAATTTAATAAAATAAAAAATTATATTTTATATTTTTATATTAATATAAATTATAATACATAAATTTTATATAAAATACAAAATAAATAAATAATTTTAATATTTTATATAATATAAATATACAAATAATCAAATTTAATTATAAAAAACATCAATGCTAATACTCATTTTCTCAAATTCTGTGAACCACGTATTAGTTAATAATCAAACCCTTATCACTTAGTTAATAACCGATGCTAATCTCCATTATTTAATAATCAAAGCCCTTATCACTTACCTTATCTATTTGCCATTTTCAAAGCATATATTATAATCATTGTCCTATCACTCCTATCATCTCATAAAAGTTTTTTCAATCCAATCTTCTTTTATTTTTGGGTTCTTTTTCATGGAAACATTATTTCAATCTAATCTTTATTTTTTTTATGGATATTTCAATTTAATTTTTTTCTATAATTTCCTTAATCCCACTTTCAAGATCATATAACTGGTTGATTGAGCTCAAATCAAAATTTAATTAAATTAATTTATGTAATTATATTTAAAAAATATTATTTAATAAATTTATAATTTTAAATTCTAATTGCTATGATCTTTATTGCAAAAATTATTACAATATTATTTATTTTATAAATATTTCAAATAAATATAAAATTTTAAAATATAATACAGAAGTATGATATAAATATAATTTAATTTAATATTTTAATAATTATTATATATAAATTTAATTAAATTAAAAATATATATTTTATATTTTTATATTAATATAAATTATAATACATAAATTTTATATAAAATATAATATAAATACGTAAATTTTAATATTTTATAAACATAAATACATAAATTATTAAATCTTAAGAGCGTGAAATAGCCCACAAAAATAATGTGTTGCTACCACACAAAAGGTGACAGTTGGTGTCACAGTCACCACCCATTTGTATAACCTCTGCCACCACTTGTTTTTTTATTTAACAATGCAAAAATATATCATTGTCAATTGGAAATATAATAACAATAATGGGCTGATGGACAAACAATACTTTTCTGTACGGCAAAACCTTAATAACTTCAATCAATGCCTTCGTTTCTTTGTAAGAATTTTCATTTTCCTCCTCATATTTCCTTTTTATTACCTTGAAGTAAACTTTTATTTATTTATTTTATATTTAATATATAAAATATAAATTTTATCATATCATAATTTATGTTTATATGTTAAATATAATTTATATTTTAGTAAAATTTTAAATTAAATTATTTTTATCATATTATTATATCATATTTAAAATTATTAAAATTTATTATAAAAATTATATATTATTTTTACGAAAATGCTTTGTCCTGTTCATGTTATGAACTGCTAGCTCATCAAATTCACGAGTTTCACTTAATTTATGTAGGATAAAAAAAAATTCTACAGTCTTCTTTGTCTTGTTCTCTGATTAGATAATCTAGTATATATACATATATATTATTATATCATATATAATTATAAGATAAAATTTACTTATGTTAATATTTATGTGGATAGTTTTGCTTTTTGATACTTCAAAAAATTAGTAAATTTTTTTTAATAATGATATATAATATATTTTTTAATTTTAGACTCTTTATCAAAAAATAAATTTTAAATTTTATTTAATTATCCAAAATTTATAAAATTTAAATGAAAAATCATTTAGATTTAAAATAATTAAAAGGATAAAATTATTATTTTTATTTTACTAATATTTTATTTAAATAAGTAAAATTAATTCTTATTTTTGTTATGGATTAAATAATTTTTAAAAAAATTTATTGGTTATCCAAATCTTTTTAAGATATATTTATTTTAAAATTTTAAATTATCCAAAGTTTTTCTTTTTACTAAAAAAATCATCTTTATTTGTCAAATACACCTTTAAATATATATTTTTATTTTTAAATTTTAAGTTTCTAATAATTTTCTAATAATTAGTTATATGTATGAGTTTGGACATGAGATTAATCCTAAATGACCAAATAACGAGTGAAAAAGTATAATTATTCTTGATCTATAATTAGTGTCACATTTTGAAAATGTTTATATTTTTGTTGCCTTTACAATTAAATTTATAGTATTAATAATTGTAAAGTTTGCCCTTAGAATATAAAAAACTTTACTTATCATTTTCAATTATGACAATAATATTTTTTTTTATTTTTTATATATATCTTATATTTTAAAAATATCAAATATAATTTTATCTTAATATATTTCATGATAATTTTTTATTATTTAAAAGGATAAAATTTAATATCTTAATAATTTATAAATGATTATTTAATATCATACTTTAACATCAATTTGATTTTTTTTTCATTGTTCTTCATTTTTGTGTTGCCTTGTTTTCTTTTTATATTAAAAAGTGGAAGTTATAGAAGTGTTTATTTTTTATTTTTTAGATATTTATAGTAAGCAACCTTTTTTTATATATATTACAAGATATAGAGTTATATAAACATATATATTCTTATATTTTATATATGCTGTCTACAGACCTTTTTTCCTTGCTTTTGATTCTTGACTTTATTAGTTAATATTTTTTTTAATTGATTTTTTTTCATATATTACAAAGTGCAAAGTTACAAAAAAAATTTTTTAATTTTGTAAGTACTATCTATAAACTTTTTTTTTATATATATTTAACTCTTAATTCAATCAGGTAATATTTTTTTCTCTTAATTCAAGCTTTCTCATAATATGCAAAATCACTTTTATTAATAGTTTACTTGATTAGATTGATTTGAACCTATTATTTATATCAAAATATTATTACAAATAAGAAGAAATAGTTGAATTTTGAAATCATATTTCATGTATGTAATATAATTAACACATCAATTATGATATTGTATAAAAATTCGTAATCTGCTATACTTTTTCCTTTTCAAAGTCATAACATTTTTTTTATTTATAAAAAAAGTTAGGATAAATTGAAATCTAATTTGATTTCTTTTTTTTTTTTCAAATCAAATGTCATTTAGTAAGCACTTTATAGTTTTTAAACATAATTTTTAAAAAATATTAATTTAAAAAATTAATAAGTGCCATGAATTTGGTGGCATCCAATTATAAACATTTTTAAATTTTAAATTCTATTTCAAGTCTGATTCTAATCACTTATTGAATTTATATTTATTATTAAAATGTTAAAATTTTTGTAATATTAAATATATTTTAAATTTAAAATTAAATAATTTTTTAATATAATAATGTTTTCAATCCATACTTAAGAAGTTGTGCATAAAATCCTAAATTCAACCTATAATCTTACCACAATAAAATTAAAAAATTATATTCAATTATGGTCCATTTGTGTTTTTTTCTTCATGTGCTTGAATTTTGAAAAATATTCATTAATCAAAGATGAATATAAATTTAAAAATACATATTTTCTTAATTTATTTTAATTAGTTTAATTAAATTAAACTTATTTAACTAACTTTCTAAGATTTAATTGATATAAAATTATATATTTTCATATGATAAATAATATTATCATACTTAAAGTGTATGAGATTATTTGGTAAGAAAAAAACAATTGAAATTAAAAAAAAAATAATTTATGATTATTTGAAAAAACTTATAATTAACCATAATTTTTAGGATTTTTTTCATTGTATTTTAACTATAAATTAATTTCAAGCATAGATAGTTAGATATATATGATTTTGTCTTTCTTGTAAATTTTAAAATTTTAAATAACTAATAAATTTTTAAATATATTTATACGATAAATAATATAAAATAAAAAATGATATTTCGTGTTATCATGAATATAAATTTTTTTATACAAATAAATTATTTATGATTACTTTATTAAATAGATAACAAATAACTATATTAAATGATAATTAATTTTTAACTTGTTACATCATAAACTAAATTTATTAAAAAAAAATTTCAATTACAATTAAAAAATAATTGATTGAATAATAATTAAAAATAAATTAATAAAGCAAGATAATCCATATATTACATGGATATTAAATTAGTTTAAAATATAACACAATAATATAAAAAAAAATCTGAAAAAGATATAAAAATAAAAATTAAAATTTTAATAAAATTATATATAAATTTAATAAAGTAAAAAATATATTTCATGTTGATATAAATTATAAAATATAATTTTTATATAAAATATAATAAAAATATAAAAATTATTAATATTTTATACAATATAATATATTAATTATCAAAATTATTTTCAATCCATACTTTTCTTTTTTTGACTGATAAGGAGAGGTACTCTGAACCAGTGTCACGTGCACAAAGAAACAATTGTACCATGAAATAATGCAGAGGAAGTAGACAGCTTAAAATATTCCATCAATGTCACCTCTCAATTTGTGTGGCTCTCAAAGAAGGCCACCCATTTCTTTTTTTCTTTTTTTTTTTGCAGAAATGTCACCACCGTTCATGTGTACGTGCAATTATGTCTTCACCCCAACATCTCATACTTCATGCTCCTTCCTGCCCATCTAAGACAAACGTACTTGCTATTTTTATTTTATAAGAAAAAAAATCGAAAATAGATAAATTATTTGATTTTTTAAATTAAAATAAAATATGTTATATTTAACAATTTAAAATAAATGATTATATATTATGTATCCGATATGATCTCAATAAATAATCATCAATAAAATTTAAACTCAAATTTTATTTATCCAAAAAAATAAATCTTAATCGAAAAAACCAAACCAATAACTTATTAATAAATGTACTTGCTATTGTTCATAAGAAAATGCCTATGCATTTTTATAATCTTGATTCCTTCTTTAGGAAGGTTGAGATAAGAAACTAATTCTTTTCTCTATAATTTTTTATGTTCGATAATTATTTTAAATCTCAATTAATTTAAAATTGAATTGAATTGTAATTTATAAAAGAGATTAACTCTTCTAAACTTTTTTTTTTATTCATAAGATTTGAAATTAAAATTTTACTTAAAAAAATCGAAATTTTTTTCATTTGAACCAAGAGGCTTGATGCTTTATCTATGGCATTTTCTAAACTTACTCTTCAATTTAATATTTTAAGTTAAATTGGATTGATTCTAAAAAAATTTTTGTCTAAAATTTGATTTAAATCAAAATAAACTTTCAGATCGAATAAATAATTTATCCTTAAAAGGATTTTATTGAGATGAAACACTTTTGTTTTAACATATGAGTTTTGAAATTGGCTAAGAAATTTAAATTATGGGTATGAAATTCAAGTTTTAAGATGAGAAGAATGAGATTAAAATAAGAAGAAGGCAGTAACTAGCTGGTTTTATTAGTTGAGTTCGCTCTTTCTCATTATGAAATGAAATGTCCAAATTAAAATTTTCTTGGTGAACCCTTATTGATGCTAATTTGGAATGGAACCAATGAAGCTTTTTGAGATGCTTATCTTGTCCTAGCATTAAAATTGAAACAATTTATTTGCCCTTGAATTTTCTTTAATAGAAAAAAATAGAATAAGAATTTAACTTCTATTGTATGTATGAAGTTTTAGAAAGTTAAAAGAAAGATTCAGGAGAATTAGTGAATTACATATTACTCACATTATGTATCCTCAGTCTTGCGCGGTTACTTTCATTTTAGGCTCAATCCAATATCTTCTAAAGTGTCTCACTATAATACTTCAATATTACGTGATTTGTTAGTAAAGTATTAAATTTTTAAGCTCCATTTGTTTTAAGAAAAATAATTTTAAAAAAATAATTTTTACATTTTCATGTGTCTGTTTGATAGAAACCTAGCTAGTTATCGAAAAATTAGGTAAATTTTTTGGAAATTGTTTTATGAATTTAAAAAGAGAAAGATATTTTTTAAAAAAGAACTGTTTATGGATAAAATTATTTATCAATATTTTTGTGCAGAATTTTACTTATAAATAATATCATATTAATAAATAATATACTATTAATGTAATATATTAATAAATAATATAAAAATAATAAATAGTTTTATTTTAAATATTTTTTTATTAATATAATATTTTAATATTAAATACCATTATTAAAATATAATTAATTTTGAATATTAATAATTTTACTAATAAACAATTTCAATATACTTTAATAATAAATAATTTTTAATATTTTAATAGTTATATTAATATTATTTAAAAAATAAAATTTATAGAAATCAACCAAATAACATAAAACACTTTTCATTAACTCATTCAAATAACAAAAAAATTTTTCAATTCAAAAAATATAAATATTTTTCGGAAATAATTTTTCAGAAGTCATTTTTTGTGAAACAAACGAAACCTTAATTTCAGCAATCAAAATTCAAATTTTAATAATATAAAATACTAAAAAAAAATTGACATAAATATGTACTTGCGCTCTATAAAATAGATTTTGTGTATGCCATTTAAATTTAATTATGTTTTGGAGTGGTGCAAGTGCTTGAAATTCAGCAACAAAAAATTTATTTTTTATTAGTAATAAAAAGTTAAAAACACAAACACTAAGAACGAAAGAGTTGGGCCATATGGGCCTATGGCCTCTCCTTAAAGGAGACAAACTTTGAGTTCTTTGTTTGCCAATATTTTGCCAAAATCTCAACATAGAAATAGATACACTTTGGGCCATGCAAAAGTCCTTGATGGCCCAAATTAGTTGGCCCGAATTAACGCAAGTGGATTTGTTTGCGTTAGGTTTAACAAATTTAGGAAATATTAGGTTGTGGTTGGTTTGAAAAAAAAAAATTGTTTTTATTTTTATTTTTTAGAATAATTTTTTATTTTTTATTTTTTAAAAAATAATTGATAAATGAAAATAATATTATTTTTTAAAAATGCTAAAATAAGAAAAAAAATATTGAATGATATTATTATTAATGACATTTAATTATAAATATTATATATATATTAATTAATTAATGACATTAAAAAGCATCAAATATGATGATTTACAAAATATAAAGAAAAAATAATATATATATTTCATAATTAGAAACATATTTTTTATATTTTAACTTATTTTTTTTAATTATTTTCATTTTTAATTATCCATTCATTTTCTGGTCACTGCAGATATGCTACTTTTTTTACAAGAACATCACTTTTGGATTTACTCTGTTTTGGTTTGAGGCCAACGCTTCTTTCTCTGGCCAGCCTGCTTATAATGATTGGTACATGTCATGCTACAATGTCTTCTTCACTTCGCTTCCAGTAATCGCTCTTGGTGTTTTTGATCAGGACGTTTCAGCCAGACTTTGCCTCAAGGTAAAAAATTCTTTATATTAATACTTGATACCTTGAAGAGTTGATACAGAAGTTACGGGCTTAAAAAAAAGTGAGATAGGACATTCGGTGAATAGCAACCCTAACTGGGTTTTAACTTTTAACCTTCAGAGGTTTTATCTGTCAATGAATTGATTATGTGAATGAGTTATAGTGGGAAGGGAAGGGTCCCCCGATTCTGTTGTCATTCCTCCTACTGTCAATCCTGATAAAATTCACTTCTCCTGAGTTACACATAACGACGTGGCTTCAAAATGATGATAGTTTTCTTTATCAGTATGGTCATTGTTGTTTTCAACATTTAAACCCCAAATTGAGTTTCTGAAATATGTTTTTCTGCTTCAAAAATATTAAACTGTGCTGCTAATCTGTTGGTTGAGAATTGCTCCTGATCTCGGATAAATTTGGTATATTTGCAAGATCTTATACATGGCATGCCAACTGAGTACAATTCTTATATTTTACTATTTGTCTAGCTGTAGAGCATGTTACAGTAAATGTTATAGTTGCAATTTCACCGCAAAGAAGGAACTTGGTGACGAGTTTTCTGAACTGCTGTCTCCTGTGCAAAAGAACTCAGAGCGACAATCTTTTTTTTTTGCAGCATCCTTTATTATACCAAGAGGGCGTACAGAATATCCTCTTCAGCTGGATCCGCATACTTGGCTGGATGTTTAATGGAGTTCTTAGTTCCATAATTATATTCTTCTTAACCACCAACTTGATAATTGGTCAAGCATTCCGCAAAGATGGTCAAGTTGCCGATTATGCAGTCCTCGGGGTGACAATGTATACATGTGTAGTTTGTGTTGGGATTTGCCTTGAATCTCAGAATCCTACATCGAAAGTTAAGTAAGTTTGAATTTGTCTTGTATCCCACATCGGGAGTTTAGTAAAGGTATAAAGGGTTTCACCCCTATAAATAAGATGTTTTGGTTTTAATTTAGTAACCCCAAAGAGTTAGACACCAAGAGAATAGCTAAGTGAGTAGGCTATTAAAGGGTGTAATTGAGTTTTGGGTTAAGTTTTGAGTAAGGAGTTTTAGGAGACTTTTCTCATTCTAAAAGTCTCACAATTGTAAAGATTTATTTGATAGTGGATTAGATTTGGAGTAGGCCATTTTGAGTTGGGCTGAACCAAATATATTTGTGTTTTCTTATTCTTAATTTGAGCTTGTTATTTTGTGTGTGGTTGCTGCGTGTGGGTATTGTTGTTTTTCCCAACAAGTGGTATCAGAGCTGCTGTGGTGTTCCCCAACAAGTGGTATCAGAGCGAGGTTCGAGGTTCGTGGGTCCAAGAGATCGTGAAGCAGTGTTTGAAGATGTCTGAAGAGATCGTGAAGCAGTGTTTGAAGATGTCTGAAGGTGGTATCAGAGCGAGGTTCGAGGTTTGTGGGTCCAAGAGATCGTGAAGCAGTGTTTGAAGATGTCTGAAGAAGGTATGTCTGGTATGTCTATGCCTAAGTTTGAGATTCCGTCAAGAGATCGTGAAGCAGTGTTTGAAGATGTCTGAAGAAGGTATGTCTGGTATGTCTATGCCTAAGTTTGAGATTCCGTTATTTGATGGAAAGAGATTCAAGATCTGTTAGTACAACAAGGGTTGGATCAAGCATTAGAAAGTAGTAAGCCTGAGGGAATGTCTGATCCTAATTGGATTAGGATTCAGAAGAAAGCTGTTAGTACTATTAGATTGGCGCTAGCTCCAGAGATAAAATACAGTGTGTTGACTGAGAGTACTCCGAAGAGTTTGTGGGATAAGCTTGAAGGTATTTATGCTTCGAAGTCGTTGACTAATAGATTATGTTTGAAGATGGATCTGTATTCTCTGAAGATGGAAGAAGGTATGAGTCTTCATATTCTGTTGATGAGTTAAAAGATGAAGAGAAGGCTTTAATTTTGCTGTCATCTTTGCCCAAGTCTTATAGGCCTTTAGTTCAGACTGTGTTGGTAGGCAGGTCTACTTTGAAGTTGGATGATGTGACTGCCCTGTTGCATGAGAATGAAAGGTTTATGGGAGCTCAGAACTCATCACCTGTGGGGAGTACACTAGCTGTAGAGGGTTTTGATCGAGGGAGGACTCAAAAGAGGATTGATGGATCGAGATGGAGATCCAAGTCAAGAGACAGAGATTACAGTGATGTAGAATGTTATTATTGTGGTAAGAAGGGACATATCCAAGTGCGCTGTAGGAAGCTGAGAAGGGATATGGCTGTTTTCAAAAGGACGAATGATGAAAAGAAATCAGATGAAGAAAAGAGTGATATTGCTGCTGTCTTGTCTGATGATGATGATGTTGTTTTGACAACTTGTGTGGATGAGACCCAGACTTTGAAAAGTGATAAAGGTTGGGTTTTAGATTCAGCTGCTACAGTTCATGTTTGCAATGATAGGAGTTGCTTTGTGGAATTGGATGAGAATGAAAAGTATGGAGATATTGTGGTTGCTAACAAAAAAAAGGTGCAGATTCAAGGCATTGGGAGTGTTCGACTTAAATCTCACAATGGTATCATTAGGATGCTTCGTCATGTAAGGTATGTACCAAGTTGTCACTACAATTTGATTGCTTTGGTTGAGTTAGCTTCTCGGGGGTACACATTTTATGGTAGTAATGATTGGTTAAAAGTGTACAAGAATGGTAGTGTGATTCTACAAGGGAATAGGGTCAATCACTTGTACATGTTTGATGGAAGCTCAGGTGCTGGAATGCCTGTGATGAAAGAAAAGAAAAAAGGTAAGCATGTTAGCTTTGCAGATACTGTTGAAGTGTTTGGAGATTCAAGTCAAGGGATGATTTGTTGGGATTTGCCTTGAATCTCAGAATCCCACATCGAAAGTTAAGTAAGTTTGAATTTGTCATCGAACATAATAGGAAGGTCCCTGGGGTATAAAAGGGTTCACACCATCTCCGCCTTGTGAGGCGCTTTTGTAGGACAAACCGTGAGGCAAGGGGCCAGAGCGGACAATACCTCAAAGGTGTGAACCGTGGCGGAAGGCTGATCTGGACGCCGGAAGGGTGAATGCCCGGTCCCGGAGCCGCGCGGGTTCGGAGCTTGAGTCTCGACCCGTGACAAGTGGTATCAGAGCCAGCCCTAATACCGTTCGACTCCACGCCGAGCGCCTCGAGGGAGGTAGGGCAGGGTGGCCGGCCTCCGTGACGAGGGCGTCACGAGGTTGGGTGCGGGAGAATGTCACGGACCCAAGGGGGAGTCCTGAATCCCACATCGAATATAATAGGAAGGTCACTGGGGTATAAAAGGGTTCACACCATCTCCGCCTTGTGAGGCGCCTTTTGTAGGACAAAACCGTGAGGCCAGGGGGGGCCAAAGCGGACAATACCTCACAAGGGTGTGAACCGTGGCAGGTAGGCTGATTCAGGACGCCAGAAGGGTGAATGCCCGGTATCCCACATCGGGAGTTTAGTAAAGGTATAAAGGGTTTCACCCCTATAAATAAGATGTTTTGGTTTTAGTTTAGTAACCCCAAAGAGTTAGACACCAAGAGAATAGCTAAGTGAGTAGGCTACATCGGGAGTTTAGTAAAGGTATAAAGGGTTTCACCCCTATAAATAAGATGTTTTGGTTTTAGTTTAGTAACCCCAAAGAGTTAGACACCAAGAGAATAGCTAAGTGAGTAGGCTATTAAAGGGTGTAATTGGGTTTTGGGTTAAGTTTTGAGTAAGGAGTTTTAAGAGACTTTTCTCATTCTAAAAGTCTCACAATTGTAAAGATTTATTTGATAGTGGATTAGATTTGGAGTAGGCCATTTTGAGTTGGGCTGAACCAAATATATTTGTGTTTTCTTATTCTTAATTTGAGCTTGTTATTTTGTGTGTGGTTGCTGCGTGTAGGTGTTGTTTTTTTCCCAACAGTTTGGACAGTAAATTGCCAAATGGCACTCTCCATCAATTACTTCACATGGATACAGCACCTGTTTATCTGGGGAAGCATTGCCCTTTGGTATATATTCTTGGTGGTTTATGGTTATATCCCACCTACATTATCGACAACAGCATACAAGGTTTTTGTGGAAGCTTGTGCTCCGAGCATTGTATATTGGCTCACCACCCTTCTCGTTGTTATTGCCACATTGCTACCTCTCTTTTCTTATAGGGCTTTTCAGATCAGGTTTCGACCTATGGAACATGATAAAATACAAAGACAGAGGTCAGAAGGCTCGGAACATGATAAAATACAAGGACGAAGGGCAGAAGGCTCGGAACATAATAAAATACGAGGACGAAGATCAGAAGGCTCGGAACATGATGTAACAGAAAGCACAGGTACCCGAAATTCTACTGACTTGCCTTCAGAGATTAGGATCAGAATAGATAATCTAAAGGCAGGTCCAAGGAGCAAGAACGCATGATACTGGTGATATGATTAGGGTTCTTTTTTCTCTGTATATGCTACCGTCGCAATTTAAGTGTAGATGGAGAGGAGAGCATGAAAATTGGAATTGCTTCTGCTCAACTTCATGTGTACATTACGTATGTAAATCTGATTTATGAAGTCTTGGTAATGCATGCCTCTGCTTCAAACATACTGACCTCACATATATGTAATTATATATTTTTCGTAAGCTTGTCTTACTTTTTGAATGTGCAATGAAGCTGATGATGCTATCTCTTCAATTTTCCCAACAACCAAACATCATTTTCAGTCCAACAATAGTAGATTTCATACGAGGATGCTGTCATGGAACAAAGTAGCATTTTCTTACTGAAATGCTTACAGGCATATATGACTGATGTCTCCAGTTCGTTGCATGTGTGAAGTTTCTCTTTTAATCAATTTTCATTTAAAATTGAGTTGAGTTTTAATTTATAAAAGAAATAAACTCTTCTAAACCTATTTTTTTATTCACAATACTTGAAATTAAAATTTTACTAAAAAAAATCAAATTTTTTATCATTTGAACCAAGAGGCTTGATGCTTTATCTATCGCATTTTCTAAACTTACTCTTCAATTTAATATTTCAAGTTAAACCAGATTGATTCTAAAAAAATTTTTGTCTAAAATTTGATTTAAATCAAAATAAACTTTCAGATCGAATAAATAATTTATCCTTAAAAGGATTTTATTGAGATGAAACACTTTTGTTTTAACATATGAGTTTTGAAATTGGCTAAGAAGTTTAAATTATGGGTATGAAATTCAAGTTTTAAGATGAGAAGAATGAGATTAGAATAAGAAGAAGGCAGTAACTAGCTGGTTTTATTAGTTGAGTTCGCTCTTTCTCATTGTGAAATGAAATGTCCAAATTAAAATCTTGTTGGTGAACCCTTACTGATGCTAATTTGGAATGCAACCAATGAAGCTTTCTGAGATGCTTATCTTGTCCTAGCATTAAAATTGAAACAATTTATTTGCCCTTGAATTTTTCTTTAATAGAAAAAAAATAGAATAAGAATTTAACTTCTATTGTATGTATGAAGTTTAGAAAGTTAAAGAAAGATTAGGAGAATTAATGAATTACTATTTACTACACATCATGTGTCTTAAGTCTTGCTCGGTTATTTCATTTTAGGCTCAATCCAATACCTTCTAAAGTTGTCTTCACAATAATATATACTAATAATTACATGATTTGTTAGTAAAATATTGAATTTTTAAGCTCCATTTGTTAAAAAAAAATATAATTTTTAAAAATAATTTTTGTATTTTCATGTGTCTGTTTGACAGAAAACTAACTAGTTAACTAAAAATAAGACAAACTTTTTGAAAATTATTTTATGAATTTAAAAAGAGCTGTTTATGAATAAAACTATTTATCAATACTTTTGTGTATAATTTTACATATAAATAATATTATATTAATAAATAATATACTATTAATGTAATATATTAATAAATATTATTAACAAATAAATATTTATAATATATTAATAAATAATATAAAAATAATAAATAGTTTTATTTTAAATACTTTTTTATTAATATAATATTTTAATATTAAATATCATTATTAAAATATAATTAATTTTTAATATTAATAATTTTAATAATAAATAATTTCAATATACTTTAATAATAAATAATTTTTAATATTTTAATAGTTATATTAATATTACTTAAAAAATAAAATTTCCAGAAATCAACCAAATAACAAAAAATATTTTTCATTAACTCATTCAAACAAGAAAATTTTTTTTTTCAATTTAGAAAATATAAATATTTTTCAAAAGTCATTTTTTGTGAAACAAACAAAACCTTAATTTCAGTAATCAAAATTCAAATTTTAATAATATAAAATACTAAAAAAAATTGACATAAATATATACTTGCGCTCTATAAAGTAGATTTTGCATATGCCATTTAAATTTAATTATGTTTTGGAGTGGTGCAAGTGCTTGAAATTCATCAACAAAAAATTTATTTTTTATTAGTAATAAAAAGTTAAAAACACAAACACTAAGAACGAAAGAGTTGGGCCATATGGGCCTATGGCCTCTCCTTAAAGGAGACAAACTTTGAGTTCATTGTTTGCGAATATTTTGCCAAAATCTCAACATAGAAATAGATACACTTTGGGCCATGCAAAAGTCCTTGATGGCCCAAATTAGTTGGCCCGAATTAACGCAAGTGGATTTGTTTGCGTTAGGTTTAACAAATTTAGGAAATATTAGGTTGTGGTTCGTTTGAAAAAAAAAAAGTTTTTATTTTTATTTTTTAGAATAATATTTTATTTTTTATTTTTTAAAAAATAGTTGATAAATGAAAATAAAATTATTTTTTAAAAATACTAAAATAAGAAAATAAATAAAATATTGAATGATATTATTATTAATGACATTTAATTATAAATATAATATATATTAATTAATTAATGACATTAAAAAGCATCAAATATGATGATTTACAAAATATAAAGAAAAAATAATATATATATTTCATAATTAGAAACATATTTTTTTTATATTTTAACTTATTTTTATTTTTTAAAAATTATTTTCATTTTTAATTATCAAAAATATTTTCACTCATATTTTTTATTTTTCAAAAAATAAAAATAAAAAATACTATATTTTTTTAAACAAAACTTATTTTATTACTCAAAAAAATGAAAAAAAAAAACATTTTCTTTGTTACGTAGGCCATCCATCGTTCAATAACCAACAAATCTAACCTTTTATCGTGTCGTAGCGCTGACCTTGGAGTACAGTGAATTAGTGGAAGATGTGAAGCGAGCGAAAACATGGTGGATATCATCTCCAACTATTCCGGGTGATTAGAGAACGTTTCATTCATAATTATTATATTATAATTAATTAATTTTAAATTAAAATTATGTTGGATCCGGTATATAATTCATATTTATAAGTAATAATTTTTTATAAAATTTTTTATTTTGATTGGATTAAGATGTAAATAATATATTAATATTCATAAATTATTTAAATTTAATTCAAATAAAATTTAAATTTAAATTAATTATTATTAAACGAAACTAGAATTTGAATAATTTAATTTATTGAGTGAGTGAAATTCGGATATTTTTAATACATAATTTAAATAACTTACAAATTTAATTGATTTTTTATATTTTAATTAAAAATTATTATTTTATTTTATATATATTAATTCAAATTCAAATTTATATATAAATAATTGAATTTAAAATTAATTTAAAATATTTTTATTAAATAAATAAATCTAATCAAATAAATTTAAATAATTTTAATATTTAACTCAAACCAAATTCAAACTTTGAATAACAAATTTTGATAATGACATTTTACCATATCCCCGCAATTCAATTTGAATATGCTCTAAATTAAATAATTATAGTATTATAATAAAAAAAATGCTACCATAAATGCCGCCACGTGATTATCTCCTTTTGGTCAATTCCCTTGTGGTTCCACTTTGTCACAATCATAGCAAGACGTGATCCACCCTCATAATATATGTGATTAAAACCACGTATAATCACTTGGAGACAATGGAAAAGTTATTCAAATTCATTGTTTTGTTTAAGAATAATAACAAATATCTAATTGATTTTTTCAATCCACCATGCATATTGGTTTATAAAGTTTATGCGGCAACGTTTTATTTAAAAATCATTATCATCTTTTAGATTATATTTAAATTAACAGTGTGATACAAAATAATAAACATAAATCTTTATACAATTTTTTTTGAAGAAAATTATTATATGTGATTTTTAATATTTTTATTTTCGTTTCTACTAATTAGAGATTAATTTAATTAATAAATTCATTTGTTTCGATAATAAATTACTCTAGATTCAAATTTTATAATTGATTTTTCATTGATCGTTAATTTTAAATGTACAATTTTATAAAAATAAAATACATATTATTGTAATTTATGCATCGAAGAATCTCTTTCAAACTTTAATGCCAATTAAATATCAATGGCTAAATATATATATATATATATATATTGATTAATTTTTTGAATGTTATAATTTCGAGAGGAATTAAACACAAATTAGATAAAATTAAAAAATTAAAAATAAATTAAAAATTTTAAAAATTATATTTATTATCTCTTAATAGTTAATTTAATAATAAATTGATATTAACAAATTGTTGGTTCAATCAGTTAAAATCGTTCTCTTCGATGAAGAAGTTTTAAGTTTAAGTATTATTTTTGTTGAAATTATTTCGAATGCACGATCTGCAATCATTTATCTTAAACTTTCAACTACAGCACATATTATCTTAACTTAAGAGATTAAGTAACTTATCTACTTCCGAATTTTTTTCTTATAAATAATAATAATAATAATAAGAAATTATGGAATTAAATATTTTTTTGTTCATAAAAACACAAAGTCCTTACAAAAAGAGAAAAAAAATAACGAAATTAGAACTCATATCAATATGTTTTCTTTAAAGCTTCTTAAGATGAAAAGCATAAAATTTTAATAGATTTAATAATTTATGTTATTGTGTTATGTAAAATATTATATTTATATCATATTTTATACAAAAATTATATATCATAATTTATATCGATACGAAAATATAAAATATATATTTTTTATTTTATTAAATTTATTTATAATTTTTTTAAAATTTTAAATTATATTATTTTTATATCATATTTTAAATGATTTGATCTAAATTTTAACATTCATCGTCTCAACTTTACAATCTTTTCCTGTTTTAACTTTACATTTCTCACTTGGAAAGTATGCTGGCAACTACCCCAACCGGTCCAACTCCCATCTAACCAATCAACTCTTTGGTATTTTACCCACGCCGGTCCCCCACTATCCTTCTCTCGTTTTCTTTATACTTTTTTTTCTAACCCTTCTGATTTTTTTCAATCCAAACTCAATTGTTTTTCCATTTCCCCACCCAAATTCCGCCTGCAAATCGGGTTATAGGTTTCTCCCCACTTTTTTTATTCGAAAAGCAGGATTTGACCTAATTCCTCAAATATCTTTTTATTTTTATTTTTATGAACCAGATTGTAATCTAAAAAAAAAAAAATTATAAATATTAAAATTTAAATATTTATAGAATTCGATATTGAATCTTCAATGCTTGGATTGATATTAATTAAGATTCTAGGTGGTTACTATATATTAAAATTGATTTAAAAAAAATCCAATGATATGTAAAAATGAAATAATAAAAAATTATTATTTATTTTTAAAATATTTTAATAATAAAATTACAAAATTTTATCTTTTTATTTGAATTTATTTTTATTTATTATTTTACGTGTCAAAAGCATATGACGTTTAAATATATATATATATATATATCCTTATTTTTTATAATAAAAAAGGCTTTAGTCCCTTCCTCTTACTTTACACCTAATTCATTAAAAACTTTCTTACCTAATTTTCCTTCTCACTTCTACCTGAGCTTTTTTTCTTCTCTCTCCATTCAAACAAGACCTTGTCGTCTTAGGTTGTCGGCATGGAGTCAGACGACGACATGGTTGATGATTCAGTCTCGATGGAAGACGATTTTTACAGCGGCGATTATAGCGACTATTACGACGACCCTAATGATAACGACAACGATTATTGCTCCGACGATGACGGTGATTACGGTTTACTTGAAGACGACGACGACGATGATCAAGACGCCCTCGTTTCTCGTCGCCCTCAGGTCATCTTTTTTTTTTCCAATTCCACAAAGAAAAAGAAAAAAAGCTTTTTTTTAAAAAATAATTATCTCTGAAAAAAAACTTTTTTTTGGTTGTATTAATTTTAGACCGTGTTATTGAATTTGAAGTTTCTAAATAAATTTCATGGAATTAAAGATAGTTTAATTTTGAATTGTAAAGACAATTAAGGTAAATCAATAAAAGAAAGATTGAATTTTTAGTGAAATTAGTTGCGAAAAGTTGAGGCGGAAACACCTGAAAATACTAAAAGTAGAAAGAATAAAGATAATTCAAGGCAATGTTTGGAAATTTATATCCTTTTGCTGATTAGATCAGTGGTACTATGATGAAAAAGAAATTTATGGAGCTGATCATGGACTGTTTTCGGGCCTGAGGATTATTTTTGAATGATTTGGCAGTTACCATCCCTAAAGAGGCAGTGATTGGCATAAGGAGTTGGCAATGCTGATGTTTTTCTTGATTTTTATTTTGTCTTTGAGTGATTTGGAATTCAAATTGGTCGTTAAGTTACATCTTGATTTTGATATTATGATGAAATATTTATGGTTTGATTTTGGGGTTTGTGTTGTTAGTGATGAATAGAACTGTGGGCACTCATTACTTGTCGACCATGTTCTTTCTGGTCGATAGGAGAGTCACCAGGCTTCACATGTTCAAAGTTCGGAAAATCAGAAACATTAGTGTTTGGAAGGGTTTTTAACGTCAGTGCTTCATGCTTTATTACCATTATTAACATGCTTTTGTTTACTATTTCAGCTAGGTTATACTGTTTTGAATGAAGCAGATATAAAACAACGACAGGAGGATGATATTTCTAAGGTTTCTACTGTTCTTTCAATATCAAGATTTGATGCAACCATTTTGCTCCGTCACTATAATTGGTAATATATTTGTTCTCCATTCTTCTGTTCTTTTGGTGGTATTGAGGTTACTATTCACATTTGTTTGCTTGTATAATTCTCAAGTTTGTATATGTCTTCTGTTTTGAGTCTTAGTTTATTTGCACCATTTAGGTGTCCTTTCTGTATAAAATGTAGCAAGTGAGCCATTCTACTATCGTTGAAAGGTGGATGTGGTTGCTTTTGCATGCTACAACTTTCATCCATTAGGCTTTTTGTATTATGAGTTTCTTGAAACTTGTTTTCCTGATCATGGTTGGTAATGCAGGAGTGTCAGTAAAGTGCACGATGAATGGTTTGCTGATGAAGAAGGAGTACGACAATCTGTTGGATTGTTGGAGAGACCAGTTGTTCAATTATCCAATGCTAGAGAAGTAAGTTCTATAGATTTATGGATTGGCTTATTCTTTTGGAAACTTGTTCTTTTCTTATTTTTTTGCCTTTGTGGGTTACCTACCTATGACACATCTTGTTACTTCCCAACCAGCTCACTTGTGGGATTTGTTTTGAATCTCTTCCGCGTGACTATATTACCTCAGCTGCTTGTGATCACCCTTTTTGCCGAGCTTGCTGGGGAGGTATCTTTCTTATGCTGTGCTTGATAAGCAAATTTTCAATCTAATCTAAGTGATGGTTGCATGCAAATTATTTCCCTTTCTTTGAAATTAAAGTTTCTGATAAATATTGGCTTAATAACATACCACCGTTTAATCAAGGTTTGATTTTCATATATTAGGTAGCTAATATATATTAAATGCAATGTACTTTGTCTTTGTTATTCTAAGTACTTCATCCTTTTCTTTTCTTATGCTTTTTGACACGAAAGATTTGCTTTATACTTTTTGTTGCTACATTTGGTTTTTTATGGTAGGCTACATTAGCTCAACCATTAATGATGGTCCTGGATGTTTATCGCTGAGATGTCCTGATCCATCTTGTAATGCTGCTGTTGGCCAAGATATGATTGATAAATTGGCAACTTGTGAAGAAAAGGAAAAGTATTCTCGTTATCTACTCAGGTCTTATATTGAAGACAACAGGAAGGTTTGTTTGTATTAAAACCCTGAGATAAACTAATATGATACAATGAATGATTCCTTTCCCCCTTGAAATAGTCATCAATAATTTTAACTTGAGTGTATGCTAACGACTGGACCAATGCATGTCTGGTAGACTCTTTGCAATGCATCTTATGTATGCACATTGCCTTTTTACTTAGGACTTGCACATGTAATGCATAAATGAGCATGAATTGCCGTTTCCCTTAGTTTTAATGGGTATTTCTTTTTGCTTAGTGTTCCTATCTTTCTTGTCCTTGTTTCTTCTTGTTCACTACTAGACCAAGTGGTGTCCTGCACTGGGGTGTGAATTTGCTGTTGATTTTACTGTCGGCAGTGGAAATTTTGATGTTTCCTGCTTATGCTCATATAGCTTTTGTTGGAATGTAAGTTTCTTCTAGTTTTTGTATTTTTTTAGATTAGATTTCATGGGCATTATTCTCTTCTGGATGTCTAAGTTCACCAAATCTTGGTTGCAGTGTACTGAAGAACCTCATCGTCCTGTTGACTGTAATACTGTGGCAAAGTGGATTTTAAAGAATGGTGCCGAGTCAGAAAACATGAATTGGTAAAGATATATTGTACATCTTGAAGAAGCATTCTGCTTGTGATTATGATTGATGGATTTATATCGCGTCATCTGAATTTAGGATGAAGTGCTATAATTGTTTTTCTGTGGTGTGACATGTGCTATATATATAAGTATATAACTTGGTTATTGAGAAAAATGAAAAAGGTTCTATAAGAGGCCTCTTTTCTATTTTTGCACTTTGACTTTCTATCTACCTGCATCATTCCATGTTCTTGTTGGTATTTTAACGTGGCTATCTTATTTCTTAAGAAAAGGTGCAAGGGGAGGCAGAAGAGGTATTTGAACCAGGTTATGATTTATTAATTGGTTTGGAAATAGTGAAACTAAGTTCATTTTTCTTTGCTGATAACACATACAATGATAGATTATTAACTTTTATATAACTGAGTGCTAACTTCTTTTAATTAATAATTTTTATTCCAAAGCCAATGCTATTTATTTTTATTCATGTTATGCCCTTCATTCATTTAAAATAGTCAATTCTCTTGTAGATTGGATAAAATATGGTGGAAAATCTTGCTATCTTATTTATCAGTTTTGTTGTATGCTATGTTCAGGATACTAGCTAATTCCAAACCTTGTCCCAAGTGCAAACGGCCAATTGAAAAGAACCAAGGGTGTATGCATATGACATGCACACCGCCTTGTAAATTTGAGTTCTGCTGGTAAGCTTCAAATACTTTGTTGGTCCAGGAGAAAAGACAGCTTGATGAATGAGAAATAATTGGGAAGAGAGTTTATAGTGGGATAGAGTTAGAGCTAGGGTTTCAAGGCTTATGGCTATAGTAGGAATAAGGGCTAGGATTCAGGAATCAATCCAGATTTGGTTCAATTATAAATCTTTTAAGAAGATTGATTGACAGTAAAGATTACTGAAAATTCTAGGTAGTGTGCTGTGAATGGTAAACCAAGAATACTGTAGCAATAAAGAAAAATTTAGAAGGGGGAGGGGCAAAGAGAGAAAAATACAATAGTATTTTAAGTACCCATGTCTTAATAATCTTGATTCTTGTAATTTCATTGGTTAAAAAGCTTCCATTAATTTCTATTCTTATAATGTCATTGGCTAAAAGCCTACTAAAATGTGAAGATTAACAAAGAATCCAAGGCCAATTTACTAGGACTATGATTCATGCTAGGAAACTAACTAGTAAAGAAAGTAAGTAAACAAACTTGGACTCGGAGAAAATAAGACTAAACTCCTAGAATAATTTGAAACTCTCCAAGATAATTAAATTAATCGTAGGGTGGATTATTTGATGAAATTATGACTGTCCCTGAAAAATAATCCACTCAAAACTTATATCTCCTAAAAGCAAATAACATAAAAATCAGGAATGAATTGAGCTGTTTAGCTTCTGTATTTCTCTTTATATAACGTTAGTAACCTTTATGGGATTTCAATTATATGTAAATACAGGTTATGTCTTGGTGGATGGGCAGAACATGGTGAGAGAACTGGTGGTTTCTATGCTTGTAATCGTTATGAAGCAGCTAAGCAGGAGGGAGTGGTATGGAGACAAATAATGTCTTTTTTGGTCATTATCTTTTTAACATCTGCTTGACTAATGGTTGAGCTTGTGACTCATGATTCATTTTATTGCCAGTATGATGAGGCTGAAAGAAGGCGAGAAATGGCAAAGAACTCCTTGGAGAAATACACTCATTATTATGAACGCTGGGCTAGCAATCAATTGGTATGCAGATGCTACTTAGAAGTCTTACTCTTCCCCTGATTTGTCACTGCATAGGCCCTTGATAAATTTTCTTCTTTAATGTTTGTCTTAAATCAACACCTGTGTTTTGGATTTTATCTGCTTCTTGGTTAGTGCAACTGACTCAAATTTTAGATGTGTCCTGCAACCATGAAACTTCCTGTGCCTGTGTATCAAACAATGGTATTTACATGTCAAGGATTTCTAAAGTTACTTTTATATGAGCTTGGATTTCTAAAGTTACTTTCATATGAGCTAACACCTATATTTATCATATGTAATTAAAAAAAGATAGAGCAGGCAATGAAGAGGGGAAGTAGGGAAAGAAAACAATTTAAATGGCCAAGCCCTTTTATAGGAATGCAAGGCCTTTGGTATCCCAGATATAAAAAAGAAGTCATTATTTGGTTATTGTTTTCACATTACATGGCACTCTTGAGACTTTTGCTCTTTGCAGTGCCATCGAATTCTTAACCTTTGAAATTGCACTTGGAATAGAGGATCCTGTCTTCTGCTTCAGATTGTAGTAACTAGCAACCGCATTCAATTGGAAAGTATCTGTTCAGATAGTTATAGTTTAGTAGAAAATGACAAATTGGAATTGTTTTATAAATGTTATTTTGGATGTTATACACTTCTGTGATTGGTTCCTTCTAAGCTTTGCCTTTTGTTTCTTTTGTCTTGATTATATCGGTAAAAATTGAATTTTGCTGTTGATAATAAATTTGCATAACCTGAAAGTTCCTATTTGCAGTCAAGACAAAAGGCCCTTTCCGATTTAAATCAGATGCAAACTGTGCAAGTAAGTACTTACCTCTTCTCTTTTTAATTTTGAGATGTGCATCTAGGTATTCCTTTTTGTCCCTTTTGTTAGTAGTATTATTTTTGCTTGATTCTGCATCTACATCTTTTTAGCTCAAGTAGTTGGGTCACTTGTCATTTATATTGGCTTCTGATTTTTTTTTCTTCAAGTGAAGATTGAAAACTTACTCTCAATAAAAGCAACTTTTTAAACAATTTGGAGTTTTCACTGTATAATGAGGTGACTTTACTGCCTTTTTCTTAGTTTAGTTTATGTTTTCAAATGTTCAATTAGAACAGTTTCTTTAAGGAATTATGTGTTATATATAAACTCTTGTGCCAAGTTTGGTAGGAAGGATGGAAAGGGGGAGTGATGGAAAATTTTTTAATCTAATGGTTGAGATTCATAACAGAACATGCTATTTTGTAGCTCAACCACTAGATTGAAACTTTTTCTTTCCCTTTTCCTTTCTTTCCTTCCTACCAAACAGACTGTTAGAGTTATCTAATGATGATAAAGAACCTTATAATTATTTGAAGCAGCTTTCCAGCATCGTTAGTTGTGCTTGGAAGTTCTGCAGTGGTTTCAATTTATGTTAGAAAGCAGCTTTAAGATGGTTACATGTTGTCATTCAAATTGATAGTGACCTCGTAGCTACATTCATACTATCTGATGTATACCTCTTTTTCTTTTTCTTTCTTTTATTTTTTTTATTTCTGAGCAAATTTCTTAAATTTGCCAGCTTGAGAAGCTTAGTGACTTGCAATGCACGCCTGAGTCTCAGCTTAAGTTTATAACAGAAGCATGGCTTCAGGTAAATCATAGTCATATGAACACCATTTGCTTTTTACTTTAAGAAAAATAATTATTCATTTTTTTTGACACTTCAAATGTTGCAGATAGTTGAATGCAGACGAGTTCTCAAATGGACTTATGCATATGGATATTACCTTCCCGAGGATGAGCATGCTAAGAGACAGTTTTTTGAATACTTGCAAGGTATAAAAAAAAAAATGCTTAGAGGAAGTACTTACGTATTGCAAAGTTATTTTTCTAATTGAACCATCAATAACATGATCAACTATGCATTTTGTTTAGGGGAGGCTGAGTTCGGTTTGGAAAGGCTTCATCAGTGTGCTGAGAAGGAATTAAATAAATTTCTTAGTGGTGATGGCCCATCGAAGGAGTTCGATGACTTTCGTTCAAAGTTAGCTGGGCTAACTAGGTATGTTTGTATCTACTTTTGAATGAATGATTTGGTGTTTATATTTCTCATCTTGAAGCTGTGGGGCGAAAAAACCCTATCTTATCTACATTGGAAGAGTCTGTGACTTCCGAATTTTCCACTTGTTCATCACATTTGTACCTTCATTGACATGCACAAACTTCTTTCTTGTACTTTAGATTATATTTAGTCAAGAATGTTTCATCAGAGGGGCTGGATCTGGAATGATTGGACTGCGTTTTCTGATTCATTTTCTGGTTCATTTCTCTTTTACAGCGTGACAAAAAATTACTTTGAGAATTTGGTTAGAGCACTCGAGAATGGCCTTTCGGATGTTGACTCCCAGGCTGCTGCGGCTTGCAGTAAGACAACAAGCTCAAAAAATACGGGAGCGACTAGTAAGGGGAGAGGTGGGAAGGGAAAAGGCGGTTCTAAAACTGGTGGTTCAAGCAGAAATGTGGATGATACGAGTAATTAGTCTTGTAACTGCTGTTCCTTCTAGTTCTGGGTTCCATAAATCATTGCTCGATGAAAACACCAGTACTTTGTTTCTTCAGGGAGCCTATCTTACTTCGGAAGTGTGTCCTTTTGCTGTATATATATATGCACACATAGTACACTATATATATATATATATATATATATATTATAACCTGCCAACTTGGCTTTGTTACTTAGTATATGGTATGCTATTGCGTGTTTATAGACATTGAATGCAAATATGTTCATTTAGGGAAGTTAAATGTCATCATCTTAGATTATTGTCCTGTAATTAGTTAATCATAATTTAATAAAACTGTGTAGGATCTAATTATGAGTTCGTAATTATAAATGGTGAATTTTTACATATATTTTTTTATTGTGATTGAATAATTTTAGGATTGTGATAAAAATATTTGTAGGGGAAATGTTCTTTTAGAGGTCGATTGGGATTTAAGTTCTGTTTTTATACAAATTTTTATATAAAGATTTACCTTGAACTTTGGACCAAATTTGAGTATTCAAATCAGCTGGAACATGATCAATCATTAGGCCTTGAAACAATTTACAGATGAACATATCTAGGAAAAATTCAGTATCTAGCTTCATTTTATCTGGGCCAAAAAAAAAAAAAAGCTTTTATCAAAACAAAAACTTAATGAAAATCCGGAGCTTATAATCTTAATCCTAATGGAGCAACTCAAATCTCCAAACTTCTTGTTTTTGGTTTCTATTATGAAGAAAATGGTATCCAGACTTGACAGTGGACAGTCCTTTTTTTTTTTTTTTTTGTATGATGACAAATTAAATGGTCATTTTGAGGTGCAGGTCCTACAGGGATGGAAGCAATGGCTCTAATTTCAGTCACTAAAGAAATTGTTCAAACATTGCACCTTCCATCAGCATGGAACAATTCATTGACAAGAATTAGGGTCAAAATAAATGGTCAATTGTAGGCTTCAAAAAGATTTACAATAAAATTACTAATAACGAAACTTGAATTTATATTTTATACGTGAAGTATTCAAATTTTATATACTCAATCCAGCCAAGGTGTTGTGTCAAAACTTCGAAATCAGGGGTGAAAAAAAAAATTATAAAAATAAAAAATTAATTTAAAATTTAAGTATTTGATTTGATTTAGATATATTTTTTTTATTCAATTCGAAATAAATTTGAATATTATATATATATATATATATATTAAGTTCAAATTAAATTTTGAATCAAAAAATAAAAAATAAAAAAAAATCAAATCAAATTAAATTTATATATATTTTTAATTTATATATATTTTAAATATTTATAAAAAATAATAATTTAATATCAAAATCTATTTAAATATATTAAAATTTTATATGAAAGTAACATAAAAAAATAAAAAAATTAAATTTTAAAAATCGATAAATCAAATTAAATTAAATTGATAAAATTCAGTAAATTAAATTGATAAAATTCAGTTCGATTTAATTCGGATCGTATAAATATTTGATTCGAATTTAAATTAATTTTAAAATTTTATAATATTATATAATAATAAAAAAAATATTAAAATGAATTCGATCATATCCGAATCATTAACAACTTTATTTAAAACCTCGTAAAAATGAAATTCAATTATTCCTCCAAATGTGAACATTTCATTTCTAAAACTTCTTTCCCATCCCGTACACCTTTCCAAGCCCAAGAAGCCTCCAGAAAAGAACAATGGGGAAAATAAATTCCCTTCAGAATCTTCACCCAGAAACCCTCCTGGTTGCTCAAAATTCTCCAACCCTTGCCTCAAATTTATTCCTTATTTATCTATGTAACATCTGCTTCCATTTTTTTTTTGGAAAGATACAGCAAACTATTTGTTAAAATCATAAAATTTAAATCCTCTCTTGTGAAAGAGCCTGGATCAAGTATATAAGCGGCTTTACCACAAATTAAGGGTAAGAGAAGAGATCGTAAATATTATATTTTAAATTTCAAATTTATGAGATATTATTTTTAAATAATAATTATATAAATTAATTGAATTAAAATTCGTGTTCGTGTGCTTTGGATCATAAAGAATGTAAAATTTGCATACTTCAATATTTTTTTTGAATCATAATGAATGTTACTTTTGCTTAATTATTAATTTATGCATAATCAAATTTTAACTAAAACTAGGAACCACTGAAATGATTGTATCATTAAAATTATAATCATATAAATGGGTTTATTTAACAAACACATAAAATTAAATTTATTAGTTGAATGAATGAATCCTTGCTAATCAATGGACTAAGAACAAATTAATTATGACTAATTATAATCAGCAGTAAAAATGAAAAAAATCTGAAGCTATCCATTGGATGGTAATAAGTTTTTCTTTATAAAAATTTAATTCACATTGAACCTTAATCCAAACTTTGAATAAACCTTACAAAGCATATGTTGAAGCCTTATTTCTTTTTTTTCTTATGGCTCTGATCTGCTGCAAGCAAGTTGCTGAGGAAAGAAGCCTTCAATCTCCATCACATTTGACACATTAGAATCAATTACTAAACCCATTTTGTTTGAAATTTTAGGCACTGGGAAGCAGCAATCTTGAGGCAACCAAGAAACTCCTTTGTTGTTCCATTGAGACTCCATGACAACCAAGGAAAGATAGATGAAAACAAGAACTGAGATTGCAAAAGAGAGTAACATCTCTTCTTTGACAGAACAAGCTGAAACAATTGATGAAGCATTCATTTTTCTGAGAGAGATAGAGAGCTGATCAAAGATGAAAAGAGAAAAGAGGTTAGAAGATTTTAAATAGGAAGAAAGATGCTGAATAAAATTCAATGAATGGTTAGTTCATTAGAGAGGATGTGAGAGAGAGAAACAGAAAAAATCTGATGGTGAAAAGGATTGAAAGGTATGGATTGTGGGAATGGGGGGGAGGTTTTTTTTCTTGTTTAATCATTTGTTGGACAAATGCAATGCAACTTCCAATTTGGGTCATGTGGACGCTGCTTTCTTGTCTTTAATATATGATTTCTTTTCAAGGTTCATGCATCATGGGACCCAGAGCCAGAAACATACGTATGCACGTTCTCTGAACCTATTTTAAGTTTTTTTTTTTTTTTTTTTGAATTCTATGTTTTGGGACTGAAAATGATAAGTCCAATCATACATGTGAATCATAGCCAAGATAATCTTACCTGCAAATGGGTGCAACTTGATCCAGTTGTTGGACTTTGAATTTTGGTTTGTGATAAGCTATAAGCTTAAATGATGAAAAAAGAAAACTAATTCTCAATCAAAAGTTGGGTACATTGCATATTCCTTCTGCATATATCCTTCTGTACCAAGACCATGGGCAACATCAAGCTAAAAACCGGCAGCCATGTGTTTAGTCAAGCAAACCTGTGGGCTTACTATGAGCAAGAGGAGAATGACAGATTTCCTCAATAAATTACAATATCCAAACCAAAAGCATATATCAGATCAGAGTAGAAAATAACAATACGTGTAACTTGAAATAGTTTAATTCAATTAGTTTATATAATTATATGGTATGTAGCACAGAAGTTCAAATTCCTGTAATCCTTTTTATTATTTTCAGGCTAATTCCTATAATCCTTTTCATTATTTTCAGGCTGACTTTATTTGTAAAAAAAAAAAAAAAGTATAAAATAGACAATTTTTTTCTTTTATTTTTATTAGATGTCAAGTTGAAATTACAAACTAACCAATGCCATAGGTCCTAAAGAGACAAAAGTCAGTGAACAATTAGAACATTAGAAACATTTATCTCAAACCAGCCAACCCACCCACCATTCCCTTTTTGATAGGGGCACAATTCTATTCCTGGGATTCAGAAGTTAGGTAAAATCTGAAATACCCTGTTCGACTGCAATTGATTATCATCCAAGAGCAGAGAACCAAGAGGGCCATACTTGATTTAAAAAATGAACCATTCTAAGCCTTTATTTTAAGCCTCACATTAAAGAGTTGCATGTTGGGGCTTATTTTGGGAGCCATCTGAATCCGCCAATGCCTCCCCTCTTCCCAATTTCATGTTCAACTTTTAATCATAATGTCCACAATGGCAATTGGGGGAGAATTCCAATTCTGCATTCCATTGAAGACAGCCAATATGGAAATGACACCTAGATTTTCCATGGCCTGTCATTGACAATATATTAACCGAGTAATAAATAAATCAATATTTGGGGAATAAGTAACCTTCTGGGGGCAAAAATGCAACTGAGATAAGTTCCCACTGGCCATTATATGGCAGCCTTTCTCTCATGTTTTATGTGATCTTACACTGGAAAATTCTATCCATCAATAAATCTCAACCAATACTAGTCATAAAGCATCTTTACAGCCTGCCATAAATCACTTTGTGGGGTATTTTCTTTCAAATCATCAAATGCCAATGGTTATATGGTATGCAACCAGACTGAGGAACAAGAATGCCCCACCACTCACATGTTCTTTCCAACACAGTATTGTTGGAAAGGTTGGCTAACTATAACAGCTTAAAAAATCTTTTACAGTTTCCTCCACCATCAGGAACCTTTGCTCATTCTCAACAAGTAAATGTTCAGCCAGGACATTGACAATCAAACAAAATGAGCAAAAGAAGGCCCACTGGCCACTGCTCCTCACATTGGAAACCATGTCTACTCTACATTCTTTCCTTGCTGACATAGGGTTTCATGACTTTATAAGTTTTACTTTGAGAAGCAATTAGACTTAACAACATACCAGAAACCTTAACAAGAAGTAAAATGTTAGTTGAACACCATAAACAGTGGCCTTTTATGCTTGAACTGCTCCATCAAACAACCTACCCTCATTTTCTCGGTAGTATCAGATAGCTTCCACCATCCCGAGCCTTGCTCTTACTGTACTGAAACAGCACCTAATTTTGAAATTCAATACTGATTTTTCTCAACTTCACTCAAATAAAAGCGAAAAAAGTAATTGCAAAAGAACACGCAAGAGTGAAAGGAAGGAATTTACAACTTTTATGCAAGTTCAACTTTTGTTTATTGTGAACAAAGAAGAAAGAAAGCAACAAAATAATGGCATAAACCATGCACATATACATCAAATAAGCTCAGCATGTCTAAAGTTTGCTACATCACATCTAGATGTGTTTGAGTCTTCAATAACCATGTGCTACAATAATCAACTTCTCCGCATGTACTGATAACTTATTAACCAACTTATCAATGCAAAATAATTTAAAAAACAGATAAGAATTTAAGCACATATATTATGTTGCATTTGACTCTGGTCTTATATTCCATAAGAAACTGCTCTCTTGTGCAAACCACCAGCTTCATATGAGTAAGAAATATGATTTATAATCATGCGTGCATGAGTGCATCCATGTCACGTCAATGTGTATTTTCGGTTTGTGTCTCTCTGCTTTGTCTGAAACAATTAAGACAGAATATCCGATTCTTAAACAGTGGCAAAAATGGATAGAGCATTTTATGAGAGGAAGACACTCAGATGAGTAAGGCAAACATCAAATCCGACCACATAACCACCAGCAGCAGAGAGCTGGGCAGTAAAAGGGCACAGGATCTGCCACATTGTTTCCTCATGGTCTTCCATTTAACCAATTGATAGAGAGTAAAACTTTGTTCATGGCAAAAGCAATGCTAAACAAACTGTATGAAGCAATAATACCACTGTTCCTATTCAAGAACAAGAAAATATAATTTTCTGTTAGTTTTGCAGATAAAAAGCTGCTGTTTAAGTTTATAACATGAAGCAACATACACAAAAGCATAATATCCAACATGAAGAGCCTTTATACATAAAGCGGACCCATGTACACTGTTCATTCAACCATCAATCAATAAATGTCTCTCCAAATGCATTCTGATCATTAGTACTTCAGTTCAAGTCCAGTATTGCAGATACTCAATAAAACAAAAAATGCAGCCTTGTTAGATACTGGAATATTTGTATCAGGTCACAGGCGAAAAAGGAAGCTCTGTCATTATGGCCTGAGGGACCACCTGAGATGCAGGCATGGTTTTTTGTGTATTTTGATGAATTTCCTAGCAGGCCTGAGAATATAAACCGGGGTGATGAAAGGATAGGAAAATTAAAACCAACACTGCCCTCCACCCCCCATGGCTCCCCCCACCCCCCAAAATAAAAAGAAAAATCAAAGTTAAAGGCAGCTATGATAACCCCGTTTCCTGCCACAGTTATGAAAGACAGAATATGGATGGGATCTTTGTGATGGCAATTGGCAAGTATCATGTTAGTTCTGACATTTTTGTGTCAACATAGGACAAGCTATCACATAAACTCTACTATACAGCACATGTTTCCCCATTCAAGTAAACATAATCTATAATTCATAATAGGCAAACTGGAGGTCCAACCCTGTTGACAAGAAGACGAAAAAAGCATATATCATTTCCCTTACCTCTGAGGATTTGCAACCATCATAAATTCATAATTCTAGTTCAAACTAGCATCCGCAAAATGGGTAACAGAGGAAAGATATGAGACTATACATCTAGTACGGTCGAAGTAGAGCTACTAATCTCACTTACCGAATAAACTACATTCTTGACACAGAAAAGGAAGTTACCACAGTGCGGCACAAAAAGACAGGGTGGTCAAGTTGGCTCCTTTCAGCAGCAACGCAACATCACTACTGATGGTGAAGGCATTTTGTTCACATTGGCAAAGCTGAGGAAAGGATTGACGATGATGTTATTGGCAGTAGCAGTGGTGACAGTGGTTTGATTTGGATGACAAACTGCTCTTAGCGCTCTACATACTTCCAAGAGGCTGGAAACGAACCCATTTTACATGCTGGGTAACCTGTAAATTAGATGTGAGCTCTAGCAACACCCACAAGGGGCAGTAAGCGTGGTTCTCTCATCCAATAAAAGCCCCACAATGGACACATCTTTTAGCCTTTTACCAAAAAACCTGGTCAAATGAGAATTTCAAGCTAAGCAACCATCATTCCGTTTAAAACATTCTTCACTTTTATCTTCTCGATTTCCTCATCTACAGTGCATAATGCTCACATATGAAGAATGGCATGGAAAACCTTAAAACCAGTGTTGGGCGCTTCAAAACAAAGCCACAAGCCTTAAATAATAACTATTACAGCAGAAGAGACCTATGGAGGACAAAGAAGAGAGGAACCATTCATCATACATACATAAGAAAGGGAGCCATTAATTTATCTATAACAACCTAACTCTTCCATTTCCTTCATAATTCTCCATAATGTAACTCTAATCTCTTCTGAATCCTTATGAGATTGGTCTCCTGCGAGAAACAAATGAGTTTTACCCTTAACTATCACCCAACTACACCCTGGGCTCTTCTTTATCCCTTTTAATTTCTTGTCTATTCTTACTTGGTCTCCATCTTTCTTCTTTCCCAGGACAGAATATAAATAGGACAAAACAACATAAGGGGTTGCACTATTAGGTTCCAATTTACTAAGCTGCTGAGCAGCAAGCTTTGCAAGATCAAGACGGAGATAAGTCCTGCTTGCTCCCAGGAGAGCTCCCCAAACTCCAGCATGTGGTTTAAAAGGCATTGAATAAATTAAATCAACAGCTTCATCAAACAATCCAGCTCGGCCAAGGAGATCAACCATGCATGAATAGTGATCAGGCCCAGGTTCTATGTTATATAAGGATTTCATGGATTTAAAGTATTCCCATCCTACATTCACAAGTCCAACATGGTTGCAGGCAGACAAAACAGCAAGAAAGGTTATCTGATTTGGCTCCTGGCCTTCACTCTGCATTTTCCTAAATAATTTAAGAGCTTCTTCACCAAACCCATTTTGAGCAAAGCCAGTAATCATTGAATTGAAAGAAATAATATTCAATTCTTTAATACTCATAAAGATTTGATAGGCATCAGCTACATTTCCACATTTTGAATACATTGACACAAGTGAGTTTTGAATTGACAGATCAAATTCCAGATGCATCTTTATTGCTTGTGCATGGATTTGCTGCCCTTGGTTTAGTATTGCTGAATTGGCCGAAGCACTCAACAAACTGCTCAAAGTAAGAGAATTTGGTTTTACTGATTTCTCAAGCATCTCAACAAACCAGCAAAAAGCCTCCTCATACATCTCATTACTCACAAACCCCGAAATTACTGCAGTCCAAGAAACATTGTCTTTCTCAGGCATCATTCTAAACAACTCGACAGCTTTATCAGTTTGTCCTTTACCAGAAAACCCAATAATCATGGTAGTCCAAGAAACTACATCCTTTCTAGGCATCTTTTCAAAAAGTTCATAAGCTTCATCAATTTCATTCTCTTGGACATAACCCATCATCAAAGAATTCCAAGAAACCAAATCTTTCTTCGTCATCAAATCAAATACCAAGTTAGCAGCATCAACACAACCAAATCTACAATACATTGTGATAATAGAATTCCCTAGAAAGACACAAGATTCAAATCCCAACTTTAAAACCAATCCATGCATTTGAATTCCTTCTCTATATCTATCAAAGTGTCCACAAGCTTCAAGCATAATAGTCAAAGTAGTAGAATTAACCAAAACCCCTTCTTCTTTTCTCACACTAGAAAACAAACCAAAACCACCGTCTAAATATCCCATTTTCAGGTACCCATTAATCATTGTTGTCCAAGTAACCACATTTCTCTCCACCATCTTATCAAATGTTTCTCTAGCCTCCACAATTCTCCCACTTTTGCAATACCCATCAACCAATAGACTCCAAGAAACAACATCCCTCCGAGCCATACCTTCGAAAAAGCCAACTGCCTCCTCCAATCTCCCAATTTTCAAAAACCCTTTTATCAATACATTTGAACAAACAGGTTCCCGCCATTTCCCAGGGGTATTTTCGTAAATCTCCAAAGCCTTATCAAACCTTCCCTTACTAACAAACCCTGTGATCATCGTGGCGTAACTCACAGCATTCCTTTCAGACATATTGCAGAAAAGCTTATAAGCTTCATCTACCATGCAACCATTCTTATTATAAGCCGTGATCATCGCATTGTACGAAGATGTTGTTCTTTCCGGCATTTTATCGAACACGTCACGGGCTTTTGAAATTTGCCCATTTTCTGCATATGCGGTCAACATGGCAGTCCAAGATACGGTGGTTTTGAATGGCATGCGGTTAAAAATTGATTCGGCTTCTCTGATATTACCATTTCTTCCATTTTGAGTGATCTGGGTATTGCAATAAACGACAAATTTGGTAGCTTTGTTGCGGATTCTTACAGAGTTAAGGACAACATTGCTCTTTGTTGTGGTGTGGAGTGAAGATATAGAAATTTTGAGGGGCAAAAAGAGGCGATTATAGAAAATTGAAGATTTTGGTTTTGTTAGCATTATGGAGTCTATGATTGATCATGAATTTCAAAGTTCAGAGAAATATTAAAGATCGGTAATCGGCAGTTTTTCTATTGTTTCGGACGGCTATTTTTATTTTTAATATTAAAGTTACGGTTTTTAAGCTGTCAGCTTGCATTCTGCTGCTAATGCGTCGTCGTTTTGTTATTTGATTGAGTTAAAAAGAGAAAGAGTGGAAGGATCGAGGCAGAGCGTAGGAAAGAAGTCTGACAGAGAGAGAGAGGGGAAGATGTTTGGGTCAAAAATAGAAGTACGGTGAAAAAAAAAAAAACCCAAAGCAGATCAGAGGATAAAGAAAGGAGAGAAAGGGAAAAATTGGGAAAAAAAGTAAAGAAAGGGAGCAAAATTAAGGAGAAAGGTGGCGTCTTTTTGTTGTAGAAATTTGAAAGGTTTGATCTTTGGGTGGTGATAGATGATGGAGAAGGGAGTGCAAAGATGGGTAGTAGACATATCAAAATGGGACCCATCTACCAATGGCTTCTCTTTTGCTCTTTCTCTTCTTCCTCAACATCACCACTCCTCCATACTCAGGTCAGCCTTCAACTTTTTGCTCTTTGCTTGTGTTTAGGTTTTGGAAATATGAATAATCATTTCATTTATTAGATCAATTCTGTCACTTAGGAGTTATTATGTTCTTTGTTTACTCATAATTGTTAATATCTTGTGTAGACACAACATGAAAACACCAACTCTTAGGTTTATGCAAATCTGTAATTCATTCATGTAACTCTGTTGTGATTGTTCCGTGTAAAATATGTATAAAACATGAAAATTATTATGTCATAATTCGTGTGTCAGAGATAAACACATGTTTTGATTTTTGTCAAACTAATATGATTTTTATTAAAATTTTAAACTGTGTCATTTTCATATATTTTTTTCATGTCATGTCTAAAATTATTAGGTCCGATTATGCTACTCTTTGCATGAGCCAAGAACTAATTTTTTGTTTAACATGATAAATTTTGAACATAATGAATAAAGTTTCCTTTAATTATTAGAATTGAAATATGCTAACGAAAGGAGTTACATAAAATTGTGTTGGATTTTGCAATACTATGAAGGAAATCTTGTCAAAATACATGCATAAAAGAAAAAAATGCACTCGCCTCATTGAAGTGAGGCACTAATTTTTGGAAGAGTTATATATGCTCCTTTGGCACCTAGGCTTTCTTAGGTGCGTGCCTTGACAATACTTGCTTGGAATGCTATAAGATTAGGAACTACAATCATATTTTCAAGGAAAAATGATAAGTGATTTCTAAATTTTAGAAGGGCTCCATTTTGTGGAAAACTAAAATTGTTTGTATGATATTTATGATTAAATTCAAGTTTTCATTCATTTTGCTTGTATCAGCTATGACTGAGTGTTAGTTAACAGCAATGTTAATTATGTTGCTATGATTTAATCTGTCTGATTAAATTATGTTGCTATGATTTAATCTGTCTGATTAAATTATATTGTATTTCCAAATATGAATGGCGCTTGGAAATCTATAAAGAAAAATTGCAAAAACTAACAAAAATTTCCATGTATGTTCACCTTTGTAGATTTGTGAAAAAAGGTGATAGAAAACGGGCACTAATTAGCTGTTTGCTCCAATATGCTCTTGTACATGAGGTGCTGGGAATCCCATATCAAGATATTGTTATAAAACGCACATCAGAAGGCAAACCCTTTTTGGTATGATAGAAGTTAGCGAATTTATTTGCTAACTTTGATCAATTACTAGTGGTCTTTCTTAGTTTTATTGTTAAATGAAGATTTTACTAGAATTTGGGTGGCAGGATTTCTGCATTTTATTGTTAGAAATATAGCAGAACTTCTGATGGAAGCCATTTGATTTTTTTTGTGTTGATTTAGATAGGTGGACAATGAACCAACTACATGAACATTTTCATTTACATTAGGTCAGTGGGGTTTGATCATATTACTAGCAAAATCAATGATTCGGGCTTAAGGAAAAGGGTACTGTCTTCTAAGTTCTTGATGACAATGATATTTTGGCTTCTGTAAACTTTGTGTATGGTAAATTCTGACTTCTCGTTCACATTGTCACTTGCAATGGATACATCAATAGAGGATTTTGTTAAATTGTTGAACTGGTAGATTTCCAATTTTGTTTTGTCATTTATCCTCCTTTTAGCATCTGTGCCTATGATGATTGACTGGAAATCAATGTAAATATTTTGTTGATAATATCTCTTGATCTGAATTCTTTTTTTGACTGTAATGTAATTCCATGCCTATAGCAATGTTTACCATTCCATGAACATTCTTTCTGTCTCAGGAATGTGGTAGAGTTTGCTTCGACTTTCCCAATTTTAATTTCAATGTTTCTCATCATGGTGACTATGTGGCAATAGCATCTGAGCCTCTATGCCTTGTGGGTTTGGACATTGTTTGTCATATGATTCCCGAGAAAGAGACTGTTCTAGAATACGTTCAAAACTTCTCTTCATGCTTTTCAAGTTTGGAATGGAATCAAATTATAACTGCTGGAAGTAATGATGAAGTCTTGTCTGAGTTTTACAGGTATGTTTGTACATAATTTATTAAAAATTGCTAGGAAAGCTTTGAAGAGTTAGAAGGGCTGCTCTTTGATTAGTATTGTCAGAATTTGATCACTCAAAATATGTTTCCTTGTAACCCTGTCTCTCTGCCATAAGAACCCTTTATTTTTGAGTAGCCCAAGATTGTCAGATACTCTGATTACATTTGGGTCCATTTGGTTAAGGAGAAAACAGATGGAAAGAAAAGAAGATAGAGTATTTTATAAACTATTCAATCTCAATTTATTGGATTCTTTATCATAAAGAAACTAATTAACTAAAGCCTAAATTCCAGATGACCGGCCTACTTATCTCTGCGCTAATTAATTGGACATAATTCTCTCCACAGTTTAATATAGGGTATTTCTTGTACTTTAGTTTGGTGCTTTTAATGGATGGTGATCAGAATTGTTCAACTGGATCATAATCAAGGAAATCATTTTGAAGTTGAACCATTAGAAGCAAAATTCACATCCATGGAAGCTAACCATTATGTTTCAAACTGCATGGTAACTCATATAATAGTTTAGAGTTCCCGGTATGTTTCACAGTTTAAACTTGTTCTGTAGATACTGGTGTCTGAAAGAAGCATATGTCAAAGCTATAGGGAGTGGATTAGCATATGGATTGCATAAAGTGGAGTTTCATCACACCGGCTGGACAAACATATCTGTTAAAGTTGATGGAATTCTAAATTCACAGTGGAGATTTTGGCTTTCTTATCTGGGGAAAGGACACTGGGTGAGTCCTACATCAAGTTTCCTCTGTTCTTTTTATTCTTTTTGTTACTTGCAACTGCATCTTGTAGATTTTGAGAAATGTAGCAATCATGATGCCGCCGTATCTGCATCAGGATATGTGATTAACATCTGTGCTGCGGTATATAATATCCCTAAGGAAAGCAATGTGCCTTAAGCCTTAAAGCTTGATATGTTATTAACCAGCCTGTTGCATAAGAAGGATTTGTATTTGGTAGCAATTCCATCAAATCTGCAAATTTCCCAATGGAACTGTGCCATCAGGTGCTGAAATTAGTAAATTAGTCTAGGTTTCTCACTGAGCAAGAAACCTACATTGTCGGTGGAACTTCAGATGCTAGTAATTTCTTCAATACAAGTTTTAAATTTTCGATAAGCTGATCATACGAAGTATGGTAGCTGTTTCTCTTTTTTTTTCTTTTTTTTTAGTTCAATGATTTCTAATGAGTTTTTTATAAAGTAGCGAGGTGGCTAGCTATTTCTTAAATAATTCATGATAGATTTGGTGGAAGGTAGACTCTGGTTATCACTGTAAATAGAAGCTTTTGTTGAATTTCAGGTATCAGTTGCAAGAGGGCACCCGAGATCGGCCATCGAGAGTTATAAGAGATCATTAAAACAAACAAAGTTTAATGAAGAGGAGTATAATGAGGGTCTTCTTCTTCCCAATCCAAGGTTTGTCTTGAGGACTGTAGAAGAGCTGTTTTCAGTCATACACAAGGCAAAGTGTTCTTGTTTAAGTTCTTAGAACTTGAGACTCCAACTTTTAGACCTCAACTTCGAATCTTGTGACGTCAAGGGTCGGATTTATATGATGAAAGAGAGTTTTTTTTTTTTCTTGAGGCTGTGAGGGTTTGAACTCTGATCACTGGACTCTATCGACAAATTACCCATGTATGAAAGAAAGAAAGATATAATGAGATAGAAACAAACTTTTTTGAGTATATGAAGTTGGCATGTTGATTAGTTGCATGTGAGATGGTTTGATATATGCACTGCTACTTCCCTGCAGGGAACATTATTTGTTCCCTAGTTTTGCTGCTGAGTGCAGCAGGCTATCAATAGCACATTAGATTCTGAAAATTAACATGAAGAGAATAAAATGAAAATTGGATTGATCCTTTCAATTATTAATTTGCAGTTCCATTCCATGATCTAAAACAAATTAAACAAGCCTTTCTATTGGACTGAGACCAACAAAATCATAAATTGAAATTTAAATCGATCCAAAAATGTTTCTAAAATGTTTTTTATTAATCAAAAATAGGCTACAAGACTTGTCATACTTAGATTAGATTAAAGGGGATTATTGGAAGTGAAAAAAAAATTTAAATTTTATAGGCGAAATATTCAATCCTTATCAATATTTCATTGATTTTTTTTTTTTTTTTTAAATTTTGAAGTATGCAAGTTTCACTAAAAGTTGCCCAATACCCAAATTTAAAGTCACTAAAACCACTAGTTTGCCATACCATGCAGTAAGCGCGCCAAAGTCTATATTAGGCAATAAAATCCAATTAAATGTTTTAACTTTTTTTTTTTTTTGCTATAACAATTGATTTTCACCATTTATTATTCAACATCTACAAAAACTTATGCTCTTTAGGGTTTTTCTTTCATTTCATATCAGCTTCTATTATTTTAGGGTTTTTTTTTTTTTTTTTCTCATCTCTTCATTGCCTCAAAACTAATAGGTAATGCCTATTTCTTTTTCTACTTCATTTGGCACTTTTATTCAATTTAATTATAACTAAATATGTTTGTGCCATTTATGTACTTGTTTTAGATTAATTCTTCTGTTTTGTTGTTTTAAGATTTGAATTTAAATTTGTCACCACCTTTAAAAGATGACTACATGTAATTGAATCAAGTCTTTAGTTCAGATTGAAAAATATTTTGATGCTACGAAAAGAATAATAGTTAAAACTTGAATTCACATATGTGGAATTTTAGAGTAAAACATCAATTTGGAACTATAATTTTTAACTTCCTTACTTTACCTTTTTTCCTTCAAAATTTTCTTTGACAAATTCATAAATTTGACACCTATAGTTTTCACTACCACATGGAGAAAGACTAATTCATTGGTTGGAGGTAGGGTTTAACTTATTTTAGACATTTTTTTCTTGTTATGTGCTTGAATTCTTATTAGTTATTCATTGCTTGTGATCATTTTCATCTAGTACTAGAAATCTTCCTTGTTGAAATATTCTAGCCGTTCATGATTTCTATGTGGTTCTGGCCCTTCTGGTCTTTGCTCTTTCCAATGCCTTGAATTTTTTTTCCTTTGCATTCCTAGCATTAATTTTTGACTGATTCTACCATTCTATTCTATTTTAATTAAACATCAATATCAATGATCGATAAAGTCTTTTAATATCTTTTAATTTTACTAACATTTCGATGTCAGATAATGCGTTTCATATATGAAAATTTGACTATTACTTGTAAAACTTATTGTTAATCCTTTGTTTGTCATGCCTTAAATCTTGTTTAATCTGCTTGGAATTCTTGATGGTTGCCGGTCACAGCAGGCTTCTTGGGACTTACCTCATTACTATTATTAATACATACATTTTTTGTTTTATTGATAGTTACAATTTTCCTTTCTAAAGTATGTCAACTGGTTAGCCAAATCTAACAGTTTTCAATTGTTGATTAATGGAAAATTTGACAGAAATGGGACTGAGAGGAAGAGATTATAAGTCTTCTAATATTGTAAAGGAGAAGCATGTTGCTGTTCAAAGAGAAGATGTGCTTCCTAGACCACTATCAGCATGTTCTCAAGCTGAATCCATTAGATCAAAAATTAAAAGGATGGATCCTATCTGTACAGCCAGGAAGAAGGTTGTTCCTGTTTCCCCTCAGTTGTCAACAGAAGAAGATGTTGATTTTGACAAACAATTTGTCAAGGAAAGTTTCTCATCTGCTGATGATGACTCTATGTGGTTGTCTTCAGGTTGTGTATCACCTTTATCATTTTTTGAAGAGCATGAATTGTCGAGTCCTTTTGATCATGTGGCTGATGAATGGTTAGTTTCATGTTTCTCATCTGCTGTTGATGACTCTATGTGGTTATCTTCAGGCTGTGTATCACCTTCATCATTTTTTAAAGAGCATGAATTGTCGAGTCCCTTTGATCTTATGGCTGATGAATGGTTAGTTTCGTGGCTGTCAAGGATAGCAGATTCATATATTTCTTTGAGCAAAGGAGCCTCTTTTTCTGACTACTGTAAGTCAAAACCTGAAGAGCATAATTCATTCCCTCTTGCTATAGCAGTATCAGGAAAAATACTTCAGAATGGTCTGGAGGGTGAAGGGGGGAGTACTTGGCAATTGCACTCACTAGGAAATTATGCACCCAATCCTCTTGCATATAGTGCTGAACGAATCGAGTCCTTTCGTGGGCATTGTAGTGATGAATCCACAAGTCATGGCAATAGTTTGATGTCACTCAGCACCGATCTTGACACTTCTTCTCAGGTATCAGATACGGATAAATCAAGTTTCGTGGTCTCCTCGCTGAATCTCGATGAGGATGGCTCCCAGGGGATATCAAATACAGAATTAGAGTCGGATTATTTGAAGCCATTTTCCCCTAGTCCATCTTGCAAAAACATTTGGGGTTCTGAGGCTAAATCTAACATCTCTACTACCATTAACAGGGAAGATGAAATAACAGAATCTAATCTGTCCTTAGAACAGACTTCTGAAGCAGAAAACATCGAAGATTTCGGTGCTGATGAGCCACTTTTCTGGCCATTTGATAGGAAAATAGATTGGAATTCTGAGGAAACTTGGAAGTACTTCTCCATGTCTCCTCGGAAGGATATAACAAAGGTTACAACTCCTGAGGGGACCTCTCCTATATCCATTGGCTCAGAGCTGAACACTAGGAATAGGAATCTTCCAAACAGGTGTAGGAGAAATTTGGTATTAGATTCAGGCTCAACAGCATCAAAAGTATTAGAATTGAAACAAGGAAGCAAAGGCTACAACAACAACAACAGTACTGGAAGAGCCAAAAGGGGGAATACTATGGTTTCAAGGTTGAGAGAAACAACCAAAGGTTCTGCAAAAATGGTACCCTTAGATATTGACAATCAAATTCTGCCATTAAAAGGAGGAGAAGTTCCCACCACAACATCGGTTTTAACAAGCAGAAACTTTTGGGAGGATGATTTTACATCAAATGAAGAACTTCCAATTGAGACAGTACTAGGCCTTGGCGAGTTTGATGGGCATGAGGGCATTGATTCAGAGTTCAATGAAGGCGTTTTTTCGCTCGACGAGGCTCTTTGAGTATTAGTTTTCTGAAAACAAGATGTAGGAATCTAGCCATGGATTCCAAGCAAAAGACAGTTCACTTGAGTTTCCACGACTTAGGAATGTTTATATCAGCATACAGATTTTAGATGGAACATAATGTCAACTTAATGTTGTTTCTCGTGTCATTCAAACATGGAGTCAAACATCAGGCAAGAATAGTTTTGGATTTTCATATATTCTTCAACTTGGAACATAATCTTCACAACTGGTTTCTGGTTTGCGCAATCAGCAACTCTGTGCCAACATTGAAAAGTCCCAAATCCTGCAATCCCAAGGCTGAACAATTTGCTCAGTTTTCCTCTTTGTCAAGAAAATTTTACACTCAGAACACTTTCTCTACATTCCACAGTTCATAAAAGGGCTCGGTCAAGGTACACCCATTTCAATTTCAAAACCATATATATTTAGTGAGGTAGCATGTCTATCCCATCTGCTTCTGAGGTCTGAAAAACTTGTCAAAAAAGTTGTCTCTGAGCTTTATGTCTTGATAAGAGAGATATCTCATATCTTGTATGGTGATAAATCCCCAAATTTCATACCTGAGAGCATCAGGAATAATTACATGGTTATTATTTGCAGTAAAACAGAATTGTTAGAAACAAATTTGTGCTGTAATAACTTTGCTATGTTATGGTAACAAGTCTGAAATATTTGTTCTCCTTGCTTTAGCTTATGTTCTTGAATTGTCTATTGGATTCTTAGTTCTACCATGTCTGATTGAACTGCATCCTTAATAATGCATCACCTTCAATGGTTTCAATTTTCAAGTCCATTGCAGCTTTTTTTTTAATCTGATTGAAGACTCTTAACTACATTCAATTTTATTTAAAAAAAATGTTTGGAGGTTGGAAACTGAAAAGTTTAATGTTGAGCCAAAGTATATATAATAATAAATTTATTTTTATTCTTAACAAAAACTTATGTCACAATAATTTAATTAATATTTTTAAATTTGATAACACGATATAACGATATGGTGACATAAGATAAAAATTATATAAATAAAAATATAAAAATAATATAATTAAAAATTTTAATAAAATTTAAAAATATATTTTGTATTTATATATAAATAAATTATAATATATAATTTTCTTATAAAGTAAATATAAATATACAAAATATTAATATATTATACTATATAAATATATAAATTATGATATCTAAATATTTTTAGTGAAAAATATCTTTCACCTGTCATTCTCATCAGCTGGTCCAAGTCTAATAGTGTCCAAAGGGAGTCAATTTGGATTGTATGGCTAAAAAATTCTTATCCTGTCGTACATGTCATTTTATTTATTAAACTTTAAAAAATTTAATCATAAATACAATTATCATATGGGTGAGAATTTCCCATAACACCCAATCAAAGGATTTTAAATATATGCTTTATTATATAAAAGAGCCATGTTAAAATGGATATTCAATTCGATAATTATGCTATAAAATGTTGAGAATTTTGAAACGAGCAATCCCGAAGAACCACCGTGTAGTGCAACACTAATTAAGATAGGTAGTAATTTCAAATAATACCTAAATAAATTCTCAAATTTTATTTAAAAAATAAAAATTAATATTTAATTTTTTATGAGATTAAAATTATACATTTCTATTTCATTATAATTTGAACATTAACTTTATAAAATATTTCTTATTACATTAAAATCTTTTCCTTGGTTGTGATATTTAAATGATTAATTTACCTTTTAAACCTAATAATACCTCCAACAGTGGTGATTAAATTTTGGTAACTAATTTTCAAATTTTTAGTAACTTTAGACCGTTAGACAAAACTTTGATAAGATTTTTTAAATTATTACATTTTTATTAAAAACTGGGAGACAAAAAAAAGAATGGCCACAACCACTACTTTAACCAAAATAGGATAATATCTTCGTCGTCAACAACCAAAATGGACTGGTGGGGATTAGACCATTAGTTGTGAAAAACAAGTATTAGTCGCCGACAAAAAATTATTTCGGGTGTAATTGAATTGAGTCAGTTCTTCAGTTTAATTCAAAATTTATTATTTAAAATTTAATTTGAATTCGATGAAATTTTAATTTTTAAATTTAAAATTAATTTAAAATAAAAATTAAATTATTTAAATTTATTTAATCAAACTTATTTAATGAAAAATAAGTCATATTTTTATATTAGGTTATAAATTTGATTATGTATTTAAATTTAAGCTTAAGTTTAAATTCATATATAATATAAATAAAATAATAATTTTTAATTACAATAATAAAAATATATTAAAATTTAAAATTTAATTAAATTCATAAATTACTTAAATTACTTAAATTTGATGCATTCGATAAATCAAATTAATCAAACTCAAATTTTATAATAATTAAATAAAATTTAAATTTTATTTTAATTAAATTTAAATAATTTATAAATATTAATGTCTTATTTACATATTAAATAATATTAATTATGTGATTGATTGATAAAGTACAAAAATTTAGATAATTCTAATACAAATAGTTAGTAATCTATTGTTTTTAAAAAATAATCAATTGAAAAAAAAAAAGTACTAGTGTGACTGAAATGCATGTCCACCACATGAGAATAAAAGGAAAAAAAAATTGAGTGGCATGGTGCATATAAAAGGTTACAGAAAGAGACCCAAAGAGAAAGTGAGAGAAACTAGGCAAAGTCTGGGAAGTATCGGAAGCAGAGTTCTTCTATTTCATGCAAGGTAAATGAATATATATGCTCTGTTCTTCCTCTCATCTTTTTCCCTCCTCAAATTTTCTTCATATATTCTTTTTTTTTTTTTTTTTTTTTTTTTTTTTTTTTTTTTGAATTTGTGAAGTAAACTTATTAATTTTTACTAGTTTGAGTTTTAAAGTTTTGTTATATTTGGGTTTTTTTGGTTTATTATTATTTTTTTATACTGAGGTTTATGATTCTGATGAGTCCTTGAGTTACATTTTAGCTTTCAACCCAGATCAAGGAGAAACAAAATAAAACATTAAAATAATTTTATTTTTATATCAAAATGATTTTTTTTTCACTCCATAAATTTGTTGGTAAAATAATTTTTTCGTTCTTTTTTCAGTTCAGTTCACCAATTAATTGAGAAGTTTTACTGAAGCCAACTGCAAGAGGTTTGAACAATGGCAGATATCCCTAACAAGATGATCCTTAAAAACCATGCCCTTCAGAAGGTACTTTCATTTTAATTACTCTCATTTTTTGTTTTAGGTATTCTCTCAACAAAGGGTTATTTTTTATTTATTTACTAGAAAAAGAAAAAAAAAGTAATGCTCTTATTTTATTATCTCAGTATATTTATGAGACAAGTGCTTATCCAAAAGAGCATGAGCAACTAAAGAAATTAAGAGAGGCTACTGTCGAGAAGTATCAAGTGTTGTAAGTATATATAAAATATTTATGTTTAAATATTTTACATATATATACTTTTTTTTTTGTTTGAAATTATCTATTTTAATTATTAAAATTAAGAATTTAATATTTAATTAATAAATTACATGATTGTTAATTACATTTATTTATTTTATTATAACAAATTTTTAAGATTTTCTTTTCAAAGGAACACATTTTCGTGGGAATTAGATTGTTTTAGAAACTTTATCTATCAATTTTTCTATCTTCTTAATGCTGCTTTTCCATTTCAATTTTTAAAAATTTTTTATATTATTTTTAAATTGTATTTCAAATTTTTATGAAAATTGGTGAATACGGTCGCTATTCACTAAGGTAGAGAAAAAGGATGAGGGAAAATTTTACTAAATTTTATATATTTCTTTCATAACATGATAAAGTTTAAAAAACAAAAAAAAAAAAACAAAGAATCCAATGAGTTTGTATTATGCACTTATTTATTGATTTTGTATTCGTTGTGTAGAACTAAAAAGTATTCATGGGTTAAATTAGATGGATTAGATTGAGTTTATATTTGATATTAATAGTTTATGTATTTATTTATATTTAACCCAACCTGATATTACGGATTTCAAAATTTTTTAAAACTCAATTTAAATTAAAAAAAAAATAAAACTTATCTATTAAATTTAATTTATATAATAAAAAATAAAAATTCACATATATACTTATATAATTATAATATTTTAATTATATATAATTTATTTAAGATGAATCAGACTCGAGATTTAATTTTTTTGTTCACACTCTGTTCAAAATTTAAACTGATTTAAAGAGTTAAGTAGACCTTCAAATTTATTCAAATTTAAACAACTAATCTAACCTTTTAACACGTTAATATAAAATCGAATATTATATGTTAATTAAAGGTAATTATATATTTCCTCCGATCTTTAAACATGTAACCGGATGTAATTAATTTTTTTATTCAAACGATATTATAGATCTATTCATAAGTTGATCTACTTGGGAACTTGGTCCAATTCTCACTTATAATAGCACATTTAAAATACTATATTTTAAGCATCCGAACATTTAATTTGATTAATTAGTTCATGATCCAATATTAAAAAAATATATAAGGTTTGAATACCTCTTCCCTCGAATAAATTAAAAAAAAAGGCTATACTTTTTTTTTTTATAAAAATGGGTTAATAGCATTTATAGTTTCTAAATTTTGATCAAATGTTTACTATAGTCCATAAATTTTAAAAAGTTCTAATCGGATTTTTAATTATTCAAAATTGTCTTATTTTGATCATTTCGTTTGTGAAATTATCTAAATTAATAGTAAATACCAATTAACACTATATGATGATGTCAATTAGTATCTCACTTGATAAATGAAAGATAAAAATAAAATTCTCTCAAAATTTAAGGATCAAATACGAAATTATATAAAAAATTTATATATTTCATGCATGTTTTATAAAAATATTAAATTTAAAATTATATTTATATTTTTTTATTATGATATAACTTATTAAATAGATTTTTGTTTTAAATAGAAAATAAATATTAAAAACTTAAAATTATGTTCAATTTTCAAATTCTTTTTTAAAAATTTAATATATTTTAAAAACAAAAAATTTATTAAAAATATTATTTTACTTATAAGTCATAATAAAATATATTATTTTCTATCTAAAAATTTTATTTTTAAAAAAATTAAATATTTTTTATTTTTCTTTTTTAAATATATTTTATAAAATACATTTTGTACAAAAGAAAATATAAAAATGTTTTAAATTATATATATTTTTTATATGAATATAAGATTTTTATATTTTTGAATTGATTAATAAATCTATTTTTGAAAATAATTTGGAAAATTTTACATAATATTTTAATGTGATATAGTGTTTTTATTTAATTTCTTAAACCAATATAAACATTTTTACTTAATTTTTTAAAATGATATGTAATTTTAATAAAATTATTTTTGCAAATTTCAACTTACTTTTTATTTTTTTATAAATATTTTTTCTATTAAAAATATTATTTCATTGATAAATCATATCATAATAAAAATTAAAAAATATTTTAAATTTAAATTTTTATAAAATATATTTGAAATATGTAAAATCAATTTTTTCACTAATTATTTTTATCTTTTTCTTTATTTATTTTTTATAAAATATATTTGAAAAAAGAAAGTAAAAGATATTTAATATTTTAAAATATATATTTTATGGATAGAAAATAATATTTATGAAAAATATTTTTAATAGAAAACAATTTTTTTGTTTTTAAAATTGTATTAAATTTTTAAAGAGTTAATAACACTTATAATTTCTAAACTTTGATCTAAATTTTTAAAGAGTATATCTGATCGAATAATCTTAAGATCTAATTGCCTTGAAAAGCTAAATTAAAAAACTTGAGAGACAAAAAAAAAAAATGGCCACACCCCTTACAAAATAGGAAAGTGTCTTTGTTGTCAACAACCAAAATAGACGGGTGGGGATTAGACCATTAGTTGTGAAAAAAAAAAAGGTATTAGTTGCCAAAAACAGATAGTATAAGATGTAATCAAATTGAATTGAATCAATATAGTGAAAAACTTGAGTTTGAATTCGATTCAAAATTTGTTATTTGAAATTTGATTTTAATTTGATCAAATTTTAGTTTTTAAATTCAAATTCAACTCGAGATAAAAATTAAGTCACTTGAATTCACTGGATTAAACTCGTTTAATAAAAATAAGTATAATTTTTATACTTAATTTTAAATTTGATTACATGTTTAAACTCTACCTTAAATTGATATATATATATATATATAAAATAATATTTTTAATTAAAATAATAAAAATATATTAAAGTTTTAAAGTTCTATTAAACTGCGAGTTATTCGAGTTGAATATTATGATGCTAAAACTCAACTTACTCAATAACTTAAGTTACTCAAGTTCGAATCGACAATGACTGAATCAAATTCGAATTTTATTTGAATCGAGTTCGAATAATTTACGAATATTGATATATTATTTACACTAATAAATAGTATTAATTGTGTGATTGATTGATAAAATATTTAAATTTAAATTTTAAAACTTAAAATTTCAGATAATTTTGAATACAAAATAGTTAGTAATCTATTTTTTTTTAAATACAATCAATTGAACAAAAAGAGTAATAGTGTGATTGAAATGCATGTCTACCACATAAGAATAAAAGAAAAAAAAATTGAGTGTAATGGAATGTTTGAAATAATTAAAATGCATGGAATGTTTGAAATAATTTCCCTCCTCAAATTTTCTTCATATATTCTTTTTTTTTTTCTAAAATGAATAATTAAATTCCATTAATTTGTGAAGTTAACTTATTAATTTTTACTAATTTGAGTTTTAAAGTTTTGTTCTATTTGGATTTTATAGGTTTATTATTTTTTTTATACTGAGGTTTATGACTATGAGTCCTTAATTTACATTTTAGCTTTCAACTCGGATCAAGGAGAGACAATACAACACGTTAAAATAACTTTATTTTTATATCAAAATGATTTTTTCACTCCATAAATTTGTTGATACAATAATTTTTTATTTTTTTATTTAAAAAAAGATTTAAACTCGTTTTTTGAGCGAAAAATATATATCATTGAATGAAATGCTTAGATGTACAAAACATTTTATTTAATTTAATAATTAAAGTGCATAATCATTTCAAAAAGTGACACAAAAAACACATGTTTATTACTTCATATATGTTTTGAATTACCCTATTGTAAAAAGTAAAATCATTTAAAAATTGTTCTTTTTTCAGTTTAATTCACCATTTAATTGAGAAGTTTTAGTGAAGCCAATTGCAAGAGGTTTGAAAAATGGCAGATTTATGTTTAAAGTTTTTACATACATTTGCTTTTTCTTTGGGTTTTAGATTACTTAATTTTGATATTTAGAATTAAAAATTCAATACTTATTAATAGATTACATAATTGTTGGTTATATACATTTACTTTATTATAGGGGTAAAAAATATTAAGAAAATAAAAAACTGATTTAAAATTATAATATTTGATTCAGTTTGAATTAATTTTTTTTATTCGATTTGGATTAAGTTTTGATATTAAATATATATTAGATTAGAATCGAATTTTAAATCAATAAGTGAAAAACTAAAAAAATTGAATCGAATCAAATTATATATTTTTATTAATTTTTATAGAATAAAAATAATTATTATATATCTAAAACTATTTAAATATATAAAAAATTTGTATTAAAATAATATATAAAAAATTAAAACAATAACATTAAAAAATTAGTGAATTGAATCAAACTGATAAAATTTGATTTGAATAAGATTAAATCACATGAGTGATCAATTTAGATTTAGGTTAAATTTTAAAAATTTATAATATTATGTATTATCTAAAAAAATTAAAAAAATTGAATTGAATTTGATCCAATTCGAATCATTCTCACTTCTATTTTATCATAACAATTTTTAATTTTTTTTCCACAGGAACACAATACTTAATTTCTTGGGAACTAGATTGTTTTAGAAACTCAATCTATAGATCTATTCATAAATCAATCTATATTTGAACTTGGTCTGATTTGGATTTAGCGTTAAATAAGAGTTTACATTTTTAAGGTCAATCCGACTCCATTCAAAATATTATTTTATTAAATAAAATTATTTTTATTTAATTTTTATTTTAAAATATATTTAAAATGTTTTTAATATAATCAAACCTAAAGGATGAGTTGATCTCCAGCACAAATTTCATAGTTAGAGATGCCAACTAAGCTTGATTTAATCTGAATAAATCTATAAATACTTTTAAAGAAAAAAAAAGAGATTTTTCATTTATTATAATAGCAAAATTAAAATACTATATTTTAAGCGTCCAAGCATTTGATTTGATTAATTAGTGCATGATCCTCTGTTAAAAAAATTCCAACGGTTTGAAACCCTCTTCCATCAAATTAAAAAAAAAAATACTATAATTTAGAAATAAAATTTATGTGCTTGATTTGTTTGCAGGAGTGTGATGAATTTGCCAGTTGATGAAGCACAATTCCTGTCCATGCTTGTAAAGATCATGAATGCCAAGAAAACCATGGAAATTGGAGTTTTCACTGGCTATTCCCTTCTTACCACTGCCCTGGCATTGCCTGAGGATGGCAAGTTAAAAATATTTTTACAATTTTCTTTTACTTATCAATCATTACTACACTCAAGTCAATATATATTTTTTTTAACATCGATATTTTAAATATTTTATTAAACTACCTTTTTTTATAAAAATATATCTGAAAGCAATTTTATTCAAGGTTTTTTGAAATTTTTTTTTTCATATTTTAATTTTAATATATTTCAAATAAAATAAAGTTTACATTTGAAAGAATTTGACCATTAAAAATCAAAATAATTAAGACGGCATTATTCCCAAGAGCCAAAACAAATATATTTCTTTTTTGGCAGATATTAGCAATTGATCATGACAAAGACGCCTACGAGTTTGGATTACCATATATCAAGAAGGCTGGAATTGAGCACAAGATCAACTTCGTCCCATCCGACGCCTTCACAGTTCTAAATGATCTTCTTAACAACGTAAGTCTTTTGCTGCACTCATATATATATATATATATATATATATATATATAATGATACAAAAATTTTAAAAAAAATAAATAATAGATTTACTCATGAATCGAGCGATCAATTAAATATGTAAGTTTAATTAGATTCAAATATAATTTTGAATATAATTTTTAAGTTAGAGTCGGCTAGCTTGAGATATTATTTAATTAATAAAATATTTTTATTTACTTGAATTTTAAAATATATTTAAAATTATGAAAGTAGAATTAAATTTTTACTAATATTTTTAATATAAATGAATCTAAATGAATTTAATAGAGTTTGATATTTAAAAGTGTCAACTGAATTTGATCCAATTTAATTTTGGACATCTCTAATAAATATTAATTTCATGAAAAATTTAAATTAAAATGTACCTAAAATCTTAAAACTTAATCAACCTTTTCATATCATATTTGATGTGGGGTGAAGAAGGGACCTTTGATTTCATATTTGTGGACGCTTGGAAAAGTGATTACTTGAAATTTCATGAGTTGACACTAAAACTGATTAAGATCGGAGGAATTATAGCTTATGATAACACATTATGGTATGGTTCTGTTGCACAAGCTGAGAACGAAATTGAGGATGAATTCATTCTATCATTCAGAAACTTCGTCATCGAATTCAATAGCTTTATAGCTGCTGATCCTCGAGTTGAATCATCAATCATTTCAATCGGCGATGGTGTTACTCTTTGCCGGCGTCTCTGTTAGCGAAACTCAAGTCAACGAGGACTCTTCCTCGTTGGTGAAGTGGTTTGAAAGATAAGAATAAAGTTGAAGCTTGGGGTTTTGACGAATCTGATCAGTTTGAATTATCTTTGGCGTATTACTTTTGAATTTGAATACTCTCCTACTATCAAATTGCACGTGAATTGCATTTTAAGTTTTTTTTTTTTAAAATAAAAGTGTTCATAAATTAAATTAAATCATATTAAATTTAATTTGATTTTAAATTATTTATTTATTTTATATAATATAATAATATCTTCGAGTCAGTCATTTAGCTTTAGTTAATAAAAAATTTATGAAAATAAATTCTAATTATTTTTTCTATGATTAAAATTTTAATTAAATTTATAGTTGGATAGTTAAAAAATAGAAATTTTCTAAAAAAAATTGTGGAACTTTATTTTTAGTCATAGGAAAAGGAAGAAACAAATGTATTATATAACCAAGAATTGAGTGTTTAGATGAATTAGAATTTAATAAATTATCATAAATAAATATTAATATATTTAATATATATAATTAATTGAATATAATATGTATAAAAATAAAAACTTAAATGTGTAAATTGAAATGTGACAAATATTTTAGTTTGGTATATTTATTAATATTAAAAAATTAATTAATTAATAAATAAAAAATAGATTAACACTTTAATTTTGTTTAGAGAATTTAAAATTTTCATCACCGATTATAAATAGTAATCTAAATCGGACGAATCGAATAAAAAAAGACGTTGGGTTGTACGGAACTGCCATGCGCCCGCATGATTTCACGAGCCCAATCAATACGCCAAAGCTTTTCCAATTCACAAGCAGAAAACGTCCTTGTATTTGAACTTTATTTACCAAAATGACAGTACTTATTTTGGCATTTTCAATTGGTTAAATTTTGGAGTTAAAAATCAAATCCAAATAAAAAATTTGGTTAAAAGTTGAGGTTTTTATTAATCACACTTTATTTTTGTGATTTAAGAAAAACAATTGATGCGATCAAAATTTTTCGTGGTATAATAATTATGTGATTTATTGATAAAATATTTAATTATTAATTTTAATATTTAGAATATACAAATATATAAAAAATCATCACATATAATTACAACTTTTTATTTTATCAATAATTATGTGATTTATTAATAAAATATTAAAAATTTAATTTTAATAATTAAATTTACAACTATAAATGTAAAAAAATACAAAATTTGTTTTCCATATTATTAATAATAATTTGATATTCCAATCAACTGATAAAATTCAATTAAAAATTTATTAAAAAATTAAATAAATTTATTAAAAATATATAAAATTAAAAAATAATTACTCATTTTTTAGGTATATATATATATATATAAACAATTACTCTTTAAAAAATAATACATAAATGTATAAATTTAAATAACAGTATTAAAACAGGAATTTAAATTCAGGAAACATAGTCTGAAAGAGCTTTTTATCCTACATACCTCTTGTGTAAATGAGTCATGATAATTTTGTTCAATTTTTGACTTCCAATGTGACGACATTCTTTTCTCAGAAATCACAAAGCTCTGATCTTTACTTGTAATATAAAACAAAAGAAATTCCTTTTTTTTTTTTCCTCGAGCAATTAGATTTTGTCTTAAAAGATTGTTTGCTGATCATTTATCCTTTCTGGGTAAGGTTTTTTTTTTTTTTTTAATTTTAATTTTTTCTTCTGGGTTTTAGTTTTTTGATATAATTTTAATTTGGGTTGGTTTTAATTTTCCGAAATTTTCATGTTTTTCCAAAGTTTTTGGTGATTTGGTTTTGGTCTTTTCAGGTTGTATTGCGGTGGAATGCTATGAACATTTCATTTTTAGTATGTGTAATTAAGTTCATCTTGTTATGTTTGAGTTTGACTCTGTTGATGAAAATTGAGATTTGGATTCATCTTTTCCATTTTTAATTCCATAATTTTAGCTTTTTCTGAATTATCCATGAACTTTTCTTATGGTTTATATTTCTTGAAAAAGTAAAAGAACCAAAAAAAAAAAATCGTTTTAACTGAAAAGGAACTTTGATGTAGTTAGTGTTTAAGTATGTGGCTTTTTGTGCAAATTTGTTGAATTTATTGTTAGAACATTTAGATGCTTCCATGAAAATTGAATTACCTCATGGGATTTTATGTAGGATTTTTGGCTCTTGTAGTCTTAGTTGATAAAATAAGCTTAACAGTATTTACTTCCCTTTTTGTTTTCCTTTGTTGGGGGATTACATTGAATTATGGGCTTTAAATGCCATTTTATGACCTTACATTAGTTTTACTTGTGAAACGCTGCAGTGTCTCTATTGTCTATTCAAGCTTGCATATTCATATATTTTATGAAATTTATAAAAAAATGCTGCTCTGATTACTTTTTTTTGTATTTTTTTCTAAGAGACTGCATTAGTCCAGCACTCTTATGATGTTTCTCTGAAATTTAAATTGGCGAACATATTATTTTAGTTTAATTACTTGAATTTTCTTTGATGAACCTTGTTGTAGTTTGTAATCTTTAAGCTAAAGCCAGCATGGTTTCACTTTCGTGTAATTTTATTAAGTATTGGTTATAAATTGTAATGTAGTAAGATCTTCTTCTCCAAATGTGACAGCAATTTTCTCACGATGTCTTTTAGCTCCCTGTTAGTTTTGATAGTGTGATTGTTATCTATTTTTAAAATGGTTCTTATTGCTAGTAGTAATGATTTCTTCAAGGAATGATCTGCGTATTAATGGAAATGTTGATGTCTTCATGTTCTTCTTTCTTAATAACTGTTTTCTATTATCAGAACAAGATGCGTGCACCATCACTGCTTGCACAATGTTTGCCGGGCTGGGTGCCCCATGATAGAGGAAGCCAAAGCATGTCCACTGTATCAGAAAGAGATGTCCATCTCCCTTCACCAGCTGTGGAGATTCTCCCCTCAAAGGTGTATTTCATCTCCCTGTCAAGAACTACTTGAAATTTGTTACTCAAGATACAAATAATTTTTGGTTGACATCATATAAATGAGATGGTTTATCATGTGAGTGACTGGGTGGCGATAAAATTTGCATTCAAAATTAAGACATTCTGTTATTCTGTAGACAGCTCATGCTTATAAGTATGCTGGGGATAATGTAGACTTGCAGGGTCTCAATCTGTTCAAGGTATGTTGACTTCTTTTTTGCATTGCTTTATCCTGGTAGCTTCCTTATCTTTTCTTACTCACTGTAATATTTTTTGTTAAGACTTCCTTCTCTTTCTTCCCTCTTCCACATCCACTTATATATATGCTGTGGTCATAGATATAGTGGTCATATCACAAGCTTAAAACCAAAGCTTGTGATATGCATGCTGATGCCTTTTTCAACTTTTTACAGGGAAGAGTTAGTGTTGCTGATATTATCGGTTTCACTGGTTCCGAACTGATATCCTCAAAACCTGATGGTAGGGTGTGTTAGTTATGTATTCATTTTTAGTGAATGGTACTTTTATTTAATAATCTATGCTAATTATTACAAAGTATTGAAGTCTGTTCAAGTCTTGACCGGTCAAATTGATTAGCTGCAACTGACGGCTATAAAATAATTTTGTTTTGCAGCGCTTCTGAAATCTTGGGACAGCTCTATTGATCTTGTCAACGTCCTTAAGCATGAGACTCGCGATGGACAGTTGAGCTTTAGAGGGAAAAGGGTGCTTGAGGTAATTTAACCATAGAAAAATCTGAAAACATAAGCCATCACATCATGTAGCATATGTTTTCATTTCTTTGAATTTATTAACTATTAAACTTTATATATCAGTGTTTTTTGGTCCATTTGATGATATTATTGAGCAGGTGAAATTAAAATGTTCAGTAAATGTACTCAGAGGAGTAAAAAGTTTTGGCTGTTATGCTTAGCTTGAACAACCGAAATTCATACTTGAATATATTTGTTCTTTGCCATTTCTTTAGGCAACTTCAAACTTGAATTTCCAATTTTAGAGTAGTTCTAGATTTTATAAGCTACCTTGTTCTTGGCTTCTCTGCAAGTTCTCAGTTCATGTATGCAATAAAATCTTAAGAGTTAAGGAATTAGTTTGTCTGTTTTGTAGTTCTGCTTTATATAATGTGAGCTAATCATCCTATTCGATAACTCTTACAGTTAGGTTGTGGCTATGGACTTCCTGGGATTTTTGCTTGTCTGAAGGTATACTCCATTTATTCATCTTAGATTGTTCCTCCTATGTGCTGTCAGTATCTCTTTTATCTTAATAATAATAATAAAGGGGTGGGTGGGGGGAGTCAGATAACTGAGCAACCGGCTTGTATTATAATTTGGAAAATGGCCAAAGAGCAATTTAATTTTTATGAAAGATCTACTTGCACTTCATTTTATTCATTTGTTGTTACAGGGTGCTTCTACAGTGCACTTTCAAGACCTCAGTGCAGAAACTGTTAGATGCACTACCATACCAAATGTTCTTGCAAACCTTGAGCACGCTCGGGAAAGGCAGAGCCGACAGCCTGAGAGTCCTTTGACTCCATCCAGACAAACTCTTGCCCCAACAGTGCACTTCTATGCTGGGGATTGGGAAGAACTCCCCACTGTATTATCTGTTGTTCGGAATGATGTGTCTGAAGTGACTACAGGAATGAGTTTGAGCTTCTCTGAGGAGGATTTCATGGATGGATGCAGTAGCCAAGATGGTAGCATCATAACCCAGGAAATTTCCTCAAGGAGGTCGAGAAAGCTTTCGGGAAGCCGGGCATGGGAAAGAGCGAGTGAGACAGATCAGGGAGAAGGTGGCTATGATGTTATTTTGATGACAGAAATTCCATACTCAGTTTCCTCTTTGAAGAAGTTATATGCACTAATTAAGAAGGTTAGTTTCTTAATTTCACAATGCTTGTTTTTATTACTTATGACCTTGGCGACATTCTTTAAAGCAATAGTAAAGAACATTGTGTTCTATGAATATAATGAAATAAGGGAACATCTGTCTTTATCATGTCCTTGTCCATTTTGTCGACGCTTGTGGAATAATATTGGAAATAATTGGGAACAGTATGTAGATTTGCATAATTTTGTTGTTGCTGGTTTGAGTCGGGAAATTGACCAAATTTTGTAATGAATTGAATAGATAAATAGAGAGGAATCTGCTAAATGACACTGAGTGGTTCTTACCGACTAAAATTATCATGATCAACCTGAATGATTGGTTATAGATAAACTGATGGAAGTGACATTGGCATCTGGACAAATGCATGATTTAAAGTAAGGTTGTATTTGAATTAAGCCTTATATCACACCCAAGCCTTGATGCGATCGCTTCTGTTGACTTCCCCTCTTATTTTCGTTTTCTTTTATATGGATGCACTATGAAATTTCAGTTATGGTTTTTCTATTTTCATTTGCTCTGCATTTCAATGTAATTTATTATTTTTAATCCTCATTATGAACAACCAGTGTCTGAGGCCTCCTTATGGAGTAGTATACTTGGCAACGAAGAAGAACTATGTCGGCTTCAACAATGCAGCACGGCACCTCAGAAGTCTAGTTGATGAAGAAGGCATTTTTGGAGCCCATTTAATCAAAGAGCTGGCAGATAGAGATATTTGGAAGTTTTTTATCAAGTGAGAAACAACAAAGTTTCAGAACCATGCAAAACACATGCCTGCTAAACTGATTTCAAAATATTGTCCTTTAGCTTTCTGTCCTATTGGTGTAATATGTATCAGAAATTGTTTCAATTCTTTAGTAGTAACAATGAAATTGGGATGTCAGAGAAGAACTCCTGAAGGATGATCTTGCTACCTTGTGTCTTGTATTCTTTTTTTTTTTTTTTCTTGGGTCCTATTTTATTCCATTTTAATTGTAAATCAAACACTTAGTTAATTCAAAGTCTAAAATTAAATGTTCTTTCTCATATTGTTTTTCTTTTTCCTCCAAGTCCTTCCTCTTTTACGCTTGGTGGTGAGAAGCCTCCCATTATGTCAGGGTCTGCATTTTATGACTGGACCTTAAGAATAGACTGGACCTTAAGGATAGGGGAATGTGGAGGTGGAAGCTTCCTTATTGCTTGCTTGTCAAATATGACCAACTTGTGAGATAATGGGTGGAAAAGGATGGAAAGAGATGGGTGAACAGCTAGAAGAAAATGTTACTAGTATTTTTCCTTTCTTTTCATTTTGTCAAAGTTAGGTAGGATGGAAAATAAGTGGAGAGAAAAAGGGGAGGAAAGGGAAAACAAAAATCAAATTTCACAATTGAAAAGATTTGAAGAAACTTGAAAGGATGAATCAAAAAATTATAAATTTATAAAAAAAAAAAAAAAGGTAATGCCCTTGCAATGCCACCCTTGAGGATATCAATAATTTTCTGGATCAATGTTACAATATAGGTTTGTTTTAAGAACTACACACATGAATTGCCCCAAAAAGCATATTGCTTCTAAGCCCTTTAACAATATATACAAAGGACTAGCAATACTTGCAAAAACATCCTATCCACAGCACTAGATAGAAGAATCTTGAGTGATTCTTTTCCCCATCCTGGGTTGCTTTGCAAACACAAAGGCAAAGTTGGAAGACTGAAGAAAAGGAAACAAATATCCATTTCCAAGAACTAATACATCAAAGCCTTTTGCGAACACCGGATTTTTTTACCTTGGATGATGGGCTTGAGGTTTCTTTGAATGCAGATGGGCAAAACTCAGTTATGCTGCAGATTTCACACCGTGGCTTGAGTGGAGTACAAATTGTCTGTCCAAATCCCACCTGTTCAAACTCAAATTTACTCTTTAGCAATTGGTTGTTAGGCATTAATTGCATAAATTAAGGGGCTTACAGAAAGGTATTTTGAAACATAAGATAAAAAGAAACTGGAGTGCACTCGTTGAAGGAAGCAAAATATATAATCAGAAGGATATAGTTTTATAAAAAAAGGAACTGAAATTCCTTACTTAATAATCTAAAGATTGGAAACTTCACCAAACTTCACAATAAGGATGCTGAAATTATGCTTCGTGTGTATGTAGGCAAACTTGCATCGTTAAATCAAGACAAGGTGGTTTTATACAAATAAATTTACAGAGTACAAACCCTAATATAAAGGATAATTTTTAAGCTATGCATGCATCTAACACTTCCTATCTAAGAGTGCATATGGATGAGCATGCAAGTCAAATACATGAATTAACCAACATACCAAAAGAGGGTTAATTGGGACCCATTCCTCCTTTGGAAGCCACTGCTGCAATGCCACTCTTGTTTCCTCCGGATATAAAGTTTTCTAGCAAACCAACAAGATAATGATTACTGATGCATGTAATTTCTTTAGTATGAAGAGGGAAAAGACATCTACTAAACCAATTTGTCACGGAAAAAAGACAACTTTTTCCTATTTGTAGTGACTCAGGACTAATAAATCAAATATTTTTTTTGAGGTTTAAAAGTTAACTTTGAAGTTGTATGAACATATTTGCACAAAACTGATGAATAGGAAAAAGGAGAATGGAAAAAGTGGGAGGAATAAATATCATTAGATTCTTTTAAGTCGAAATACTGTCAGAAGGTACATCGCCAGAGGCCCTCCATCAACTTGGTTATCTTAGTTGAGTAAAAATTATATTTAACTTCTAACTGGATTCTTTCTCTATTATCTTTCTCCAAAGAAGATGCTAATGCACTCATCAAAATAATTACAAGCACCAAATCCATGTATCTCTCTTCAGAAGTTAGAAGCAATGATGACAATAATGTATAAATCAGTGATAAAAGGGCAGGCAGCATCGTGTAATTACACATCTGCTGTTGCCCTGAAATGCTGAAATGCATTCCAAGTTACAAATTTTGGTGTTATCGGCAATCCTGATTAAATCCAGATAGATATGAAAATTAAATAGTTTTAATACCGAAAATGTGTTGTTAAAAGGAACAATTACTCAAAACGAGGGAAGCAACAATTTTAAGATTACATAAGATCCAAAAGAACTAAACGAAAAACATCTAATTTCTTGCCATCATCAGTGTATAAGATGAGGTACCTGTTTTGTCCCTGGTCGGGACACCCATCCAAGCCGATTGGAAATGCGGTGCACATGAGTGTCTACACATATCCCTTGAACGTCATTCCATGCAATATTCATAACCTAAAGAATCACACAACCAAACAAGTTTAGAAATCCAGTATACATCTAATTCAAGGAAGTTATACTGATGCAATTAACCCTACCAAATGAGCCATCTTAGGGCCTATCCCTGGAAGCAAGAGTAATTCCTCCAATGAGCTTGGAATGTCTCCATCATACTTCATGAGACAGATTTTCGCAATTTTCTTCATATTACTAGCTTTCCTTGTATAAAACCCAACCTAGAACAAACAAAAATGAAATTTCTTAACTACTGCAGTAGCTGAGAAAGTGCAGGGGAACTTGGTTAGGTAAAAAAGAAAAGTTTTGATGCTAATTTTTCAAGTGACTCCTAGAATAACATACCGGGTAGATCAAGTCCTTAATAGTTGCTTCATCAGCTTTGTCAATGGCATTGGGAGTCAGAAGACAATTATGAATGAGACGTTGAATTGCCCCTGCACATGAGTATCTTTATGAGAGGGTGAAGAACAAAATTGACAAAGTCAGGATATATGGTTACCACTTAACATAAACATATGGTAATGTTTTCATCAGAAATGACAAGGCATATACAATATTTTTGTTCTTCACCAAATGATGTGAGCAATATCTTAGCATAATTTCCTTTTATATTACAATTAACCATAACCATGACATGCTTTGAAGAGACCTTTCCCATCATAATACAGTTGTGAGAGTATTTTCTAATAGAAAACTTTTCACTGTCTTCAAAGGAAACATGCACTAGATGTCCTGATTTCCTACCATTGCAAGTTATAACTAGAACATCCAATACTTCAACAAGATAATTAGTTGAAATGACATATGATTGTAAGTCAAAGTACAAAAAAGAGGAACTTACCATGAGTAACATGATCTTTGGTTTGGCTAGATAGTAGTGAAGATATCAAGACAGCAAACCTTCTTTCCTAACTCAAAGTGAGAGTTCAAAAAAAGAAAAAAAAAAAGAAGATAAATCCATCTATATAAAACCAAAAAAAAAAAAAAATCAATGAAACGGAAAAGAATCAGTAAATGAGAATCTAAAACAAAATGTCTTTAGGATACAAGGATTTTCAACAACATTGCAATAAGTTTTAGGCATTGATGACATTGTAATTCCAGAGACTAGATCCAATTGAGGAAATTTGAAGCTAGGGTAGTGGCTAATAAGGGAATATCAATAAGCCCTTCAATAAAAGCTTAATGATGAGATAAGTGACCGGTCCATCAATATATTCACAGTCAACAGTTGAATATTATACTACACCAGTTGATGCTGCAAAGTGGGTATATTGAGCTCAACTAATTCGTCTACAAGACCAAAAATTATTTAAACTACAAGTACATTCTCCATTAGCATTATGCAGTTTCTCTAGCTAATAAATGTTTGTGAATTCCATCAATTTTTTTTGCTGGTGTCAAATTATATAAAGCATCTTGGTGCCTTCTATTCTAAATCCCCAAATTCGATGACAGATAACACATTAAAGACTCAAGTCCTTGAACTCGAAGCCTAAAATGGCATCAGAAATGGCAAATATAGCATAAAAGGATAAATTAGTGATCACCAAAGTTAAGTCATCAATTCATCCAATTTATCTACCTACAAATGATTGAAAGATTGTACCTTAGGAGGAAGAACACTGCCAGCTTTCTCACATCCCATAGTGTCTACAGGTGCATCGTCTGAAGACCTCATTTTACGGATTCCTTCAAGCACTTTTTCCCAGTTGGCAGGTGCTTTGCCTGATCACATGGAATACATCAATGGCAAATGCATCAGCATTTCTGTGTTTTATACCCTCAAAAGAAATGCACTAGGAAGAAACTCTTGTTAATCAAATTGTCACATCATTCTATTTTTGACATGGACCTCTTCATTAAGAAGAGACAATCTACTTAACAATACAAACACACCCTAGATGCAAAAGTCTATGAATATACTGTTTTTGAATCATAAGAATAGGATGCAAACAACAACAGCAATCTTTGGCAATTTTAAACAGACTATTCAATTTACTTATAGAGGAAAAAAGTTTACACGCTACAGCAACTTAGCATGCAATTATAAATTCTCTTTAAAAACCAACAAATTCCTTAAAAAAAACTGTCTTCTTCTCTTGCAATTCCAAATAGCATTTTGCACACCATTTACCTTCCACTCCAACTGAGGAAGCAATATCTGCACCGACATTAAGCTCATCAGATGTGGACTTTGACTTCCCTGCAAAACCATTACTATGTAAAACTAGTCTGAGCCAGAGAGATAATCCAATAAAAACGGACATGAGTACCATGCATTTCTGCATCTGTGTTTGTGTGTGTTTGTTAGTGTGGGTGTCCATATGTGCTCATGAGTGCAATATGATTACAGCATGATAGCAATTCTGCAAGTTGTCCAGAGATGTGGAATGTATCAGAATCCTGAAATTATTCATTATTCCTAATATGTCCTAACTCATTGCATAGGCATTGTCAACCTAATAACCTTATTCTGGCAAAACTTTCACTGTATGTCATACTCATAGGAACATAGCATTACAACAGAAATCTTACTGGACAGAGCAGTTCCATCTATCTTTTTGTACGCAAATTCCTCTATGTCAGGTAAGCCACACAGCTGCACAAAAAACAAAAAAAAAGGGTATATGGTAAAAAATTACTCTATACTGCTAAAACTTAAACTAAATCTTTTCCAAGTAAAAAGAAGAAGCCAGCTAGCTTAGCAAAAAGTCCTAGGATCATGTCCAGGCGCCTTCACCTTTCGACTAGTTTTTGGAGGGTTAATTCTAAAAAGGAGGGCTAGCCCATATTGCGTATATCAGTCCATTGGACCAAAATAACCTTTACAAGTTTTGAGTGATACTGTAATAAGACATTATCAAATGGTGATGTTCATAGCGTATAAGCATTTTAAACAATCACGCAGGATAAAATTCCCATCAGTCAGGAAGACCATTAGTCAAAGAAATGGAAGCAAAACTAAAAAGGACAAAAGAACAAAAGAATATGAATCTGGAGCTTAGCTCAGGTAGCCATTTGGTGTTCGAATCCCAGCAACCCCTTCTCTATTTCTACACTGCAGCCTCTTTTATGAAGGAAAAAAACAAAAAAAACAAAACAAAACCAAAGAATCTTTCTCTTACATTAAAAAGTTGCAATCATGTTTAAAGCAGATAACAAACAAATATAAACCCATTAATCATACCCAAAAAAAATAAAGAAAAAAATCCAAAATCAAGGGAAAAAAAGGAAAATAAACAAATGGTCTTACATTATTGTCTTTATTTTCTGCTTTGGGGCTCTGTTTTACAACATCGACAGTCCTTTTAACCCTTTTTTTCCGCGTAAAAACTTGAACTTCTGGCACAGAAACACTATCAGTTAATTCAGAACCTGGTTTTGGGTTTTGGTCTGAAGAAGGAACTTCAGTTGTTGATGATGAAGAAAGGGTTTTGAAAGTGAATCTTGTTTTCGGCATTTTGCTGTTCAATTTCATTCCCCCAAAGGCCAAACCAATGCCAAACCGAAGTGGAAAACTCCTAGGTAGAAGAGCAAACATTTTTATGTCGGTAACTTAGGAGGTGAAAGGATTAGAAAATATTATTATTTTAATTGAATTAATAATATTAATATTAAAATAATAAAAAAATAATTACATTGCTTCAGTTAAATTTGATAATGTTAAATGCACATTTTTTTAGTTTTTAATTTATCATTAAATTTTTTAATTTTCTTTATAAATAAAAATTTAAATCTCTTAGCTTACTCGTTATTTGATTGAAAACTATATTACAAATATAAATTCTCTCGAACCCATAATTTTCAAGTTCAACTTCAATTATATATCAATCAATTCAAAAATTAATTAACTTAAATACGGTATCCTTATAAAAAAATAATGTAAAGCGATATAAATTAAAATTTTAACAAAAAAAATATATAAATTTGATAAAAACAAAAAATATATCTTATGTTTGATTTATTGATTCAAATTATTATACGATAATTTTTACATTTTATGTATAGTAAATACAAAATCAACATTAATAAATATGTGAATTGACAAATCTAAAATATGGTACTTTTAATTTTTAAAGTCTTTTTTTAAATGAATATTTACATATATTTCAAATATTCATAAAAATAATCATAATAATTTAATAGGTTAAAAACATATTTAGTCCCCAAACTTTGTAATTTTGATCACACTGGTACTTAAAGAAATTTTTTACCATATTAGTACCTGAATTTTTAAATCGTTATTATGTTAGTACCTTTAATTAATATTATTAATAAATTTTATTGACATAATATGAATATCTAATAGGATATTAACACATGTAAAAAAAATCTAATCAGCATTACATAATCATTGTCACGTTATGCTCACATCATTTTTAAAAGAAATTTTTTTTAAAAATTCTAAAAATTTTTTAAATTATAAAAAATTTTCAAAATTAAAAAAATTAAGAAATTCTAAAAATTTTTAAAAATTTTAAAATAAATTTTCAAAAAAGTCTAAAAAAATTACGAAAAAATTTTAAAAATTCTAACAAATTTTGAAAAATTTTGAAAATTATAAAATAATTTCAAAAATTTTTAGAAAACTAAAAAAAATTAAAAATTCTAAAAACTTTAAAAAGTTTTTAAAAAATTTAAAATATAAAAAAATTTTGAAAAAGTTTAAAAAATTCTGGAAAATTTTAAAAAATTCAAAAAAGAATTAATAAAATAAAAATTTTCAAAAAATTCCAAATTAAAAAAAAAAACCAAAAAATTTAAAAGATTGTTTTTTTATTTTAAAGTTTTTTTAGTTTTTAGATTTTTTAATTGTTAGCCTTGAATTGATCTTTTTTTTTGAAACGACAAAATATTAAGTTAAATAAGCTTGATCAAGATTTTAAAAAAGATTTATTTAGTACATATTTTTAAGTTTTATATTTTGATATTAAATAAATAATATGTTTTTCAAAGTGTAAACAAACCTTTCTTTGTTTTCATATTTCTCAAACCAAATATATCCTTTGAAGATTATTTATTTGAGCTTAAATAAAAGTCCAATTGTTGTTTTTAAAGTGAACTTATTTATTTTGGATTTAATACAATTTTGATAATATTAGTTTTGAGAAATAGATTAACTTAAGAAAGTTATTTTATAAGAACAAAGTTTTTTCAACACTAAACTTGTTTTATTTTTTTGTATTAATTCACAAGGTTTTAATATTTAAATTTTATATGGTTAGAAAGCTATTTGAGTCTACTTTCTAGTGAATTAAACAAAATCTAAATCTAAATTTTTTAAGAAAAGATTTTGAATTTTTACTAGATACTTTGTAGTTGTCTAAAAATTGCATATGGGGTAGATTTAAAAATTTACTATAATTTGTACACAAAGAATTAAGTGATGAATTTTATATGGATAGAAAGCCTTTTAAGTCTAGTCTCTAAATCTTAAACAGTTTGTGATTTGAATTTGTATAGCTCAATATATGATTAAATTAGTGAGTAGAGTGTAAAATAAGATATGACTACCCAGCTTAGACAGGATCAATCCCCTTAGGGATATGATCAATTGCTTTTTTACTTAAAAGTGATTTTTTTGTTGAAATGGCAAGAAGGGATCGATCAACCTATGTAGGGGATTGATCACCCTCTGAACCAATCGAACCCCTACATAAAGGGATCAATCGGGTCATAATTTTCAAAGGCAAATTGGTTCCAAAACATGAACAAATTGATCCTTTCATGGAAGTGATCGATTTGGTCATGCCTAGGATGTATTCAATGGCTATTTTTTCATGCTTTCAATGACTATTTTCTTCTCTTAAGCATCTCCAACAGCTAGCTCTTCATTTTTTCTATATATTAGCAATTCCAACACATCAAGAAGGTTGATGAAACAAGATAGCAAGTGCTAACAAGTTATATTTTTATTTTCTCTTAAAATCAAGAGTTTTTGGGGCTTAAATTAAATATCCTTTGTATTTTTAGTATCCAAAATATTGTTATGTTTCATTTATCATTTTTTTATATGTCATTAGGTAAATACTCAACCTTGAGAGGTATTTTAGTTTACAAAAATTATTTTGATTATCTTGTAAGTAAGAGGTGAGGCATCCTCTTAATATTGTAAGGGTAGAGGTTATTTTTTAAGCCTTGAGAAAAATATAGAGATTTTGTACAAGATAAATTTGTATCTTGTAAGAATTTTTCTTCAATAGTGGATTAAAGCCTTGATGTGAACAACTACAAAGAGATTATATAGGTGCCTTGTGGAGAATGATCGAATCTCTATAAATAATTGTGTTTGATTTTTTTATCCCCTATCTCCTTATAATTTATTGTTATTTATATTTGATTTTAGGTTCATTAATTGTTATTGTTTGCATTATATTTTTATCAAAAGTGCTTATTGTTTTAATTTTTATTCAATTATATTGAAATTATTTGTTTGGAAAGAATTTGAATAAATCCAATTTATCCTCCCTCTTAGATCACCTTCTCACCTAAAAGCTAACATTAATTTTAATGAATATTTCAAAATTTTTTTAAAGTTTATATATTTTTTTCTTATTTTCAATTTTTTATGTTTTTGTATTTTTTTTAAAACTTTAAGAAAATTTAATTTTTATAAATTTTAATTTTTTTGAATTTTTAAAAAAATTCAAAATTTTTAAAATTTTCCAAATTAGGATAATTTTTATAATTTATAAAATTACTTCATATTTTAAATTTTTCTTATAAATTTTAGACTTTTTTAAAAATATTTTATAATTTGTCAAAATTTTAAAGAATTGTTTAGATTTTTTTTAATTTTTTGAGAAATTTAAAAAAATTTGCATTCCAAAATTTTTTTAAAGAAATTCTTTTTAAAATTGTTTTTAAAATTTTTGGGTATTTTTATTAATTTCTTAAATTAATTTTTTAATAAATTTAAAATATTTTTGAAATTTTTTCATAATTTTAAAAAAGTTTTAGAATTATTTTGAATTTTTATAAGTTTTAAAAACTTTTTTGAGGTTTTTAAAATTTTTTTAGAAAATTTTAAAAGGTTTTTAAAAAAACTTTAGAATTTTTTTAAAATATTGGAATTTTTTAAAAATATTTAAAAGTTTTAGAATTTTTTTATAATTTTTAAAATATTTTTAGATTTTTAAAAATTTTTAGAAAATTGTTTTGAAAATTTCTTTTAGATAAGACGTGAATATGACATGACATTTATGATGTGGCACTAACTAAACTTTTTAGATATGTGTCAGTATTTTATTAGATATTCATGCTACGTCATTAAAGTTGACTAACAGTATTAGTCAAAGATATCAATGTGATAAAGATTTGAAAGTTCATATACCAATGTGACAAAATAATTTTTTAGGTACTAATTTAACAAAATTTACAAAATTCAGAGGCAAATATGTATTTAACCTAATTTAATAAACATAAAAGTTTATGAAGTTTTATATATACTAGCTATGTGTCCACTCACGCTTTGTTATGGGTCTAATTTTTTTATATATAGTTAATAATATTAAATTTAATAAATTTTTAACGAAAACAATTATTAGTAAAAATTTATTAACTAATTTATAAATAGCATATGCATTTCATTTTCATAACTTGTTTAATAAACCAAATATAAATTCATTCTCTCAAATTTATTTTTCTAAATATAATTAAAAAGTATTAAAATAAATAATTTGAAAAAACTAAAACTGAAAAAGGCCCACGCAAAAAGAAAAAAAAAAAAAAAGTCTAACGAGGATGACATGTGAACACCTCTACTTAAATATAATAATGGTAGAATAAGGGTGGGTTTATATTCATCCTAACTCGAACTTGATATCAGATTATTATTTTTTTATATTCAAACCCTGACATATATATATATATGTATGTATAATTCACATCCAACCTGATTTGATTAAAAATCAATTCAATAGTATAACATTCATGAAATATAATTTTTTAATATAAATTAAATCTTAATCAAATATAAATGTAGTATTTTATTAAATTAATGTATTAAATAATAATTTTATTAATATAATATATATAAATTAAATTAAATAAATAATATATATTCTTATTTATACCCTAAAATGGAATGAGACAGGGTGAGATAAAACATTTTAAACTCGCATTTGGTTCAATCTTGATTTTAAAAAAGGATGCCTTGACTTAATTTCGATTTTTAAAAAAAGGTTCATATTATATTGGTGCATTGAAATCATTGGATATAGACTATTGTGACATCTATACTTTCATTGGCTACAATTTAGGCCTAATTAAAAAAAAAAATCTAACTCGATCCCAAATTTTTAGAAAAAAACTATACATATTGGATCAGGGTGAATAAAAACCTATTAAATGTAGATTATTTTGTCATCCTTATCTTCATTGTTTTTTTTTTTACAAAATTTATTTAATTAAAAATTTTAAAAACTAAACAAATAAAAGAAATTGTAAGAAAAAAAGGAAAACTAATAGAATGTCATGAGAATTTATTAAATTAAGATATTAAATAATAAATTTATTAATATAATATATATAATTAAAATAATAATATATATATATC